ATTTCAGCGAGATATTTCCAAATTTCCAAAAGGATTGGCCAAACTATGGGCACTTTGGAGATCTTTGGAGCCTGCCCAGGCTGGCCCCAGAGGCAGCTTTACAACCACAAGATTTGGGTTTGGAAGCTCAGACTCTGTGGATATTTCGATGTGATCATCCAGTTTGAGATCAAGAACCCTGAGATTTAGAATGTTTGAAGCACTGGCAATGTGATGATCAAGCAAAAAAATGGTTCAACACTAATTATTTGATGACACATGGATAATCTACGATTTGAGCACTGGAACTTGGAGAGCAGTTGGGTAGAAGTTGGAATCCACAAAATCACTTATATCCGGATCCGGATATACGATATATGTGTATATAAACATATCTGAATGTAGATACTATGATGTCATATTTGCGTACTCAATTAATTACATGGATACAAAATATAACATATTAATACATATCATATATATATACATGTGTGGCCCAGCATCTGGTGGTCCCCCCTCCCCCCGAGATGGTGATGGTCCCTATATATATACACACATGAACATGTAAGTAGTATATATACATATTTTTACACATGTGTGTATAGGCATGTAGTAGTATGTGTATGTGCAAATGTATACAGTATGTATACGTATGTCCATGATATATCAACTGTAGGGCTGTAGCACCTTGCCGTGGGCTCCGATTGGAGGTCTCCATACCCTAGGGTAAACTGACGTAGATGTGGAAGATCACCCATGTGTAGACTATGGGGAAGACATGGGCTTTCCACATTGAGCTGTTAGTCCTGGGGATCCCGGTATCTGAATTTAGCTGTCTATCATTATACTGGAGATACCATCTGGTTATGACTAACATAGCCATGGAAAATCACCATTTGTAATAGGTAAACCATCTATAAATGGGCCATTTTCCATGGCTATGTTAAATAACCAGAGGGTAATATTTGATGAATGAAAGACAGGAAAGTCGGAATCCATGAATTTTGTGATGTAGCAACTACGTAGAAAACTGCTCAAAACTCCTCATACCTTTTTGGGGGTGTCCTATGATACCTTTGTTCCTTGTTATATCTGGCCATCAAATCATGATTCTCAAACATCGTGGGAATGTCCACATAATTTTGAGACAAACCCATACAAGGCCGGCCCCCCCTAGATAGGTAAGTTGGTTTGGTAACTCGGTGAACGACGAGATTTTGCTGGATATGTCCACAGTTGGATGGTCGAAATTTGAGCCCCACGGCAGAAAATCCCAGGCTACGTTTGAGACTTCACATGGATTTTCTAACTTTTGGGTGTATATGTATATATATATATATGTAATACTTACATAAAATCAGTACATAAGTACTTTTATATATACACATAAAATCCCATCTATTTAAACTTTTGGGTGTATCTCTCAGGCCGCCAATCTCCTGAGCTGGCCGGACTGGAAACGTTGGGCTTCTCAGCGTGTAGAATAGCAAGGTAGAAATGGATCGAACTATCATACGTACGTGGGGGTTGACTGGGGGGATATGCAGATACATATTGGATGAACAGTTGTAATTAACTGTTATAGATGTTACAGGTACGATGAAAAAGGCATTAATACAACCAGCCATATGGGGATATCTTGGGGATATTTGATGGGGAATATATATATAATATATACATAATGACATAAATATGTAGTAATTAACAATATTAATGTCGCTAGTAAATATACATAAATATGTATTTTAATCAACAATATCTGAAAATTTGGGCGTGTCAATGGGGTCGACCTTTGAGTATCTCGTCACAATTTTTGTTGGGGAAATGGTGATGCACCAATGGATAGAATGGGGTACCCACTGGGGTACCGGGTACCAAACTCCATGGTTTCTGGATGAAGAGTTAGTTCATGATGTTCATGCAGCAGGAACTGCATATATCATTGCACATGATATACCATCTGGTTATGACTAACATAGCCATGGAAAATCACCATTTGTAATAGGTAAACCATCTATAAATAGGCCATTTTCCATGGCTATGTTAGTCATAACCAGAGGGTAATGAAAGAAATCAGTTCTGTTTCAAGCCTGCATCAAACACTTGGAATCGAGTGGATTTTGTCCAACTTTGCCCCAAATCTGTGAAACTAGATATAAGCAGATGTGGGTACCTGATGGCTTTTCCTTTTTGGAAAACAGTTTGTGAAAAGGCAGGCCCTGGATGATCAGCTCTTATCTGCCGCATGGTCTACTGGATTGGGGATGTGCGTTGACTCCGGGGCCATTTCCTTTTGCCCGTATGAACGTACACCACTTGATTTGCAGAAGTGGCTCCTGAAGCTTTTGAGCGTCAATTTTTCATGTTCTCTGTCTTGAGACAGTTGGACCAAATCTGGTTGGTGGTTTGGAACATGGCTGTCTGATGACTTTCCCATCATATTGGGAATGTCATCATCCCAACTGACGATTCGTCATATTTTTCAGAGGGGTAGGTCAACCACCAACCAGATTATTATTAACCATCATTAACCATATAATAACCATTAATATTAACCATATACTAATAGTATATTACCAACCAATGGTAGGTAGGGTTCAACCACCAACCAGATTCGAAGTGTGGTCCTTGTCAGGGCCGGGATGTCTGGATCTCTCTGGTGATCAAGCTATCAAGCTTGCTGGATGTGATTTTTGTCACCATTTATAGCTGCTAAAAAAGGCCCATTAAAAGCTCCCAAACTGGCGGGGATTCCATTGTCATGTTTGATCACCAAAGGGTACCTCATGTTACTTCAAGGAGCTGAACTGGAATATCGTGTCCAAACCATGGTTGACAAAACTTCGATATGCCCAAATTATTCTGAAATATTGAGTTTGTTTGCAACAATGGGATTTCGGAAATCAACTATATACTTTGATTTTCTGATGGTTTGTGATGTTTTGTGTTTTTGCCAATTTTATCCCTCCATCTGGCAGATTTTGTGTCATTTCATGACTACACCCGATGCTTTAACTGACTTTGACATTGACCAAGCGTTACCTCACTTTTTTCAATTTACCCCCAAGTCCAGAAGATGCGTCAAACCCAGACACCTCTGTGCTGCGATCGAACTTGCTACGAAGTATCAGAGGCTTTGCGGCTTTGCGCGAGGCCGCCGCGAGAGATCCATTTTTGTAGCGGTGGTTGCGCCCATGTGTGTTTTCTCAATTGTTAAGATCAAGGCAAACTTTAGAATCGACATTTCGCAGAGACTTAGCTTTAACACTGCGCCGACGCCGACTGTATGCATCTTGACCGCCGCGGCCCAACCGCAAAAAAACTTCTTGCTGCGACAGCGGGAAGCGCGCGCGAGATGTTCATGCTCCCACCACGCCCTGTCCCACCCCATGCCGTAGCGTAGCATGTCATCCCTGCTGTGACATCAGTGCCCGCGTGCATCTTCGAATGAACGTTATTTCCCCTTCCCCTCCTCCCACCACGCCACCTGCAGCGTGGCATCATTTGTGCCACGACACCGGTGCCGTGCGCAACTTCCAAGTGCCGCAGCGCTTCACCCACATTGCTGCAGCCATCCTAGTCCATGCTGACGCATTCTGTTGGTAGAGTTACATGCACGTATGGTTTGAACCATGGGCGCAAATATGCACAGAAGCTACGTAATGTTACCCGGAAATACAGTTTAAAGCAATTTAAATTATAAGTAAGGCCCGACATGGTGACCTGCGTCTTGTAGCTGAGGCTTCGCTTTTGTGTCAAAGCTTTCTCGGAAATGGCTGCGCCGTCCAAAGAGATGTGAAGCCGGAACCGGGATTGAAAATTGGGGGGGTACCTGGGGTCATGAAATCGTTTAGGTTTTGGCCATGAACCCCACCCATGTCAGCAAATGTTCTTGCAGTTCCGAGTCCTTTAACGACAAATTACAGAGCAGAGTCTGATTGCTCATTGTTGTTCTTGTGCGCTGCATAGACTGCTGCAACTTGTGTGAGATCGACGTATTTGGATGTATTTGGTGGCAAGATGCATGTGCATGCGCGCCGACTGGCGGCACCTGCAACCAGGTTGTAATGCTTCAAGTAATTGCGTGAACCATTTTGATGCGAGACAACCTGTTCCAGCCAGTTTGACTGCCGGAATGTTCGTCAGATCATGTCAGCACAGCAGTTAAATTTTGTTTCAAACATGTTTCAAGTCTATTGCATACTTTTGCATCATACTTTTCTCGGATGTGTGTTTGAATGTATGCCTGCCATATCACCATATCTTCTGCTTGAGAGTTTGCGAAGATCAATGCTTCACCTGAGTCCCCAAATCACAAGTTCCGGGGGTGGGAATTTTTCGAGTTTTGTTTATGTGGACACGGGTCCAGTTATACACAACGCCCACGGTTTGAACTTTCAATACAGTTTGAAGACAATGAATTGACTATAGTAGTTTTTTTTTGGGGTGGGTACATACATTTTTGGGCTAAACACGCAAAAAATGTTTGTTGGTCACTATTTCGATGTTTGTTTATGTTTGTTTACTGTTTTTATTTCCATCATGTTTCTTTCCGTTTGCAACGAAAAACACTCATGTTGCAGCGAGAGTGTTCAATGGTGACCAGTGGCAGAAACCCAAGTTCGTTCAGATCCAATGACTTAAACTGGTTGGTGGTTTGGAACATTTTTTATTTTTCCATATATTGGGAATAATAATCCCAACTGACTTATATTTTTCAGAGGGGTAGGTCAACCACCAACCAGTAAACCGTTACACAACACATGCTTTTGTTCTCATGACATTCTCTTCACGCGTGGCCTTGGAGGGCCAGCTGGTGCAGGACGCCATGTTTCATGTTGTCCTGTGCCCGCGCAACCTCATGGGTTGATTCAATGTGATGTGGCATTTTGGTTTAATTTCGACATAGATGCGTGGGGGAACTGAAAATGCTAAAACCTTGAAGTTGCCTTGTGTAAGGAGGTCTAAAACATGCCGGAATTGATTGGTATAAGTCGAAATGAATTTGTTTCAGCAAAATAATGGGTTTGCGTGCTGTATGCAGCACACAGACAATGTGGAAGGAGACTGTTTTGGCGCAAGAGCTGTCTTTGGCAGAAGAGCGTCAGACAGTAAAATTGCAAGAACTCAGCGAGGCGGTTGATCAGGCGTGAAGACAGGGTGAATACTGGGGGACTGGTGCGATTTTTTGAGGAAACGTCGACTCTTGCAATTACCATTTTCTAAGCACCACATAGCCCGTTCGTTTCAAAAAATCGTTTCAAAAAATTGTGGCATTCCAACATCAAAAAACAAATTGCACATTTGCAAGTTTGTTTTTATTCCATGAAGTCAAAGTATTGGATCACCTGTGCAACTCTATGGCCCACTTCCACATTCAGTTTTGGCCTACTAAGACTAAGCAATATCAGCTGACGTGGGTAGAGGTCTGTCCAGGACATGATTTACCCTCACAGCTAACAAATTCATATTCCTTTAACTAGAAGTCGGGGTTTCTCAGATGGTTGTCTCCCAATGTGGATTAAAGTAGTTGACAGTGCAAAAAACACAATGCCATAAACCCTTTTGTCGTTTCAAATTGTTGTTTACCCCATTGGTTCATGATTAAGTTTATAAATGCATATAGTTGGTATGGCTTAATACTGGTTTACCATATCACAGGTTGATTCCTCAAAGTTTACCTGAAACCTTGCCAAAAATGTTTTTCCATCGAAGCCTATAAACTCATAGTTTCCTTTCTTTGAAGATCTTGAAACCATGACGAAAAAAACCAGGAAGGCCACAGCCGAAAGCCTTGGCACAGGCGGATGTTGTCGAGGACTTGCAGGTCGATGGTCAGCGGATGTCAGCGGTAGGGGCCCACCTTGGCGCCATGGCCATCTGGTCGGCCCACTTGTTGAAAATTGATGTATACAACCTTGATAACACCCAGCATTTCACCTGGAAATCAATCTTAGCTAAATAAAGCATGTGTTCAATGCCTGGCTACCGTGAAGATCCAAAATTGAGGAAATTCAAAGGTTAGGTTTGTCGGTAGCTCATTTGGAACCATGATAGCCAGGCAACTGGTGCACTACCTATGCTGGGGCTACGGCCATACAGCCTACCTATGATCAGACGGCTGTGTTTCCATCACACCACAGAAATTCAAAAATTCAATGGATTAGGTACAGCTCGGGTTGCTGTCTCGGATGTTCCATCCTGACTTAAGAAGACAAGATGTTGCAACGACCCAAATCCGGACTTCACGGATTAATCCCCAATTCCCACGTGTTTTTCTTCAAACACTTTCTGGATGGGATGAAATTGGGGCATGACTTCATGGTCCGAAACCATGAATTATCACTATGGATGATCAACCGGGTCAGCCAGTAAGCACTATCTGAGATGCACATTGAGACACATCGAGTGATACCGTAGATGTATGTTGCAGCTTCAACCCACGGATAGGTGCTGCAAAGTCGCATCCAACAGCCGGCGCCTCACTGAAAAGGACCCCGGCGCTGATGATCGATGCACACGATGAGGATAGTTTTGACGAAAATGACGATGACGGTGATGACGACGGTGGTGGTGGTGGTGGCGGTGGTGCTGATGCTGATGCTGATGCTGATGATGATGCTGATGATGATTATTATGTTTTTAATTCATGATTGATGGTTGATGGGTGCTGGTTGATGGTTGATGATTGATGATTGATGACTTCGACCATGACAGTAATGGTCATGATGATGATGGTGGTGGTGGCACTTGCAGATGAAGACCATGACTGTGGTGATGCTTATGATATCTTTTGACAGGCCATAGACACCATCATCAACATCACTTGTATATATATATCTATATATCAACAGATTCTTTATATATATATAAATACAATTTTATGGTGATGTTGATGATGGTGTCTATGGCCTGAAGAGAGGCTTGATGATAACAATTTCATTTAATATATATATATCTATATAAATATTTAATATTATACATATGTATACTAATATATCTATATCTATATATATATATATATTACTGTGATGATTTTGATCATGATGACAACCATGGTGGTAACAGGAACCACTTTCCCGTCTCCCAGGTTGCAGTTGACCTGTTCGCAATTGGAGCTGCCTCATGACGGGGAGGTACCAAGCACAGCACTTGATATTCCCTGGTGCAATGCTACATGGTAAGTGCAGTATGTCTCCAATGCCCCCAATGAAAACTTTCCCATCCCTAGACTGGCCACCCTTCATGACTTTTTCTTGGGATCGGCCACCACGCAGATCTAAATGTCTTGGTGCTGGTTCGTGATGGAAGGTTCATCCGAAACCTTTCCCACAATATTGGCTGTTTCTGAAACTTGGGATGCCCCCAGACCATTGGTTTCCCGAGAAACAAATGGTTGATTTTGGGGTACCTCATTTCAGGGAACAGCATGAAACCACATGAAACCACCATAGTGTCAGATTATATATGGTATTCCGGTAGAGAAGTGATCTGCAACAATTTTAGCCGAATTATACCTTTCATCCTTTTCAATCTATCTCCGTGAGCGTTGCTTTCTGCGGGGTTTCTGGTCGAAAGCAGCAAGCAGAGCAGGTGGATGTCCTCCAAGATTTGAAGGTGGGTGGGATGGGCACATACAAATAGGGAAATACAGGAAGACATGTATACTATACTCTATATGAACACACAATACATATATATATGATTATGACGACTATGATTACATTTATTCATGTCCTCATCGATTATTTGCACACAATTATATTGCTACTATATGTATAGTTGCTTTTGGTTCTTCAAAAACGTCTCAAATCCTCCTGTTCATTGGATGCAGACAACTGTTCAAGGGCAGTGCACCAGCAAGACCCTGATGGACCTTACACCGTTGATGCGCCACGCAGGCTGAGGAAGAGGAGGCACAAGAAGCCTTGAGGAGCAGAAACCTTTGAGGGGCTCCAGCATCTATTGACATCGAATGTGCAAGCTATGTTTGAAAAGCAAGGCACAAGGGTTGCGATTTATCTGATTCTATTTTGAGGAGTCATGATTCGACCAGACACTAGAATCATCATTGGGATTCTCAAAGCTGTGAATTATCATGAAGCATGTGTAGAATTGCCAGATTTTGCCATTAAAGCAACCTTACTTACATAATCTTACATATATATAATATAATATAATATAATTTAATAAAATATAATATAATATAATATAATTAAAAATATATAATATAAAATATAAATTTTAAATATAAATATATAATATATAATATATAATATATAATTCATAATATATAATATATAATATATAATATATAATATATATATATAATATAAAATATATAATATATATATCATATATATAATATATATATATATCATATAATATATATTTATTTATATATATATATATACATGTATACAGAGATTTGCCAGATTTTCAACTACAGTAAACAATTTTTTCAATGTATAACTGCCAGTTCTTCCACTACAATAATGAATCTTGATATACAATTACCCTACTTTTTAATTACAAAGGCATCTTTTAGATGAATATTGCCAAAAATGGCTCCATTGAAGGAAACTTATTTTACTATGTACAATGAATGAACCAGCAGTACACACACACACATATATATATATTTGCCAGATTTGCCATTAAGACATTTTAATTTTAAAATTGCAATTTATAACTTGCCCGATTTGTTCCTGCAAAACCCAATCTTGTGTTAAGACAGGCATGAGTGACAAAAACAGCATTGAGATATGTTGGGCTACCACAGAGGCTTTGCCCTGTTGAAACCCCAGTTGTGCCAAGCACCTCCAAACTCCATTCGCGAGCGGGCCGGGCTAGCACGCCATTAGATCATTACGTGGGCTAAAGATGGCTAAAGACTAAAACAGCAAACATATTATATACATATACGGGTGTGTCTGAACATGGGGTAAAATGGCAATTTAATGGTGAACATGACCATTTTCCGGCTTCACTTTGAAAGGATTCCATTGTGTCTAGTGTCTATTGGATGCTGATAGCTGCTGGTGCTGAGAGGAGGCAACGACACAGCGAGCAAGCTGCCCACAAGGAGTGGGCGCAGAAATGTTGAAAGGAATCACCCCAAGAAACCAACCATTTGGTCACGCTACATCCCGAATCGAGAATTCAGCATCACGGGATAGTTGAAATAAGTCATGTGGGAAAGCCAATGCCCACAAAGCTACCATGACTGGGGATGGTGTATATATATATATAGTATATACAATGACGGCATTCAGCCTCAGCTTCCTGGCTATGCCGGGTAGCTTGTCAGATCCTGTGGACTGCTAGACAAAGATTGCCAGATAAAATGTTAGCATTTCATATGAAATGTGGGAATATATGGCAGATAGAATGCTAAAGAGAATGCCAGTAGAAGGATAGGCTGCTAGACTGCTAGACAAAATGTCAGATAGAATGCAAGATAGAATGTCGATGATTGAAGGCCAGATAGAATTGCTAGACTGCTAGACACAATGTCAGAGTGAATGCCAGTTTGAATGGCAGATACAATGACAGATAGAATGCCAGATGATAGAGCGTCAGATGAAGTGGCAAATAGAACGTCAAATAGATTGTGAGATAAAATTCTGGGTAGAATGCCAGATGCAACGCCAGATAGAATGTCAACAGAAATGTCAGATAGAATGTGATAGAACGCCTGAATGTCATAATATATGTCAGATAGAATGCCAGCTAAAATTCTACATCAAAGACGGGATAAGATGCCAGAAAGGATGCTAAATAAAATGCCAGTTAGCATTGCATTTCATATAAATTGTTGGTACATACGTCAGAGGGAATGCCAAAGAGAATGGCAGATGTATGTCAGATAGTTGCCAGGTAGAATATCAAATAAAGCGTTGGAGTATGTGTGAATTCAAACGCCAAAATAGTTTCCGAAATAACGTCCAAACAATTTCAGTTGTTGGGAATCCCTCGGAGAAAGTATTATTTTGATGTATGGAATACATGGATATGGGTTGTGCATTCTTTTGCGAAACCCCGTTCTACTCATACAATGTGGGCCCCCCTAGTTATAAGTTGGTTTATACACCCAATTAACTATGTTTATAAGTATCATGAACCACAGTTAGTGGAGTTATTTGCACCAACTGAACGCTATCATAAAGCAGCAATCCAATGAAATCATGGAATCATGTTTGGTTAAATCATCATTTTCCTATGGTTTATGATATTTATAACATATAAAACATAGAAAACCATAGATGAACATAGAAATAGCTCGCTGACTGAGCCGAGCCTTCGTTCCGGTCAGGAAAAACCAGACATCGGCCGCCGCAGGAGCTGAGCGCTCTGCGGCAAAGTCTCGCAGAGGTGAAAAACTCGTGTTGGACCCACAGATGGTTTTGCCAAAGTTTGGAGATTTATAATTAGTTGATGTTAGTTGATGTTCGTTGATGTTAGCTGATGTTAGTTGATGTTAGTTGATGTTAGTTGATGTTAGTTGATGTTAGTTGATGTGACTAAACATGGCAAACCCGGAGACCCCAAAGACGATGTGACTTTTTGATGGGTATATAAGTTACCTTCTGGTTATGACTAACATAGCCATGGTATAGATTGGCCATAGAAATAGATGATTTACCGTTCTTAAAAAGGGTGATTTTCCATGGCTATGTTAAATAATCAGATGGTAGTTGATGTTAGTTGATGTTAGTTGCTGTTATTTGTTTGCCTGTTTAGGCACTGCCTGTTTAGGCATTGCCTATAGTTATGATATATATATATAACTACCCAGATGGGTTTGTTGATGTAGCGAAGTGGGGAGATGGACCAAGTGAGATGGTCTATTTTCTGAGTGTCCTACAAGTGTCCCATATTCTCCTGTACCCTCTGGTAAAATCACCATGTTTAATGGGTAAATCAACTATCAATGGGCCATGTGCAACAGCTATGTTAGTTTACCACAGGGTATCATTTGTTATTATCTTGTGTTTGCCAATGATTTCCCATTTATCGAAGACACTGGGCGTTGGCTGTGCAACTACTGTTGCAAGAACAACACACATTACCACCCATTCATTGAATTAAACTGGACGTACACAAATGATCTAATATTGACCTTGAAATGGATTCACGCATACATACGATACATACGATACATACATACATAGATACATAGATACATAAATACACAGATAGATGGAAAGATAGATAGATAAGATACATAATACATATTCACATACCAACTCATTGCAACAGTATCTATGAATACCTATACTTGATATAGCATTAAAACAGTTGCACTCTTCTGCATACATTTATTATATACATGTCGAACAATTATCAACTTGATTAGATTTGATTAGTATATTATCTTTTTTTATTCTAGTATGCTAGATACTCAAACACTGGTTAACCTACATTATTGTGTTCTCCATGTTTGGTTAAGCAGTTAACCTACATTAAATCAACAACAACAACAACAACACCACCAACGATGACGATGACGACGAGGACGGGGACGAGGACGAGGACGGGGACGACGACGACGGCCGCGACCACGACAACAAAAACAAGAACAACAACGACAACGCCAACAACAACACCACCACCAACACCACCACCAACAACAACAACAACAACAACAACCACGACGACGACAACAACAACAACAACAACAACAACAACAACAACAACCATAACCATATATACATAAACATATATCTATATGTATATATATATAGACATCTACATATACCTATTATACTGTAGAATAACAATTTGGCAGTCTCCTTAAAAAAGGTTAAGGGTAACCCAAATCATCCAAAAGTAAACCATTATTGAACCCCATCGTGACTTGTGGATGTTCCATGATCGCATCAAGGTGACGCCTCGAACTTTGAACCAGTTGAAGAGGCCAGGAGAATCCTTGGGGTTGACACTTTCCTCGTGGAAAAACCATCAGCAATAAGTTTCCATGGAATTTACATGGGGACTCGGGGGTTTTAATGGGTTTTTGATGCGGATTTTCGTGTTTTATTTGAAATAGTTGTTTTAAAGTTTTACATGGTGACTTTGTGGTTTTAATGGGATGTTTGTGGTGACTTTAAGGGGTTTTATGTTTATTTTTGACCATGAACCAAGGGGATTTTTGATGATTTTCATGTTATTCTGAGAGCGTTTGAAAACAGGACAGAGAGGCCCAGCTGGCTACCTAGAAATAGGATAGGATGATGAACCATCAAATTTGGCGGTACCTTCTCTTCAGCCAAACCCATATGATGTTCATGAAAATAATGAAATCATGATGATCTGATGATAGTAGTGACGATACTAGTCATGATAGCCGTGATGGATAGTACAAATCATAATTGATGACAGTAATTAGTGGCAACAGTGGTAGTAATGAGTAATGAACACGATTTTGAACTATTCTGAAGATGTATTTGTATACATAGTACAACCAGAGAAGAAAGGACGGATATGCTGAAGAATGGTTGATTTTTGGGCCCGAGGTGGTTCTTCAAGCATTGCGCTCTGAACTTCCGGAAAAGTTGGGCTGCCCAGCAGCTGCCTCCCCTACATCTACCATGGTTTCGATTGGGGGTGTTTAATTAGTTCACGAGGGGAAGGGATTATGATGGGGAAACTACCATCTTCAAAAAAATACCATGTACCATCTTACAAGTTTTGTCAAACAGTGATTATTGTGGTAAACCCAATGATAAATCATCCCCAGGATCACCATTTTTATGGGTGGTATTTTACCATCCCCAAACACATTAAATCACTATAAATCATAATTAATGATTATATGCCCAATGAACCACATGGAGGTCCCAGAAACCTCCAAAGTCCAGAGTCCCCTGGCCCCTTGGCTGAGGTTGTCGGTTCCTGGCCAGACCTTGTCAGAAATCTTGGAGATCATGGAGTCTGAGTGCGGACACCTGGGATGGCTGCAGAGGTCATGGTAAAACAGCTGTGGTGACAAGTGGTGGTGTCCAAGATAACATGAAAGGTTGAGCACGAGTTGGGTACTACTATACACATAATTGTTACATATATATATATATCTTACTACAGCACCAATATATATTTAACATTGTTTAACTCATCATAAAAGTGAGATTTCTGCAGATTTAACCACGAGGTTTTGGGGTGTGGTCTGTGGATCTTCAATGATCTGCAGCTCAATTCACCAGGCTTCCCCGCGTTGCTCAGGAAAAAGCAAGTCGCAGCCGAGTTGAGGGAAGACCAGGAGCAAGTCCAGGTCGCAGACGTCTGGATGCTGGTGGTGATGCTGCAGGGCTTACCTGTTTCCAGAACATGGCTTAGATGTAGGTTGATATATGTAGTAGGAATATTAATATATATATATATATTAATATAAATGCATCTATATGTATATATATATATATTTAAATATATATATAATATGTATGTATGTATGTATGTATATATATATATGTATGTGTATATATATATATATATCATGCATTTGTTTTCAGTTCATAGCTGCCACTTGTTTTTACATGAATCTTTCGAATTGAAATCCCAAATACCTCGTACCCAATGGAATGTACGCCAAAACTTGCGCGTTGTTTGGAGTTTTGGGAAATTTCTATCATTCCAACAACTAACAACAGCTGCTCTCGCTCCACCCGTCCCCTCCACCAATTTTACGGCAGTGGTGAGTGCAGCGGCAGGCATGGCAGAAGGCCAAAGAGTTAGGGACTCAGAGGAGGAACTTTGGAACTTGTCTGATTCGGGATATGGAGATGGGTTGTGGCATGATTAATGGTGGATGTGGTTTGGGTTGTTAGTTACTGTTAGTTGTTCCCTTGAGTTTTTAATCCCATATGAGGGCTTCAGACCTATCACTAACCAACATTTACCATATGAATTGTGGGGATGAAGCAGCTAATTTGCCAGCTATGAATTGAGGCGAACAGGATTCGCTACCTGGATTTTGACCTAAAGCAACAGTCTCAAATCCGTCAGCAAAGGCGTGGTCGGTGAATTCAGCAATAGGCAATAGTGCTGGGATGATTCCATAGAATCTGGGTAAATTATAACGACCTCACTGCGACCTCACTGGAATAATGGTTAGTAAGGGGAATTATCCAAATATGGTCTTATTTCAGGTTGGTGAATTATTATAATTTGCCCAGATAGAATCCAAACATGTAAAGAATGGCTCAATCCGACTGAGAAATATCCTGCAGACAATAAGATTGTATGCTTGCACTACATTACCCGCAGCTATAGGTATGTCCCAACATGTCCCAACTGCAGTGCTTTCTTCTGAACTATCTGAACTATCAACAGCATCCCATCTGGATAAATTTGACCTCACTATGACCTCACTGGAATCGTAAAGAGAAGTTTCAGTTTAGTGAAATTTCTGATTCTATTTGCCCAGCATCCCATACCCATCCCAACCATTCCCAGCCAAATCGTAAGAAACCGGCCCTTCATCAATGGCCCATTCAGGATCCATTTTATGGAGGTACTGTACCATAGAAGGTCATATCTTGTAGGGGTATTCCCTTACGTAGCCCTCAAAAATAGGCCTTCTGTATGGTATAGGTATTTCCAATAAATCGGTTCCTGCATGGCCATTGATTATGGATAGAAAATTAATGAGTATATGTTCATTAACTTCATTAACTTCATTATTACTATCAATAATCATCAATGATGATAAAAACATCATTTTGGTGATTTTTCTGAACATTATTGATAGATATTGATAGTAATCATGATACCATCGTAACAGAATGTTCATTATTAACCTAGATTATTTACACTATTCAGTATCATTGATAGTAATAATGGTTATTTTCACTAAATAGTTCATAGTAATTATTGATTGATAGCGATCATTGATTACCTACTCATGTTCATGATTTTGTGATTGCCACCGAGGCTTTCCCAGAGCCTGGAGCACTTGGAAGAGCATCAAGGCCTCCTGCGGAAGCGTCATCTCCAGGTGGGCTTCCGAAGTCGTGGGACCCCTGGGACCCCTGGGACCCCAAGAGCTGGATGGTTTGTTTCATGGTTCAAATCCCCCGAAAAAAATGGAGGATTTTGATGGAAAAAATGAGGTACCCCCATTTGATGGTTAACACCTCCAAGATGTTTGGGGTGGGATGTACCCTCCAGCCAACATAGCTACGGAACATGGCCGAAGTCGATGAATTGCTTAGTCATTTTCCATCGCTCTGCGAGGGAAACCAATCAGAAATGGGTGTGTATATATATATAATTATATATATATACCCCATATACATCCATATACCCTCTGGTAAACTGTCCCATAACTATGGAACATCACCATTTTTAATGGGTAAACTCACTATAAATTGCCATTTTCAATGGCTATTTACATAGTACAACCAAATATAACCGCCTAGTTGATTGAGATACACCGGGGTCGTTGATGGGATACTTTTCTATGCATATATATATATATATATATATACCTGCAACAATATCAGGCTTTGGGTGTGTCTGCAAATGGGGGATACCCTAAGGTGTAATTTGATGAGTGCTATGGGAAACGTATGATGACAACTGTATTTGGGGGCAACTTATCTTCAGACAAACCGACGTCGGGAAATGGTGTCAAATAAGCACAACAAATAGCACGACAGTAAAGGTTCGATTGTTACCCTCTGGTAAACTAACATAGCTATGGAAAATCACCATTTTTAATGGGAAAACTCTCACTATTTCTATGGCCATTTTCAATAGCTACGTTAAATTACCAGAGGGTAGATTTGATTGGGTTTGACCGGCGAACATCTAGTTGATTTTCATCGATGGACCATGTTTGACCCGCACGAAAAATCCCGTGCTGGTCAGCTGCTGGTCCATTTGACCCAACATTTTCTTGGGGAAACAGCACACCCGAACTGGCCCATTGCAATCTACTATTTGTATAGATCAGCGATTCTCACATTTCCTCTTTTTAGAATCCTTTTCAGGGGTTAGGCATCATTTCTTGGTTTTGAACTTTCAACCGCCAAAAAAGGTCATGTTGATATGGGAGATTGGAGCGGATAGCTTCAGAAGCAACACCACTTTCAACGCTTTGGACAGAATATGATCAAGGTTGTACTCAAGTTCCAATTTTCAACATTTTAAATATATATATATATAGATGGTGGTGTTCCTTGATTTCCAAGGTTCCAATGTACTCACCATTTTGACCAGTATAACATGGATGGAATGTACATGTATATGATGTCTGAACATGTTCCGCATAAACACATACAATGTTCCATTAAACCATAAATGTTCCATAAACACACAACATGTTCCACATATATAACATGTTCATCTATGGTTTTCATGGAACATCACTAAAAAACCATAAATGTAGCAGAGATGCGTGGAACCTCAGCTGAGCTGAACATGGGTGCTGCACCATGGCACGATATGGCACGTCTCCAGGTGGAGCAGGAGCGGAAACTCGAAGGTCCCGAAGGGCAGTATGTTTACCCTCTGGTAATGACTAACATAACTATGGAAAATCACCATTTTTAATGGGAAAGCCACTATTTCTATGGCCATTTTCAATAGTTAGGTTAGTTTACCAGAGGGTACCTGGATTTGCTGAAGATGTTTTTTTATTTATTCCCCACCTGCCAGGTGAGGGTTGTTAGATTTTATGTCAGTTGCCTCCTCCTCCTCCTTCTCCTCCTTCTCCTCCTCCTCCTCCTCCGCCTCCTCCTGCCTCGTCCTCCTCTCCTCCTCCTCCTCGTCCTCCTCGTCGTCCTCGTCGTCCTCGTCGTCCTCGTCGTCCTTGCTCAACTGCGACCCGCGATCCACAGTGTTCTCTGCCGGACCTCAACCACGACCATCCACGCCCAGTGTTCCCTGCCGGACCTCAACCACGACCATCCTCGCCCAGTGTTCCCTGCCGGACCTCAACCACGACCATCCACGCCCAGTGTTCCCTGCCGGACCTCAACCACGACCATCCTCGCCCAGTGTTCCCTGCCGGACCTCAACCACGACCATCCACGCCCAGTGTTCCCTGCCGGACCTCAACCGCGAGTATCCACGCCAAGTGTTCCCTGCCGGACCTCATGTAGGAAGATATGGGACAAAGAATGTGCAGAAGAAAGTTAGAAAGAATGTCAGAAAGAATGTCAGAAGATATGCCAGAAGATATGCCAGATAGAATGCCAGATAATATGCCAGAAGATATGCCAGATAGAATGCCAGATAGAATGCCAGAAGATATGCCAGATCATATGTATGCCAGAAGATATGCCAGAAGATATGCCCAGATAGATATGCCAGAAGATATGTGCCAGATAGATGCCAGAAGATATGTCAGCCAGATATGAGTGCCAGAAATGTAGCCAGAAGATATGCCAGATAGATATGCCAGATAGAATGCCAGAAGATATGTCCAGATAGCCAGATAGAATGCCAGATTCCAGATATGTCAGATAGAGTGCCAGAAGATATGCCAGATAGAATGCCAGAAGATTTGCCAGATAGAATGCCAGAAGATATTATGCCAGATCATATGCCAGAAGATATGCCAGATAGAATGCCAAATAGAATGTCAGAAGATATGTCAGATAGAATGCCAGAAGATTTGCCAGTAAGAAAATGTATAAATGTCATGGTGGGGATCACACGAAGTAAAGTAATTTTCTCAATGGTGAAAATCCACCATTTGGGGAATCTACTAGGATTAGTTTTTCTTGTGTTTTGAGGACCCTGAAAAATCAAATTCAAGTGACTAAGTGTAGTACTTTCTAATCTTGAGATCTGAATGGGAATATTTCCTGAGCGTGTCAAGCTCAGCTCCAAAACGTCCTTTAGATGTTCAACATAATTGTGATATTGATACACATACAGCGTATTTGTATTTGTTCTTTTAAACACTCATTGACGTTTTTTTTTTACAAAATTATTTTATAGATTATCAATGTGATAACTACTTCATATCTGTATAAATATATACCTGTAGATATATATATATATATAGAATTCTATATTATATACTATACATAGTATATATAATATGAGGATGTATCAAAACCTATGATTTACCATACAACTTGTGTGATCCGCCAACAAGGTCAGGGCCTGAGTGACTTGGAGGATCTTCGTGCAGAGGCGATCAAAACTGCAGCATCGCAGTTGATTTTATGTGGATAAAACCATAACTGGGATAATATATTCTGGGATTATTTGTATCTTACCCTCTGGTAAACTAACATAGCTACGGAAAATCACTTTTTTTAATGAGTAAATCCACTATAAATGGCAATTTTCAATAGCTATGTTAGTTTACCAGAGGGTATTTGTATACAAAAAATAACTGGGATAATATTACCATGCTGATAACTGGGATAATATATTCTGGGATTATTTGTATCTTAGATATTTACAGCATGTTTTTTTTTGCGTAACATCCCCCCAAGACAATTGTGTGTTGTTTTCTCTGAACAAGAATAAAATATCGCGAGGACACTGAGAAATACGTTGGTTTATGGGAAGATGCATCGTTTCGATATGGCCAAAACTGTTGGTGCACGAACTTGAAGTTGTTGAGGTGCAAACCATCGACAGTATATAAAAGGCTATAGTGTAATGCGTTTCAGCAGCCTATCTTGTTGATGTAACATGTTTTACCAACATAGTATAGTTAGGATGATCCCAGAAATCCAGCCGTCTCAGTTGGGTATTTGCCATAGATTGGTTCCTGTCCTACGAAAGTTGATGGGTAGCGTGGTTTTGTTACCCCCAATAAACTATTGTATGTATATATATATAATAAATATATATATATATATAGAAACCATCTACCAAAACATCTATAAAACCAATCAGGGATTTAGTTGTTTTCACCAACTAAGCTATGCTTTGGGGGACCCCACGTTGCATTGTTGACGCGTGGAACCCATGCTGCCAGAGGCTGCTGCGTTGAAGGTGGAGAACCAGCTGTTAAATCGGCAGCAGGCGAGCCATCCTCCCTTGCTACGGTGCGGACATATCAGCAGTTCGTGATGGGGTATGTTAGGGTATACCCCCATCTAGACAGGTATACCATGGTATACCATGGTATACCATGATTTATATTGTATATATTGATATGTATATATATATATATATTGATATGTACTGATATATATTGGTATACCCAAAATCTATGATCTGAAAAAAAATCGATATAGTCAATCTAGGGCTTTTTTGGGGCCGCAACTACAGCATTGGGGACGTAATTAGTAGTGGAAGGCTGGAGGAAAGAGTTCCAGTTCATGTTGTTTGTGAGTAGGGTTGGAAAAGTCGGGAAGTGTCGTGTTTCATGGGCGTCCAACTTCAACGCATTGAAGATTTTGGTGATGATGCTACTGATGATACTGATGATGACGATGGCGAAGATGATCATGGCGATGGCGAAGACAATTCTGTTGTGGTTTCCATTTGATTGCGCTCCTCAGTTTCCTGATTCTCGAGATTGGTTTGTTTGAACATGCTTTTTGTACCCATATTCGATGCTTCATGGTGCTTCATGATGTTAATCATGTTCCCATTACTATGGAAAATCACAATTTTTAATGGGAAAATCCACTATAAATGGCCATTTTCAATAGCTATGTTAAATTACCAGAGGGTAAACAATGCCATAACTTGGCGTGTAAATCCTCCATTTTCAGACGCACCCAGATTCGTCAGAGGTGGAGTGGCGACGCTCGCAGTCTTTGATGCAGGGAAGCCGAGTTCTAAAAAGTTGGGTGCCAAAACGGCAAAAAAAAATGGTGAATTCTTAAGGGTTCGTTCTATGTTTTTTAGATCTTCGACCTTTGGAACAGTTGCAGTATGTCCCATTAAAATCCATTAAAATCATGATGTCCCCACTTCTTTCCCGATTACCCATAGGATCCATGTATGGTATATATGCTAACATTTGGGGTATATTGATGGTAATGTTACCATATATAGCATACATGGATCCTATGGGTTATATTACCATTGTTTCCTGTAATCAAAGTGACATATTGACCTCTGCATTTTGTGGGATGGAGCATGTCGTCCCCAAAAAAAAGAGGTGGGATGGGACCCTTTTCTAATGGGGGGTACCCCAAATCATCCAAGTCATTGGACCATGGCTTAGTCTTGAAACCCTTGGTGACTTGGGGATCTTCCATTTTAAGAAACCCTTATATATATATATATGATACATGTATCGAATGTTTCATATCCCCATGAATCCCATGGTGAATCCCTATTGTTAATGGTTACCCTCTGGTAAACTAACATAGCTATTGAAAATGGCCATTTATAGTGAGTTGTCCCATTAAAAATGGTGGATCTTTCCATAGTTATGTTAATTTACCAGAGGGTAATCCCCCATCATGCTGCAGGTTGAGGCTTGCCGAGGAGATGCAGAAGAATCCTTCACAGGTGCAGTTTTTTTTTTGTGTCCCCAAAAATGTTGTGGGGAGGATCATCTGTGAGGGGACACTTCCAAGACTCAGCTGTGGGGATTTCGTATTTTTGATGTGTTTTCGAGCTGTGGGATGAAGTCTTCTGAAATGTCTTGAACACTGAAACAGATGAGAACTAAGATTTTTTTGGGGGAACTAAGGACCCACGGATGAAGGGAGCTAAAAAGCTGAGGCACCCCCAAATCACTGGGGAGGTACCCTTGGTGAAAACACCCGGAGGTTTGCACAATCTTTTCAACAGATACTTGCACCTAGACATGGGTGTGCTTGAAAATGGCGTATACACCACTTAAATGGACATTTTAAACAGGGAACATGATGACCTGATGGTGAAGCAGTGGATTTCAAGGTTATCCCCTAAATGTTCAGGTACCAAAACCACATTGAAGACACGTTGGACCCCCAGCCCTCACCTCCAGTCGCATCAGGTGGAAGCTGTTGCCGATGAAGGACCGCATTGACTGGACAGCAACGATTGCGGCGGGAGGGGTTCTCCCGCCATTTTGGAAGATCCCATGTCACTCCGTTTTCTCGCAACCAGCCAAAATTAAGCTGACTAGTGGATCATGTCATTTTTTCCAACAGCAACAAATGGGATGATTACACCGCCTAATTTCAAAATGGGACCCCGCAGACATTTTGCCATGCATTTCCACGGCATTTTTGCTCAACGTTGGTTTCACCTGCGCAAGATCGCCTGTGTGTGTGAATTTTATTTTCTGGCTGAAACGCTTCGCGTTTGCGCAGAAGATGTGTTACAAATTCCAGTGGTGCCCTGTTGTAATTTCCAATGACAGCCTGTTGACATCTGTCCTTATTGATGTTTGAGGCGAACAGCCATCCGGAACTACTAAAGATTGCATGGTGTGCTTGATGTTTCAAGATTCCAATCATCCTATTATCATCATGATTATCATCCATCCTATTTCCATTCAATACTAGCATACGATACCAGGCCATACTATTCAAATTAAGCTGATGGATGATCATGTTCCACCTTATTGTATGGTTAGCAATACAATAGTTGCTAATGATGTTCCACTATAGTTTGCAAGGATGCTAATTACACGCAACTATTTTCCACGCTACCAAGTGTTATACATAAAACATAAATGGCATGGTAATACTTGGTATGGTTTATGTAATACTTGGCATATTACCAGTATTTTCCACCCTACCATGGTGTGGTTTAAGAATCAGTTTTGTACATTTCCACACTATCATCCACTGATCCTCCAGCATCACCAATGATCTCGGATCAGGACCAACGGCGGCTGAACTTGAGCTGCGAAAGGTGCTGAACATTGCTGAACGGGGATGATGGGGAACCAGTTTGATGACTTGAAATTGGGATTCAACCATCACACATGTTTGAAACATGGGGATTATATGGGGAATCATGCAAAAAGAAAGCCGCCGGTAGATGTGTTGATATGTTTTGCACACTTATCGACGACAGAAATTATCACAAATTCTTGTACAGTGTGCCATGTATATTATTTGTGTCTGAAAAAAATCGGAGTTTCTTTCCGTGTGCAGTCACTCCGGTAGGTACTTCAAAGCAATCGAGATCTGCAACAGCAGATTGAGAAAATGCAGAAAGAGAAGGCCTCAGGGGGACTTGAGAGGACATACGTTTGTTGGTACTGTACCCTCTGGTAAACCAACATAGCTATGGAAAATGGCTCATTTCCAGATGATTGACCTATTAAGAAGATGGTGATTTTCCAATAGCTATGTTGGCTTACCAGAGGGTAATGGCTCCAGTCACTGGGTAATACTGGGTCTCACGAATGATAGGCTTACAGCCTTGCACTAGCAAGCCGACGTGTGTGTCTTCACAAATTGAATCATACCATTTGGGACATTCCCATAGATTCACTTCTTATGTTCGGCTTGTCTTTACTTGCAGCACATCCATAGTGCATAGTGCATTCCTGCCATTTCAACAGCTCTAGAAAGACCCCCCAAAAATGGTAGTACCAAAAGCATTTGGGGGTAAAACAGCATTCTTATCTGGTTGGTGGTTTGGAACATTTTTTTTTCCATATACTGGGAATAAGAACCCCAACTGACTTCCATATATTGGGAATAACCATCCCAACTGACTAATATTTTTCAAGATGGTTAAAACCACCAACCAGAGAAAACATTTGGGGGTAAAACAGCATTCTTATGGATATTTGGAGGGTCCGGGTTCCTTCAAGCAGATCCTCAGATTCCTCTCGCAGGAAGAGCTAATGCAGGGCCAAAGAGGGCCCCAAGCTCAGATGGAACAAGTTGCTGCAGGGTTTCCAGGGTTACTTCGGAAAGCCTCATTTTGATCTCATTTGTTGATCCTTTTCATGACATGTTATGACATTTTACTGAAACCCAAAGTTGACGTTTTAAATGGACTTAAACGGTGTTGTGGTACCATCTGATACTGGATGCTGCATAATGAGGTAAAGAAAGTAATAAACCATCCAAGATTGGGGTTTATTGTTGGGTATACCCCTATTAGGGATGATTTATTGTTGGGTTTACCGCCAGGTTTGAAACCTTTGTGCGCTCCCGCTTGTATCGCGGTTGCAAGATATCTGGGATTGGGCCATAGATGGCCATAGCTAGGAGGATGTCTGGAGGAAGGAAAACCATGGAAAAAAATACTTTACTTCGTGTGATCCCCACCATGACATTTATAGATTTTCTTACTGGCAAATCTTCTGGCATTCTATCTGACATATCTTCTGGCATTCTATCTGGCATTCTATCTGGCATATCTTCTGGCATATATTCTGACATATCTTCTGGCATTCTATCTGGCATATCTTCTGACATTCTTTCTAACTTTCTTCTGCACATTCTTTGTCCCATATCTTCATACATGAGGTCCGGCAGGGAACACTTGGTGTGGATACTCGCGGTTGAGGTCCGGCAGGGAACACTGGGCGTGGATGGTCGTGGTTGAGGTCCGGCAGGGAACACTGGGCGTGGATGGTCGTGGTTGAGGTCCGGCAGGGAACACTGGGCGTGGATGGTCGTGGTTGAGGTCCGGCAGGGAACACTGGGCGTGGATGGTCGTGGTTGAGGTCCGGCAGGGAACACTGTGGATCGCGGGTCGCAGTTGGACGAGGAGGACGCGAGGAGGACGACGAGGAGGAGGAGAGGAGATGAGGAGAGGAGAGGAGAGGAGGAGCAGGCAACTGACATAAAATCTAACAACCCTCACCTGGCAGGTGGGGAATTACTTTACTTCGTGTGATCCCCACCATGACATTTATACATTTTCTTACTGGCAAATCTTCTGGCATTCTATCTGACATATCTTCTGACATTCTATTTGCATTCTATCTGGCATCTGATCTTCTATCTGGCATATCTTCTGGCATATATTCTGACATATCTTCTGGCATTCTATCTTCTGGCATTCTATCTGGCAAATCTTCTGGCATTCTATCTGGCATATCTTCTGGCATTCTATCTATCTGACATATCTTCTGGCATTCTATCTGGCATTCTTCTGGCATATTCTATCTGGCTGGCATTCTATATCTTCTGGCATTCTATCTGGCAATCTGATGCATTCTATCTGGCATATCTTCTGGCATTCTCTCTGATCATATATCTTCTGCATTCTATCTGGCACATATCTTCTGGCATTCTATCTGGCATATCTTCTGGCATATATTCTGATATCTATCTGGCATTCTATCTGGCATTCTATCTGGCATATCTTCTGACTTTCTAACTTTCTTCTGCACATTCTTTGTCCCATATCTTCCTACATGAGGTCCGGCAGGGAACATTTGGCGTGGATACTCGCGGTTGAGGTCCGGCAGGGAACACTTGGCATGTATCCTCGCGGTTGAGGTCCGGCAGAGAACACTGGGCGTGGATGGTCGTGGTTCAGGTCCGGCAGGGAACACTGGGCCCGGATACTCGCGGTTGAGGTCCGGCAGGGAACACTGGGCGTGGATGGTCGTGGTTGAGGTCCGGCAGGGCACACTGGGCGTGGATGGTCGTGGTTGAGGTCCGACAGAGAACACTGTGGATCGCGGGTCGCAGTTGGACGAGGAGGACGACGAGGAGGACGACGAGGAGGAGGAGAGGAGATGAGGAGAGGAGAGGAGAGGAGAGGAGGAGCAGGCAACTGACATAAAATCTAACAACCCTCACCTGGCAGGTGGGGAACAACAAACTACAGATTCGGCCTTTGGGATACTTTAGGGACTTTCCATGGACATTGGGATTTTATTGGCTTCAACAAAAGACTGGAGTTCAACTTTTAAGAAGACCCGGCAGTCAGACTGGTTGCGTTTTTTTTGGCTTCAACAAGGATGACTGGTGCTTCATGTGTACCAACTGAGAAGGGTTTTTTTACATTGCTTTTTGGCACCTGATTCAATGACTTGGTCGTTTATTGAATTCTGGGTTCCAGCTGGATGAAACAGACCTTGAAAACCAATGGGATCACCAAGCCCCCTGCAGCTGCTACTGGATTTCTGAACCAACAGTGGACTTGCCATTGGACTTGCCATTTGTCGCCTGATTTCGCTGGCATTTTTTGGTCAGGATTGAACCATATTGGAGGAATGCCAGTAGCAAATTGTAGATGGGGTGAATTCTGAAGCTTATTGGTACATGTTTGCAATGCATCATTGCTGATTCTTTCCGGTCATCACACCATATTCCGATTTTGAATCGTGTGGATGCTGTTTTGACATGTGTTTCTTAATTGTTTGTTTGCGATAAGTAATCCTAGTTGACTATCGCAGTTGGCTCACAGTTTTTGGCTGGGCCAACATCATTTTCATAGATCAAATTCCCATGATATCCATGATGGATGTTGAAGTGGTAGCCTCATTCTTGCTCTTCAAACGCCCACATTGTTTTTGTTCTTCCCGGATTTTTCTCGCTTGAATCCCCATATGGCCCATGTTGCTTTATATCATTTTATATCCATGATACAATATGTGTTGATTAGCTGACCAAGAGTTCTTGAATTCCTAATTCTTCTTCAAATCATAAAAATGACATCCATATATATATACATCCATATTTTATAATATGTTCAAACATGTTTCTTTTTACTATAGCCACCTACATTTTTGTCATGTTTTGGATGCTTGCACCTGGCGATGACTACGCTCTGAGGCCAACGGTGGAGATGGCGAAAGTGACCAAGGTCAGTTGCTATCCACCGTCGCCGTGACCAAAAAGGATGCTGTGATGCATGGTGAAGGGGATGAGATCCCGGGCGTGTGATTATCTGATACTGTAACAGTTGTTTTTCAGGTGGGTGAATTATGAGAACTCACTATATAATTCAGCCAGATTTGATTTCGGGATGATGATCTTGACGATTTGTACATCGAAGGTGTACCATTTTAGACGACCTTAAAGCGGTTCTTCTTCGGCCTTCGCACGTAATGATGCTGTGTTTTTGTGCTTGCATGTTTTTGCTTACGCCCCGAAAACCGTACGAGTAAAACGCACATTTTTGAAGATCTCTATGTTGGGGTGGGGTGGGGTGGGGGGGGGTGGGGGATGTTAACGTACCTTGTACTTCGTACATGATCCATTGCTACGCTGCTGAGATCTCTGGGATCGTTTACTACGTTACATGTTGCTACGCTGCTGATGGGGTGGGGTGGGGGGGCGGGGGATGTTAACGTACCTTGTACTTCGTACATGATCCATTGCTACGCTGCTGAGATCTCTGGGATCGTTTACTACGTTACATGTTGCTACGCTGCTGATGGGGTGGGGTGGGGGGGGTGGGGGATGTTACGTACCTTGTACTTCGTACATGATCCATTGCTACGCTGCTGAGATCTCTGGGATCGTTTACTACGTTACATGTTGCTACGCTGCGGATGGGTGGGTGGGGGGTGGGGGATGTTAACGTACCTTGTACTTCGTACATGATCCATTGCTACGCTGCTGAGATCTCTGGGATCGTTTACTACGTTACATGTTGCTACGCTGCGGATGGGGTGGGGTGGGGGGGTGGGGGATGTTAACGTACCTTGTACTTCGTACATGATCAATTGCTACGCTGCTGAGATCTCTGGGATCGTTTACTACGTTACATGTTGCTACGCTGCTGATGGGGTGGGGTGGGTAATAATTTGCCCAGATAGAATCCAAACATGTAAAGAATGGCTCAATCCGACTGAGAAATATCCTGCAGACAATAAGATTGTATGCTTGCACTACATTACCCGCAGCTATAGGTATGTCCCAACATGTCCCAACTGCAGTGCTTTCTTCTGAACTATCTGAACTATCAACAGCATCCCATCTGGATAAATTTGACCTCACTATGACCTCACTGGAATCGTAAAGAGAAGTTTCAGTTTAGTGAAATTTCTGATTCTATTTGCCCAGCATCCCATACCCATCCCAACCATTCCCAGCCAAATCGTAAGAAACCGGCCCTTCATCAATGGCCCATTCAGGATCCATTTTATGGAGGTACTGTACCATAGAAGGTCATATCTTGTAGGGGTATTCCCTTACGTAGCCCTCAAAAATAGGCCTTCTGTATGGTATAGGTATTTCCAATAAATCGGTTCCTGCATGGCCATTGATTATGGATAGAAAATTAATGAGTATATGTTCATTAACTTCATTAACTTCATTATTACTATCAATAATCATCAATGATGATAAAAACATCATTTTGGTGATTTTTCTGAACATTATTGATAGATATTGATAGTAATCATGATACCATCGTAACAGAATGTTCATTATTAACCTAGATTATTTACACTATTCAGTATCATTGATAGTAATAATGGTTATTTTCACTAAATAGTTCATAGTAATTATTGATTGATAGCGATCATTGATTACCTACTCATGTTCATGATTTTGTGATTGCCACCGAGGCTTTCCCAGAGCCTGGAGCACTTGGAAGAGCATCAAGGCCTCCTGCGGAAGCGTCATCTCCAGGTGGGCTTCCGAAGTCGTGGGACCCCTGGGACCCCTGGGACCCCAAGAGCTGGATGGTTTGTTTCATGGTTCAAATCCCCCGAAAAAAATGGAGGATTTTGATGGAAAAAATGAGGTACCCCCATTTGATGGTTAACACCTCCAAGATGTTTGGGGTGGGATGTACCCTCCAGCCAACATAGCTACGGAACATGGCCGAAGTCGATGAATTGCTTAGTCATTTTCCATCGCTCTGCGAGGGAAACCAATCAGAAATGGGTGTGTGTATATATATATAATTATATATATATATACCCCATATACATCCATATACCCTCTGGTAAACTGTCCCATAACTATGGAACATCACCATTTTTAATGGGTAAACTCACTATAAATTGCCATTTTCAATGGCTATTTACATAGTACAACCAAATATAACCGCCTAGTTGATTGAGATACACCGGGGTCGTTGATGGGATACTTTTCTATGCATATATATATATACCTGCAACAATATCAGGCTTTGGGTGTGTCTGCAAATGGGGGATACCCTAAGGTGTAATTTGATGAGTGCTATGGGAAACGTATGATGACAACTGTATTTGGGGGCAACTTATCTTCAGACAAACCGACGTCGGGAAATGGTGTCAAATAAGCACAACAAATAGCACGACAGTAAAGGTTCGATTGTTACCCTCTGGTAAACTAACATAGCTATGGAAAATCACCATTTTTAATGGGAAAACTCTCACTATTTCTATGGCCATTTTCAATAGCTACGTTAAATTACCAGAGGGTAGATTTGATTGGGTTTGACCGGCGAACATCTAGTTGATTTTCATCGATGGACCATGTTTGACCCGCACGAAAAATCCCGTGCTGGTCAGCTGCTGGTCCATTTGACCCAACATTTTCTTGGGGAAACAGCACACCCGAACTGGCCCATTGCAATCTACTATTTGTATAGATCAGCGATTCTCACATTTCCTCTTTTTAGAATCCTTTTCAGGGGTTAGGCATCATTTCTTGGTTTTGAACTTTCAACCGCCAAAAAAGGTCATGTTGATATGGGAGATTGGAGCGGATAGCTTCAGAAGCAACACCACTTTCAACGCTTTGGACAGAATATGATCAAGGTTGTACTCAAGTTCCAATTTTCAACATTTTAAATATATATATATATAGATGGTGGTGTTCCTTGATTTCCAAGGTTCCAATGTACTCACCATTTTGACCAGTATAACATGGATGGAATGTACATGTATATGATGTCTGAACATGTTCCGCATAAACACATACAATGTTCCATTAAACCATAAATGTTCCATAAACACACAACATGTTCCACATATATAACATGTTCATCTATGGTTTTCATGGAACATCACTAAAAAACCATAAATGTAGCAGAGATGCGTGGAACCTCAGCTGAGCTGAACATGGGTGCTGCACCATGGCACGATATGGCACGTCTCCAGGTGGAGCAGGAGCGGAAACTCGAAGGTCCCGAAGGGCAGTATGTTTACCCTCTGGTAATGACTAACATAACTATGGAAAATCACCATTTTTAATGGGAAAGCCACTATTTCTATGGCCATTTTCAATAGTTAGGTTAGTTTACCAGAGGGTACCTGGATTTGCTGAAGATGTTTTTTTATTTATTCCCCACCTGCCAGGTGAGGGTTGTTAGATTTTATGTCAGTTGCCTCCTCCTCCTCCTTCTCCTCCTTCTCCTCCTCCTCCTCCTCCGCCTCCTCCTGCCTCGTCCTCCTCTCCTCCTCCTCCTCCTCCTCGTCCTCCTCGTCGTCCTCGTCGTCCTCGTCGTCCTCGTCGTCCTTGCTCAACTGCGACCCGCGATCCACAGTGTTCTCTGCCGGACCTCAAACACGACCATCCACGCCCAGTGTTCCCTGCCGGACCTCAACCACGACCATCCACGCCCAATGTTCCCTGCCGGACCTCAACCACGACCATCCTCGCCCAGTGTTCCCTGCCGGACCTCAACCACGACCATCCACGCCCAGTGTTCCCTGCCGGACCTCAATCGCGAGTATCCACGCCAAGTGTTCCCTGCCGGACCTCATGTAGGAAGATATGGGACAAAGAATGTGCAGAAGAAAGTTAGAAAGAAGGTCAGAAAGAATGTCAGAAGATATGCCAGAAGATATGCCAGAAGATATGCCAGATAGAATGCCAGATAATATGCCAGAAGATATGCCAGATAGAATGCCAGATAGAATGCCAGAAGATTTGCCAGATAGAATGCCAGAAAATATGCCAGAAGATATGCCGGATAGATATGTCAGAAGATATGCCAGAAGATATGCCAGAAGATATGCCAGAAGATATGTCAGAATATATGCCAGAAGATATGTCAGATAGAATGCCAGAAGATATGTCAGAATATATGCCAGAAGATATGCCAGATAGAATGCCAGAAGATATGTCAGATAGAGTGCCAGAAGATATGCCAGATAGAATGCCAGAAGATTTGCCAGAAGATTTGCCAGATAGAATGCGAGAAGATATGCCAGATCATATGCCAGAAGATATGCCAGATAGAATGTCAAATAGAATGTCAGAAGATATGTCAGATAGAATGCCAGAAGATTTGCCAGTAAGAAAATGTATAAATGTCATGGTGGGGATCACACGAAGTAAAGTAATTTTCTCAATGGTGAAAATCCACCATTTGGGGAATCTACTAGGATTAGTTTTTCTTGTGTTTTGAGGACCCTGAAAAATCAAATTCAAGTGACTAAGTGTAGTACTTTCTAATCTTGAGATCTGAATGGGAATATTTCCTGAGCGTGTCAAGCTCAGCTCCAAAACGTCCTTTAGATGTTCAACATAATTGTGATATTGATACACATACAGCGTATTTGTATTTGTTCTTTTAAACACTCATTGACGTTTTTTTTTACAAAATTATTTTATAGATTATCAATGTGATAACTACTTCATATCTGTATAAATATATACCTGTAGATATATATATATAGAATTCTATATTATATACTATACATAGTATATATAATATGAGGATGTATCAAAACCTATGATTTACCATACAACTTGTGTGATCCGCCAACAAGGTCAGGGCCTGAGTGACTTGGAGGATCTTCGTGCAGAGGCGATCAAAACTGCAGCATCGCAGTTGATTTTATGTGGATAAAACCATAACTGGGATAATATATTCTGGGATTATTTGTATCTTACCCTCTGGTAAACTAACATAGCTACGGAAAATCACTTTTTTTAATGAGTAAATCCACTATAAATGGCAATTTTCAATAGCTATGTTAGTTTACCAGAGGGTATTTGTATACAAAAAATAACTGGGATAATATTACCATGCTGATAACTGGGATAATATATTCTGGGATTATTTGTATCTTAGATATTTACAGCATGTTTTTTTTTTGCGTAACATCCCCCCAAGACAATTGTGTGTTGTTTTCTCTGAACAAGAATAAAATATCGCGAGGACACTGAGAAATACGTTGGTTTATGGGAAGATGCATCGTTTCGATATGGCCAAAACTGTTGGTGCACGAACTTGAAGTTGTTGAGGTGCAAACCATCGACAGTATATAAAAGGCTATAGTGTAATGCGTTTCAGCAGCCTATCTTGTTGATGTAACATGTTTTACCAACATAGTATAGTTAGGATGATCCCAGAAATCCAGCCGTCTCAGTTGGGTATTTGCCATAGATTGGTTCCTGTCCTACGAAAGTTGATGGGTAGCGTGGTTTTGTTACCCCCAATAAACTATTGTATGTATATATATATAATAAATATATATATATATAGAAACCATCTACCAAAACATCTATAAAACCAATCAGGGATTTAGTTGTTTTCACCAACTAAGCTATGCTTTGGGGGACCCCACGTTGCATTGTTGACGCGTGGAACCCATGCTGCCAGAGGCTGCTGCGTTGAAGGTGGAGAACCAGCTGTTAAATCGGCAGCAGGCGAGCCATCCTCCCTTGCTACGGTGCGGACATATCAGCAGTTCGTGATGGGGTATGTTAGGGTATACCCCCATCTAGACAGGTATACCATGGTATACCATGATTTATATTGTATATATTGATATGTATATATATATATATTGATATGTACTGATATATATTGGTATACCCAAAATCTATGATCTGAAAAAAAATCGATATAGTCAATCTAGGGCTTTTTTGGGGCCGCAACTACAGCATTGGGGACGTAATTAGTAGTGGAAGGCTGGAGGGAAGAGTTCCAGTTCATGTTGTTTGTGAGTAGGGTTGGAAAAGTGGGGAAGTGTCGTGTTTCATGGGCGTCCAACTTCAACGCATTGAAGATTTTGGTGATGATGCTACTGATGATACTGATGATGACGATGGCGAAGATGATCATGGCGATGGCGAAGACAATTCTGTTGTGGTTTCCATTTGATTGCGCTCCTCAGTTTCCTGATTCTCGAGATTGGTTTGTTTGAACATGCTTTTTGTACCCATATTCGATGCTTCATGGTGCTTCATGATGTTAATCATGTTCCCATTACTATGGAAAATCACAATTTTTAATGGGAAAATCCACTATAAATGGCCATTTTCAATAGCTATGTTAAATTACCAGAGGGTAAACAATGCCATAACTTGGCGTGTAAATCCTCCATTTTCAGACGCACCCAGATTCGTCAGAGGTGGAGTGGCGACGCTCGCAGTCTTTGATGCAGGGAAGCCGAGTTCTAAAAAGTTGGGTGCCAAAACGGCAAAAAAAAAAGGTGAATTCTTAAGGGTTCGTTCTATGTTTTTTAGATCTTCGACCTTTGGAACAGTTGCAGTATGTCCCATTAAAATCCATTAAAATCATGATGTCCCCACTTCTTTCCCGATTACCCATAGGATCCATGTATGGTATATATGCTAACATTTGGGGTATATTGATGGTAATGTTACCATATATAGCATACATGGATCCTATGGGTTATATTACCATTGTTTCCTGTAATCAAAGTGACATATTGACCTCTGCATTTTGTGGGATGGAGCATGTCGTCCCCAAAAAAAAGAGGTGGGATGGGACCCTTTTCTAATGGGGGGTACCCCAAATCATCCAAGTCATTGGACCATGGCTTAGTCTTGAAACCCTTGGTGACTTGGGGATCTTCCATTTTAAGAAACCCTTATATATATATATGATACATGTATCGAATGTTTCATATCCCCATGAATCCCATGGTGAATCCCTATTGTTAATGGTTACCCTCTGGTAAACTAACATAGCTATTGAAAATGGCCATTTATAGTGAGTTGTCCCATTAAAAATGGTGGATCTTTCCATAGTTATGTTAATTTACCAGAGGGTAATCCCCCATCATGCTGCAGGTTGAGGCTTGCCGAGGAGATGCAGAAGAATCCTTCACAGGTGCAGTTTTTTTTTTGTGTCCCCAAAAATGTTGTGGGGAGGATCATCTGTGAGGGGACACTTCCAAGACTCAGCTGTGGGGATTTCGTATTTTTGATGTGTTTTCGAGCTGTGGGATGAAGTCTTCTGAAATGTCTTGAACACTGAAACAGATGAGAACTAAGATTTTTTTGGGGGAACTAAGGACCCACGGATGAAGGGAGCTAAAAAGCTGAGGCACCCCCAAATCACTGGGGAGGTACCCTTGGTGAAAACACCCGGAGGTTTGCACAATCTTTTCAACAGATACTTGCACCTAGACATGGGTGTGCTTGAAAATGGCGTATACACCACTTAAATGGACATTTTAAACAGGGAACATGATGACCTGATGGTGAAGCAGTGGATTTCAAGGTTATCCCCTAAATGTTCAGGTACCAAAACCACATTGAAGACACGTTGGACCCCCAGCCCTCACCTCCAGTCGCATCAGGTGGAAGCTGTTGCCGATGAAGGACCGCATTGACTGGACAGCAACGATTGCGGCGGGAGGGGTTCTCCCGCCATTTTGGAAGATCCCATGTCACTCCGTTTTCTCGCAACCAGCCAAAATTAAGCTGACTAGTGGATCATGTCATTTTTTCCAACAGCAACAAATGGGATGATTACACCGCCTAATTTCAAAATGGGACCCCGCAGACATTTTGCCATGCATTTCCACGGCATTTTTGCTCAACGTTGGTTTCACCTGCGCAAGATCGCCTGTGTGTGTGAATTTTATTTTCTGGCTGAAACGCTTCGCGTTTGCGCAGAAGATGTGTTACAAATTCCAGTGGTGCCCTGTTGTAATTTCCAATGACAGCCTGTTGACATCTGTCCTTATTGATGTTTGAGGCGAACAGCCATCCGGAACTACTAAAGATTGCATGGTGTGCTTGATGTTTCAAGATTCCAATCATCCTATTATCATCATGATTATCATCCATCCTATTTCCATTCAATACTAGCATACGATACCAGGCCATACTATTCAAATTAAGCTGATGGATGATCATGTTCCACCTTATTGTATGGTTAGCAATACAATAGTTGCTAATGATGTTCCACTATAGTTTGCAAGGATGCTAATTACACGCAACTATTTTCCACGCTACCAAGTGTTATACATAAAACATAAATGGCATGGTAATACTTGGTATGGTTTATGTAATACTTGGCATATTACCAGTATTTTCCACCCTACCATGGTGTGGTTTAAGAATCAGTTTTGTACATTTCCACACTATCATCCACTGATCCTCCAGCATCACCAATGATCTCGGATCAGGACCAACGGCGGCTGAACTTGAGCTGCGAAAGGTGCTGAACATTGCTGAACGGGGATGATGGGGAACCAGTTTGATGACTTGAAATTGGGATTCAACCATCACACATGTTTGAAACATGGGGATTATATGGGGAATCATGCAAAAAGAAAGCCGCCGGTAGATGTGTTGATATGTTTTGCACACTTATCGACGACAGAAATTATCACAAATTCTTGTACAGTGTGCCATGTATATTATTTGTGTCTGAAAAAAATCGGAGTTTCTTTCCGTGTGCAGTCACTCCGGTAGGTACTTCAAAGCAATCGAGATCTGCAACAGCAGATTGAGAAAACGCAGAAAGAGAAGGCCTCAGGGGGACTTGAGAGGACATACGTTTGTTGGTACTGTACCCTCTGGTAAACCAACATAGCTATGGAAAATGGCTCATTTCCAGATGATTGACCTATTAAGAAGATGGTGATTTTCCAATAGCTATGTTGGCTTACCAGAGGGTAATGGCTCCAGTCACTGGGTAATACTGGGTCTCACGAATGATAGGCTTACAGCCTTGCACTAGCAAGCCGACGTGTGTGTCTTCACAAATTGAATCATACCATTTGGGACATTCCCATAGATTCACTTCTTATGTTCGGCTTGTCTTTACTTGCAGCACATCCATAGTGCATAGTGCATTCCTGCCATTTCAACAGCTCTAGAAAGACCCCCCAAAAATGGTAGTACCAAAAGCATTTGGGGGTAAAACAGCATTCTTATCTGGTTGGTGGTTTGGAACATTTTTTTTTCCATATACTGGGAATAAGAACCCCAACTGACTTCCATATATTGGGAATAACCATCCCAACTGACTAATATTTTTCAAGATGGTTAAAACCACCAACCAGAGAAAACATTTGGGGGTAAAACAGCATTCTTATGGATATTTGGAGGGTCCGGGTTCCTTCAAGCAGATCCTCAGATTCCTCTCGCAGGAAGAGCTAATGCAGGGCCAAAGAGGGCCCCAAGCTCAGATGGAACAAGTTGCTGCAGGGTTTCCAGGGTTACTTCGGAAAGCCTCATTTTGATCTCATTTGTTGATCCTTTTCATGACATGTTATGACATTTTACTGAAACCCAAAGTTGACGTTTTAAATGGACTTAAACGGTGTTGTGGTACCATCTGATACTGGATGCTGCATAATGAGGTAAAGAAAGTAATAAACCATCCAAGATTGGGGTTTATTGTTGGGTATACCCCTATTAGGGATGATTTATTGTTGGGTTTACCGCCAGGTTTGAAACCTTTGTGCGCTCCCGCTTGTATCGCGGTTGCAAGATATCTGGGATTGGGCCATAGATGGCCATAGCTAGGAGGATGTCTGGAGGAAGAAAAACCATGGAAAAAATTACTTTACTTCGTGTGATCCCCACCATGACATTTATAGATTTTCTTACTGGCAAATCTTCTGGCATTCTATCTGACATATCTTCTGGCATTCTATCTGGCATTCTATCTGGCATATCTTCTGGCATATATTCTGACATATCTTCTGGCATTCTATCTGGCATTCTATCTGGCATATCTTCTGACATTCTTTCTAACTTTCTTCTGCACATTCTTTGTCCCATATCTTCCTACATGAGGTCCGGCAGGGAACACTTGGCGTGGATACTCGCGGTTGAGGTCCGGCAGGGCACACTTGGCATGGATCCTCGCGGTTGAGGTCCGGCAGGGAACACTGGGCGTGGATGGTCGTTGGTCAGGTCCGGCAGGGACACTGGGCCCGGATACTCGCGGTTGAGGTCCGGCAGGGAACACTGGGCGTGGATGGTCGTGGTTGAGGTCCGGGAGGGCACACTGGGCGTGGATGGTCGTGGTTGAGGTCCGACAGAGAACACTGTGGATCGCGGGTCGCAGTTGGACGAGGAGGACGACGAGGAGGACGACGAGGAGGAGGAGAGGAGATGAGGAGAGGAGAGGAGAGGAGGAGCAGGCAACTGACATAAAATCTAACAACCCTCACCTGGCAGGTGGGGAATTACTTTACTTCGTGTGATCCCCACCATGACATTTATAGATTTTCTTACTGGCAAATCTTCTGGCATTCTATCTGACATATCTTCTGGCATTCTATCTGGCAAATCTGATGCATTCTATCTGGCATATCTTCTGGCATATATTCTGACATATCTTCTGGCATTCTATCTGGCATTCTATCTGGCATATGTTCTGGCATATATTCTGACATATCTCTGGCATTCTATCTGGCAAATCTTCTGGCATTCTATCTGGCATATCTTCTGGCATTCTATCTGACATATCTTCTGGCATATCTTCTGGCATATCTTCTGGCATTCTATCTGGCAAATCTGATGCATTCTATCTGGCATATCTTCTGGCATTCTATCTGGCATATCTTCTGGCATTCTTTCTACTTTCTTCTGCACATTCTTTGTCCCATATCTTCCTACATGAGGTCCGGCAGGGAACATTTGGCGTGGATACTCGCGGTTGAGGTCCGGCAGGGAACACTTGGCGTGGATCCTCGCGGTTGAGGTCCGGCAGGGAACACTGGGCGTGGATGGTCGTGGTTGAGGTCCGGCAGGGAACACTGGGCCCGGATACTCGCGGTTGAGGTCCGGCAGGGAACACTGGGCGTGGATGGTCGTGGTTGAGGTCCGGCAGGGCACACTGGGCGTGGATTGTCGTGGTTGAGGTCCGACAGAGAACACTGTGGATCGCGGGTCGCAGTTGGACGAGGAGGACGACGAGGAGGACGACGAGGAGGAGGAGAGGAGATGAGGAGAGGAGAGGAGAGGAGGAGCAGGCAACTGACATAAAATCTAACAACCCTCACCTGGCAGGTGGGGAACAACAAACTACAGATTCGGCCTTTGGGATACTTTAGGGACTTTCCATGGACATTGGGATTTTATTGGCTTCAACAAAAGACTGGAGTTCAACTTTTAAGAAGACCCGGCAGTCAGACTGGTTGCGTTTTTTTTGGCTTCAACAAGGATGACTGGTGCTTCATGTGTACCAACTGAGAAGGGTTTTTTTACATTGCTTTTTGGCACCTGATTCAATGACTTGGTCGTTTATTGAATTCTGGGTTCCAGCTGGATGAAACAGACCTTGAAAACCAATGGGATCACCAAGCCCCCTGCAGCTGCTACTGGATTTCTGAACCAACAGTGGACTTGCCATTGGACTTGCCATTTGTCGCCTGATTTCGCTGGCATTTTTTGGTCAGGATTGAACCATATTGGAGGAATGCCAGTAGCAAATTGTAGATGGGGTGAATTCTGAAGCTTATTGGTACATGTTTGCAATGCATCATTGCTGATTCTTTCCGGTCATCACACCATATTCCGATTTTGAATCGTGTGGATGCTGTTTTGACATGTGTTTCTTAATTGTTTGTTTGCGATAAGTAATCCTAGTTGACTATCGCAGTTGGCTCACAGTTTTTGGCTGGGCCAACATCATTTTCATAGATCAAATTCCCATGATATCCATGATGGATGTTGAAGTGGTAGCCTCATTCTTGCTCTTCAAACGCCCACATTGTTTTTGTTCTTCCCGGATTTTTCTCGCTTGAATCCCCATATGGCCCATGTTGCTTTATATCATTTTATATCCATGATACAATATGTGTTGATTAGCTGACCAAGAGTTCTTGAATTCCTAATTCTTCTTCAAATCATAAAAATGACATCCATATATATATACATCCATATTTTATAATATGTTCAAACATGTTTCTTTTTACTATAGCCACCTACATTTTTGTCATGTTTTGGATGCTTGCACCTGGCGATGACTACGCTCTGAGGCCAACGGTGGAGATGGCGAAAGTGACCAAGGTCAGTTGCTATCCACCGTCGCCGTGACCAAAAAGGATGCTGCGATGCATGGTGAAGGGGATGAGATCCCGGGCGTGTGATTATCTGATACTGTAACAGTTGTTTTTCAGGTGGGTGAGTTATGAGAACTCACTATATAATTCAGCCAGATTTGATTTCGGGATGATGATCTTGACGATTTGTACATCGAAGGTGTACCATTTTAGACGACCTTAAAGCGGTTCTTCTTCGGCCTTCGCACGTAATGATGCTGTGTTTTTGTGCTTGCATGTTTTTGCTTACGCCCCGAAAACCGTACGAGTAAAACGCACATTTTTGAAGATCTCTATGTTGGGGTGGGGTGGGGTGGGGGGGGGTGGGGGATGTTAACGTACCTTGTACTTCGTACATGATCCATTGCTACGCTGCTGAGATCTCTGGGATCGTTTACGCGTTACATGTTGCTACGCTGCTGATGGGGTGGGGTGGGGGGGTGGGATGGTTAAACGTACCTTGTACTTCGTACATGATCCATTGCTACGCTGCTGAGATCTCTGGGATCGTTTACTACGTTACATGTCGTGCTACGCTGCTGATGGGGTGGGGTGGGGGGGTGGGGGATGTTCACGTACCTTGTACTTCGTACATGATCCTTTGCTACGCTGCTGAGATCTCTGGGATCGTTTACTACGTTACATGTTGCTACGCTGCTGATGGGGTGGGGTGGGGGGGGTGGGGGATGTTCACGTACCTTGTACTTCGTACATGATCCATTGCTACGCTGCTGAGATCTCTGGGATCGTTTACTACGTTACATGTTGCTACGATGCTGATGGGGTGGGGTGGGGGGTTGGGGGATGTTAACGTACCTTGTACTTCGTACATGATCCATTGCTACGCTGCTGAGATCTCTGGGATCGTTTACTACGTTACATGTTGCTACGCTGCTGATGGGGTGGGGTGGGGGGGGTGGGGGATGTTCACGTACCTTGTACTTCGTACATGATCCATTGCTACGCTGCTGAGATCTCTGGGATCGTTTACTACGTTACATGTTGCTACGCTGCTGATGGGGTGGGGTGGGGGGGTGGGGGATGTTAACGTACCTTGTACTTCGTACATGATCCATTGCTACGCTGCTGAGATCTCTGGGATCGTTTACTACGTTACATGTTGCTACGCTGCTGATGGGGTGGGGTGGGGGGGTGGGGGATGTTAACGTACCTTGTACTTCGTACATGATCCATTGCTACGCTGCTGAGATCTCTGAGATCTCTGGGAGGTATATCAATCGCCTCACTCTAATTCGCACGAAGACAATCCACCAGCTCAACTTGCTTCGAAAGTGAAGAAGAAAACAAAGTGCGCAGTCTGTGTTCTGATAGGTGTCATTGGGAAAACAACATTTTCAAAAAAAACTTGTACGGCACCACAGCGAGAAGGAAAAAAAACGTAAAACCACTCTAAATGCGCACTGATTTCGACAATTTTTGGACAAAAATGATGATGAATATCCCACGCAGGCCACGTTTTGTCTTTCCCATTTTGATGCGATGACAGAAGTTGCGCGGGCAGAGCCTATTCCAAACGATGTTAAATTTCACATAATTCTCGGTCAAAATTGGATGAAAACACCAGCGCCATATGTGTTTTTTCAAAAACACCAGCCAAATTCCACATCATTTTGTGCATGCTGCGCAAAAATACTTCATTTTTCCCACACTAAATACAAACGAAATACATTTGAAGTGGACCTGATGATAATGAAATTGTGCAAAACGCACGTACGGAAAACGGCGCGACGGGATGTTTTTGTTGCTCTCATGCAGAGACACCCAAGAGCGGACACGGTTGAAATAACCATGGTATCATTGTGACTAGTGGCAATCGTATGCTCCATCTTGACATACTTCGCAGTGACGATCCATGCATTCAATGCTTCCATGTCGCTCTTGTCCTTAGCTTTGTGGCTCACCAGAAGAGCCCGCGGGCCAGTAGTCCATCATGGAGGACAATCGAAAAATCACCAGCGTGATGTGGGATGGATGTTGGTCTCAACATTGAGACCATGGCATGTCACACATGGAGGTTTCCTAAAATGGGGGTACCCATGGGTACCCCTAAATCATCCATGTATAGATGGATTTTCCATTATAAAATAGTATAAACCAACCAGCTATTGGGGTACCCCCATTCTAGGAAACCCCCACATGTTGGTGACGGCTGGTAGATTCGTTGATTTCCAAGGTTTGAAGGTGGGTTCGTGCTTGTCTGGAGGACAGCTTGTACGATGAGTTTGGGAACTATCAAGGTGTGACTGCGTTGCGGTCATTCAAAGCCAGACATGAAAGGAATTTGTGGGGCACATGGGCAGCCGAAAAGATGATTCGTATTAAGGAATTTCGTGAGTGATATATATATATATAATGATCTATATTTGTTTATGATTATATATGTATATTTATCCTGTATATCCATGTTTGAAAAGGGATTGCAATAGGACTATTCAATAGGAGTTTTCATGCGCCTTAAAACTGTTGCTCCTCTCCAATCCTCCTGGATGAACATGGGCAAAGAATGGCTTTCAGATGTTTCCCCATAACCTACAATCTTTCCAATATGTAGGACTCCTAAAAGATGGGTACCCCAAACCATTGGTTTTCCCATTGATAGTCACTATTTTGAGATGTTTTTGGGGGTACCTTTTATTTTAGGAACCCCTCCCATATTTGTAGTACAACGGTATGTAGAATCCTTCCAACCTATCATTCCAGGGAAAACTCATGATCCAATGGTTGAATCGTTGATTTTCCCATATGGGGGTTTCCTGAAATAGGGGTACCCCCAAATCATCCATGTCATTTTCGGATTTTCCATGAAATAAATCATCCAGCTATTGGGTACCCCAATTATTACTTGACTACGCCAGGCCCCGACGTGGATGACGAGGAGGATGAAGACGACGAGGACCTACTTGAGGCCGGTGATGGTGAGGAACACGCCAAGGGCGACGACGACGGCGATGTCCCCATGGAGGGAACGGAAGCCACGGGGGACAGGCACGACTCGGATGGGGGGGTTGGGGATGCAAGACTTCATATAATGGTGGGATTGAGAATGGAACATTCATGGGATATACATGGAGATACCGAGATACCGATAGAATGATATAATCCAATAATATACTGTATACTTTTAAAATCCATTAAAAACTATAATCTGAGATATAATGGGATATCTAACCCAACTAAAGATTATAATGGCATGATCTCAATGAATTATGTTGTGACCTCGCGCCTTGTGAGAACACTCGAATGACAGTGAATGGATTCAGCGAAGCATCCCCAGGTCGCTGGCCTTATGAGAACAGCTATTTTCAGATTTTTCAGGTGAGGGAATTAATTGTATACCCTCTGGTTATGACTAACAGTTTGCCATGGAAAGATCCACCATTTTTAATAGCTAAACCATCTATAAATGGACCATCTTCCATTGCTATGTTAAATAACCAAAGGGTATATTTGAATTCAGCCAGAATTGGGTTGTGGATATGGGGGATATGGGGAATATGGGGGATATGGGGGCATGGGGTGAGGGTTGCGTGGACAAAAAATGCGATCCCCCGAAAAAGGAACGTCACCGTAACATCGGCTGGATAATGAGACATAAATATGGACGTCGGTGATCTCTGAATTCGTTATATTGATTAACATCAAAGACTAACATCGTTTTTCATCAATCAAAGTCAAGATGTATAGCAAAGTTAAAAACAACAACTGAGCCAAAAAAGGGGGGTTAATTGACAGTAGTATTGTGCGATCCTTCGTTCAGAATTCCAGGCACCGCCGCAGCTATTTCGGATGTTTTTGGTAATTTTGGAATGTGCCATTTAGTTGGGGAACGACCCTTTGAACGACATCTAGAACGACATTGGAACGACCTTCTAATTATACGTATATAAGTTATATAAGTATATATTTACATATATTTATATACAGGTCTAGATGCATTTAGAACAAATCAGCAGCCAAATTACACCCGGAACCACCCTAAATGCATTTTTTGGGGCTGGCAAATTGCATCTGGCACGGTCTTTGTAATCTCTGCAACGAGACCCTAGCCTGAGCGGTTTCCCTCTAGAACCATGTCTTTACGAGCCCAGACTCTTCCCCGTGCTGTGCCACCAATGCACGTGTATTCAAGGGTCATTATTTAGCCATTTTTCTCGGCTCCCAAACGACCTCTGAACGACCTCGGAACGACCTCTGAACGACATCAGGATATCAGTCAGAATGACCAATTGCCCACAAAAACCCGGAGACCGCAGACCATTCATCCCATGTGCGTTGCGTTCCAAGTCATTGACCTGATAGCAATTTGTTCCACAGATGGGTTAATTTTCCCAGCAACACTGTCAAACTTTTCTGCCATGTTGCAAAATGGCCCCGCCATGGGATTGTGAAAAAGATGCTGTTCCCTGAAAAAGAAACTGCTGAACGAAACTTTCTCTACGGATATGATGTAGCTGAAAGCAGCTCTGATGTCAACAAGCTCTAGTTCAAACAGTTCAGAATCAAGCGGCGAGACATAAGTATGAAGACCGCCGCTTGGAAATCACATGATTTGCTTTTGGGATAAGGATTTACATACCAGTTTTTTTTTCAGCTCAACTGGACTTACCCTCTGGTAAACTAACATAACTATGGAAAACCACCATTTTAAATAGGTAAATCAACTATAAATCGTCATTTTCAATAGCAAACTGTTAGTTTACCAGAGGGTATCGTTAAATATTCATCCCTATTCATCCCTATTGTTAGATGAGTCGTACAGGTCGATCATCCTTCATGAGGACAAGAAGCTGCCTGGCGGACATATTTTTTTTGGTGGTTTCTGGTGCTTTTCAACAGAAAACCTGTGATATCCTGTGAGTATGGTTAACTTATGTTAATTTCCAGGATCATACTTAGTTTATAATCCTGGTATGATGGTATGATGGTATGGTTTACCATACATACCAGTCATATCCTGTGATTTTCCAGGATAAATCTTCAAAAACAAGGATTATAGGGATCTATAACTTTCCGTGGGACGATCCCAGTTGACCAAACCCCAAGGGACGGTTTCCACCAGAAGGAAGGACCAAAGCACTGAGTCTATTCGACGTCCATAGGCTAGCCCACCATCCCTAAATGCTCCTCATTCAACCTCAGTGAACTGTCATATTTCTCGCTTCAAATTCCCTAATGATCCGAATATTTAAATAGCTGTTTAGCTGCTTGAATCTTCATTTCTCCCATATCATGATCTCAAATCCTGTTTTTCACCATGTTTTCCATGATTTTTCCATATTTGTTTCCACATGTTTTCCCAAGAAAAATCCAGGTCACTGGCCCTCGGCGCGGCCCAGGTATTACCCCGACGCCGAGGAGCTCTACGGCGACGCCGAGGCCCTGGTGCAGATGGAGGACACACAGCCCCTGACGGAGCCCATCATTACGCCGGTGCAGTCCAAGAACTTTGTCGCTCGGATCTGCCCAGTGGGGGGATGGTGGTTGGGGATGGTGGTTGGGGTCAAGGCGCGCCCCGTTGTTAGATGGGTATGGGTCAATACCTATAGATACATTTTTAGTGGGATGAACATCCATAAATCCCAGCTATTTTGATGTTCACCAGGGGTACAAGGTTTTGACCCATCCCCAGATGTTCGAGAACTTTGCAGTTTGAATTTGATAGACGTGACGCCGTTTTGGGAACTCTGAAGCTCGGTGATGAAGTTTGAGGGGTTGGTATAGGGTTGATATAAACTTTATATTATACAGTATATTGGCAATTGGGGTTAACACACCATTCATTTATTGAGAGAGCTTGGTCAACCGGAGATAGAGGCTGGATGGGAAAGAATTGGTGAATGATCATCCATGGAGTTATCTTGGGAGAACTTTGAAGATGAGAGGGGTTCATGAATGGTTTGATTTGATGGTTTGATCAAAAGCCAATAACCACCCATGGTAGGGGCCATGGGGATTAGTCGGTTCCATTTGATATGCCGATAACATCTCTTATATAATCATAAAGGGTGGGTTGGTGGGTCAATGATCTGGGTTCACATCTGAGTTATAGTGGAGTAAAATGGATCAATTAGTTATAGCTGATTTGGGTGAGAGATATTCCAACAATGGAAACCAGGAAACGACGAAATCCTTAGATGATAGAGTGGAGGATGCACTGTGATGCACTGTGGCAGAGTCTGGCTATTTCATAGCCTCCGCATGGTTGTATGGATCAAAACATGATGTGTTCCCACCAAGTTTGGAGGCTTTAAGCCCGAAAGCAGTCTATTTTGAATGCATTGGATATTCTTTGATTCTGTGCTCTAGATCTTGGTCCTCTTTTTAAAATTGACGGCTCCATGTTTTTCATGCAGGACTTGCTGGAGAAGAGGATGCCGGACACAACCTTCGACTTCAACTTCTTGGCTGCCATGATGGACAAACCGAATCTGGTCCGTAGCTTGGTTCCTTTTCTTGAGGCCTTAAAATGACGATCTTTTTCTGGGATGATGGCTGACTGGCTGACCCCCTAGTTAGGCTAGTTACTGGCTTGGTTTTTGGCGGTTTGCCAATCCTGGATAGGTATCTCAGACGATTATGCATGTACTATAATAAAGATAAGCAAAAAGGGTGAGAAACACATAGATACATCTCTAGGAGCACCCAATGATGTGTATTACCTGGGGACACCACTTTCAAGATGTTTTGAGCAATGACAAGTTGCCACAGTTTTTGAACATAAACCACCTCAGCACCCACCAACAAATCCAGTTCAAGACATTTGCGGGTTCGTAAAAAGGGTGGGTAACCCCCAAATCATCCAAATTTAATCCATTTGACTATTGAGGCAAAACCATGATTAAAATGGATCTCCAATTTTAGTTCAACATCATCCAAACTTAGCCCATTTGAGTATTAAAACAACTATGTTTCTAGGTTCACCCCTTTTTTAGACAACCCCCATGACATTTCCGTGTGGAAAATTAAGGCAACATTTGCTTTTTGGGTGCCATGCACCATGGAAAAACCACCTTCATGGACCTTTTGGTGCTGAATACCCATGAGAAGGACTGGAAGGTTGGCAAGGAAATCCGTCTCCAGACCGCAGTCGTTTCGAAACGATGGGGCGGAGCTGGTCAGGTTTGGTGACATGCAAAAGGGGTGTGGCGAAAGGAGGATTTTGATAAAGAATGATAAAGATAAGATTATATGTGTGTATCACTGTATATATATATATACATATCTGGTACCACTGGACCTTAGTTGTGGTTGAATTACGAACGAAACAAGACGTGACCAAGGAATTTCCCAGAGAAAGGCGAAAGCAGCAAGTGGTTCAGTGGTTCTTGGATAATCCAACACATGTTAACGCAGAACAGCTGGTTGGTGGTTTCAAACATGTTTTATTTCCCATTTCATATATGGGATGTCATCCTTCCCATTGACGAACTCCATCATTTTTCAAGATGGTTAAAACCACCAACCAGATATAATTATACCATAGTTATACCATAGTTATACCATAGTTATACATAGTTATACCATGGTGAAATTGCACCACCAAGCAGAAAAGAAACATCTTCAGCAGCCAGCCAGCCAGCAAGTGCCGTTGATGACCTCGCGGCTGCGCTGAGGTTACACGGATTCGAGACAGGATGAACAAGACCGTGGCATTACTGTGAAAGCTTCGTCCATGAGTTTAGTCCTCCAAGATTCCAAGGACTCGGAAATTCTTAGGGAGGAAACGGATGGACGATTTTGACGAGCGAAGTGATTCTTATAGGTAACGGAAAGGAGACGATTTTGACGACAGTGAAATGGGATTGTCATCAGATGTAGCTTATATAAGATGCTTTGATCTGTGGGATGATATCATGGGATATATGATATAATATAAGCATCTTATGATATAATCTAGGGGATGATATGACATTATCATATTATGGCAACCCACAGATTATATCATATTATACTATGAGTTGCCGATTGTTCTGTGGGATGTTGCCACGGTAGTTTGGCACAACGACTTCCTAGTTGTGTGCATCGATCAGCGAAGAAAAAAAGCGCAGGACAAGTCGTACCTCTTCCATGCCATGGCGACTGGGCGCTCATCTGACCGGCGCAAAATATGATGGGAAACTCCAGCAAACTAACATAGGCTTAACATAAGACATAGAGATTGAACATAGAAGAACTAGATATGTTAGTTTCCATGGATATTTTACATAATCTATCTACATCAGCTAACAGAAATGAGTGGAAAATCATGGTATTTTTCCCTGGATTTTATCTGCCACTAGATCATGTTCCTAGGAACTTCATGGGCATATCATGCGGCATATCTATGTTAGTTTACCAGCTGCTTGGTGCATACTGCGTCTCGAACCAAGCGGATGGAGCGTCCATCCATAAAAAACGGGAAGGGGGCCTCATGACTGGAGTTCTGATGAAGACTTGAATCCACTGGTCGCTGAGGACACACCTGGTCATGCCAACTTCCAGGTCCCGGGGTGGGGATGTGGTTCCCAGCCCTTCAATAGTCATCTTGATGATAAGTCATGTGTCACTGTGGCTCCGCCCTCAAGTTTGATCCATATGAAGATATGACGAAGATATGTTTGAACATGACGATCATGATGACTGGTTGTGACATGTTGTGATATTATAACGTGGATTACTGGTGTAAACCCAACGCATGCGAACGTGCGAACGTGAGGTTTCAAGGATGGTTTCCTAAGTCATGGGGGTACCCCATCATCCAAGTCATTGGACCCAACTTGGGGATCCATGACTTGAGAAACCGCATAGGGATGAAGGGGTTTTGATCCACAGCCGAAATGGAGAAGGAACAGTGGTTGTCCCTCTCACCCTGGGGTCCCCCTAGGGTGTAAGCACCATCCCATTCCGAAGGAGTTTGCTTCTTACCATCATTTTGGACGTTCATTCTGTTCATTCTAAGAGCATCCACACCTTTGTAAAACCAGTGGTAAACCGTGGTTCCAAACCCCCAATTCCATTTATTTCCCATCATATTTCTGTTCATGTTTTGAACCGATTCCCCGAATCTGAATAATCATGGGAATACTGGAATACTTCATAATACTTCTCCAATCGTATCCAGTTATCCATGATTTTTGGTACAGTTTCTATAATAGTTTCTTCTTAACCAACTTTTCAATATGATTGGTACAGTTTCCATGATTTGGTACAGTCTCTTATAGTTTCCTTCTTAGTTGGTATAGTTTCTTATCATTTGCCAGGATGAGGTCATTGCGGCCCTGGCCATGTCTGATGGCGTCGTGTTGCTGGTGGATGTGGTGGTCGGTCTCACGCAGTACCTTGGGCCTGGCCTTGGGGCCTTGGGGGCCTTGGGGGCCTTGGGGGACGGGCCACCCAAGATAGCTAAGTTGAGGTTTTTAAGTGGCTGAATTCTATGCTTTATGGATGTTTATGGTAGATATAACATGATATAACATGATATAACTATAGTATTCATGGGGTTTACGAACCAACAAACATCCCTGGGGGGCACCTTGTTGGATGTTGGGAACTGAAATGAACATAGACCCTGACAATCTCCTACTTGCCAGGGTCTATGTTAATTTACCGGAAGGTAAATGGAAAAATTGTGATAATTTGCCTGGGAACATGGCAATTTGATATATATATATATACACAGTGTATATATATATATATAGGGGAAAAGATTGGAAAATGATGATCAACGATTTAGTTGTACCTATTTTCAGACAACCCCGTTTTAAACTTTGTCTCTTAAGCCATGGAACATCCAAAAAAATATCGTTGAAAATTCGTCATTGTTGTAATGAAGAAACCAATGCCTTTGCTGCTGATCTCCATCCATTGCTGATCTCCTCGACCTGGAAAAGTTGGCCGAGGCACATTGAGCGTATGATGAAGCACGCGCTGCAAGACAAGCTTAAGGCTCGGCCATGGAGCCAACCTGTATGCCTAGATTGGACACAAGGGGATTACTCTCTGGTAATCAAGCGTGGCAGTGGAAAAGCCTCTATAAATGAAGGTTTTAATGGAGTAATGGGAGCATCATCTATAAATGGAGAAGTTTGAATTGCCATGTTTGACTACCGGAGGGTAATACAAGTGATTTGACATAGAAGAACAAGTCGATGCATCCAGTAGCAATGAGCAACATAGGTCCAGGACCTTTGTTTGGCGCCTAAGCTAATTAGCTTCTCCAGGGTGTAACCAAGAACATTAGGGACATGCAGTAAGCAACAAACATGGGCAAATACAATGGATATGTCACATCAAGCATCACCAACTAGAATGATAATGTGTGATGCAACTACTCAGTTTGTCCTGAGAAGAGACGTAAGATTTCAACAGAATAGCTGATTGACCGACAAATTTTTGAAAGTGTTCAAACATTGGGAACTAAACATAGATGAACATAACATATACACTTAAACGCAAGATAAGCAACAATGATGTTTTAGGGTGGCAGAAAACAGAGGCATGCCAGCCGCAACGTCCAGGACCACCCTTTCGGTCGCACCTAACCATTTTTCAGGAGTGTCCATCGTCATGTGGGGAATTTCCGATAGCAATGTGCAGAGATCACTGTCACTTTTATCTGATGAACAGCACTGATGCCATTTTTACCAAGAGCAGCTGACCAGATCTGACCAGATTGCAGCGATGTGAAGTCGATGGGATATTACGGGATCAAACACCCCACGGGTGACGAGTTGAAAAAACCACCCAAGCTTCGGAAAATTCAGCAGGTGGTACTCGTGATCAATGGCTTAGATCGTTTGATCATGGAGTTGAAGTTGCCTCCCACCGATGCCTATCACAAGCGCCGCGGCCGAAGGGAGGGCTTGAAAGGTGAGAGAGACAGGCTTGGAGAGAAATCTTTGAGATTTCTACCTGGGGGAGGGTTGCTAACTCGTCTAAATTTTCCAAGTTTCAGGATCATTGATGATGTTTGCTTGGTTGCAGTATGAGAGTTCAGCCAAGTCGGTTGGGAATGGTTGGGAATGGTTGGGATGGTGGGTAGGGCAAAGCACAGCAAAGCTGAGCATTGAGGCTTAGATATTGCATCGAGGACATCAACGAGACCATGGAGAAGTTATACGACTCGGTGGCTGGAAGAAACAGTTGTAACAGGGGAACCCAAAAGTAGCCACAAAAGTAGCGTTTCTCAGCTTCATTTTCAGCCCCATGAGTGTTTCATCCACTCCCTGAAATATTACGCATCCCCCATAAACCATGGTTATTTGATTTCATTGAAACTTTGGAGCACAGTTGCAGCGCTCGGGATGTTGCTTTGTCCTTGCATGTCTTTTGCTGGGTGCAACCGGTTGAAAAATCATGAAACATTAAAGGTACACAAATCGTGGAACTGTTTGCCCCAAGAAAAGGGTCATTCTGATCTGGTTGGGGGGTTTCAAATACTCATTGTTGTTCAATCAACCGTACAGAAAAAACAACAAACAACTATTGTTATCTGGTTGGTGGTTTGGAACATTTTTTTATTTTTCATATTTTTTCATAATATATTGGATAATCCTTCCCATAGACTAATATTTTTCAAGATGGTTAAAACCACCAACCAGATTATGATGGGTTTGTTTTTTTGTTCAAATGGTTTTCAACCGTCTCAACCACTCATGATTTTTCAACCATTCAACTGGTGATGATTGGTTGAGAATGGTTGAGATGACGAGCACCACCAACCAGGTGATAATTTGTCGCAGAAAGGACATGTCTGGAAGATATGTCATTTCTCTATTAAACATTCAACCAAACCATGGTTTATGGATGATTATGAATGTTTATGGCTTTTTAATAGAAACGGGGCAAGGGATTCCATGAACCATAGTAACTTTGTTATAAACCCTTTTATCCGCATGAATATTCCATTGAATCACCCATTACCCTCTGGTAATTTAACATAGCTATTGAAAATGACCATATATAGTGGATTTTCCCATTAAAAATGGTGATTTTCCATAGCTATGTTAATTTACCAGAGGGTAAATAATCACAAGTTTTCATGGGTAAGCACAGTGAAACCACGATGTCGTCAGGTCGGTACAGAGGTGGATGACCGTGTCTACTTCTCCCCACTGCGGGGCAACGTGCGGGAACTCAGAAGTGTGGTTACTTAAGTCATGAGGGTACCCCAATGGTTGGATGGTTTATTTATGTTTATTTCATGGACAATCCTGTCAAAATATATTGAAATATGATCAAATGGATGATTTGGGGCTCCCCGCATGTATAGAAACCCTCTTATAGTGGATGATACATCTAAATGTAGATGATACATGAGGTACATCTTGATAGATGCATGAAGATGATATATGATATATATTTACCGGTACCAGTACCTGATACTTTCCAGGTGTCCATGTGTTCAACAAGTTTGGCTTTGATTGCAAGAACCTTTGTCATTCGCAAAGTTCGCAACTTGTGATGATGGTGTTACCCGTACTTTTTCAGACCTAGGTCCTGTTCAGCTCTGCCCAGTTTAGCACCTTGGCTGCGTCGCATCACGTTGCTAAAGGAGAGTTTCTTCAGAGTGGCCACCCATTTGTTCGACGCTGAGGAATGATGTTCACCCTGGAATCCTACGCAGCGATCTATGCAGAAACTCATGGTTTCAGTTTTGACCATCTCGTTTTCGCCAAGTGCCTTTGGGGAGACATGTACTTTGATGTCCCTTGGTGGCAAGCGACTTTTTAGTGGGGCAGTCGGGTGTATCAAGTTGGTGCTATCTCAATTTCATCCGGTTGAGACCACAATAATTCATCTGGTGGGTGGTTTGGAACATTTTTGCTTTTTCCATATATTAGGAATCATACTCCCAATTGACTAATGTCGGATCCTGATTAGTGTAGGGCCCCCCCCTAAACTAATTTTGGTTACTGAATAGTGTAGAAATTTCAAGGGACCGGGTACTGAATAGTGTGTAGTCAAAAAAAAATGATAGATTTCAATTGATTTCAATTTACTTTCAATTGATTTCAATTTACTTTCAATAGATTTCAATTTACTTTCAATAGATTTCAATTGATTTCAATATTTTTCAGAGGGGTTGAAACCACCAACCAGTCATCCACTGTCGGAATCCAACGAATTCACGCAGCCTTTTTTAGCCTATACCATCTGGTTATGACTAACATAGCCATGGAAAATGGATGAAAATGGCCCATTTATAGATGGTTTACCTATTAAAAATGGTGATTTTCCATGGCTATGTTAGTCATAACCAGATGGTATTAAGATCGATTCTGATCCGTTGTGGTTCGTCCTTGTTTCTTGGTGTTGAAAACACGGACGGGGAAAACATCTTGACCCAGGCAGATGCGAACAAGTTCACCAAGACGCCCCCAGATGCAGAGCAACCGCGCTCCTTCGTGCAGTGCCTTAGTGGCACCTGTCAAAATCACCGCACGTTTCGAAAAGTAGATTTGGTTTTCCAGAAATTCATGGGTAAGAGCCAAAACATAATTTAAACAAAAAAGAAACATATAAAATCTACTGAATCTCCCTAACAAAAATTCACTGGAAACAGCATTTGGAAGGTCCACCACGGTGGCTTGTCTTTGGGTCCCAGGTTTGTGCTGGAGCCCATCTACAAAATCTTCGCGCATTGCTTGGGTGAAGAGAAGGAAGACTTGCAGCAAACGCTGGCCGAGGCACTGGGGGCCACATGGGCCTTGTTTTCTAGGTGAGATCAATCTCAGAAGCGTGGAATTCATCAACAGAAATTGGGAGTTCAGAAACTGAACTCTGTAAAAAAAAATATGGCCGGATGTTTCCGGAAAAAACCATCGGGTACTCAAACATTGGCTTTCTGGAAAATCCATCATTTAGTTCGATGATTTTCCCATTGAAATACCCGTTTAAAGGGGGATTACTACCCATATTTAGAGGACTTTAAATTGCCATTCTTGATTACCGTACGATCATAACACGAGGAGATCTATACATACTGAACTCTAGGATACTCTGGGGGAGTCACCTACGTGGGCAGGGATTTGTCATGAATTGGTCACCCGCGGATGGACCAATGGAGCCCCAAGTGATGTAATGTCAACCCTGGATTAATAAACCCCAAACGGCTGTTCAATTGGGAGGGTACCATTTGAGTATCAAATCATGACTATTGGGGGAATACCCCCTAATATCCCCTAATTAATAAACCATGGTTTATTAATCCGGGGTTGACATTAATCCCTTCCCAGGTGGGAATTTATCTGCACAAGCGCGACTACGAATTGGACGCGCGGTCGCTGATTCGGAAGGTCTTCCAGCAGTACTTTGGCTCTGGCGGAGGCCGCGTGGGATCGTCGGATCGGGTTGGCAGAGGATGGACAGCTGGAAGAAATGTCCGTTGAATTAATGGGAATTTCAGGATCCTAAAATGGAGGTACTAACTTAGTACCATATTTCTGGCCATATTTTGTTGGGATATTCGAAATTTAGGCCTGATTTTTTTCGGCCTTATATATGGAATCGGTACCCACATGATCCGCAATTCATCACCTTATTTGGATGGGATTGAAACCACCATCAATCCATATTAGGGTGGTTTATTATTGCTAAACATTTAAGGGTTTTTGGCATGTTCAGGTACCTGGTTCCGGCAAGGCATCTGCCACATATCTTGTAATTTCTGCTCAGTAACCATAGTGTATACTCACTGGTCACATCATCACTGGTTGGTGGTTTGGAACATTTTTTCATATATTGGGAATGTCATCATCCCAACTGACGAACTCCATCATTTTTCGGAGTGGTAGGGCTCAACCACCAACCAGATCATATTTTTATCCCCAAGCAGGTTTGCCATCTTTCATCGACATGGTGGTGCGGCACATCCCAACTCCTAAGGACCTCGGTTGACTGGCGGTCTGGGTCAACCGTGAAAAACGAAGACCAGATACTGCTGGTTTGGTTTCATTTATTCGGGTGGTTGTATTAGGATAGGTCAATACACTATAGCATTTTTTTTGGTGGATGAACATCATGTTATATATACATCGATTTAACAGCTATTTTCATGTTCACCAGGGATTTTCACCCATTGTCATGGCCAATCAGGAAGTCAACCAAGAGGGGATTTCAGGTTGGATTGGCGAAACGTTGGACCAACGGTATCCGAAAATCACTGACCCCTTGGTTTCCTTGGATCAGGATGAATGTCAGAGTGGCAGTTGTTGAAAGTCATAATGTGGGCCACTTAGCTCTGAAATATGCCAGTTTATGCCACATAAGCGAAGGCGAACTGGTTCTTGGTTTCAACGACGTATGATACTTATGATACTTATGATGTTTGAACCTAGAAGGGATGAGGCTGATGCTGATGATGGTCAACTTTGACTCGAGTAGTTTTGTTTGACTCTAGAGACAAGCCCAGATGCAATCAACATCCCTCAAAGTCGTATCAAGATCCCATCAGAACTGTTTATTGAAGACATTTTTCCTTCTCGCAGGAGAGTGCCGAAGCTAAGGTGCGCACGGAACCTCCAACTGTTGGTAGTCCCGAAGTTGCGTGGGATTTGCAGGGACTTATATATTGAAACCAAACCAAACCATCCAAAACCAAGTGCTCGACTTGTGCCTCATGAAGTTACATCTCACATCTCTGGTTCTTTTTTACCTGTGAGATCCTACTGGGTGGTTCCCCATAGTTTGCGAAGTCGGTTTATAATCAAGATAAACTGGGACCTGGGATTTTGGTTAGATAGATATATCATGATATATCAGGGGGGGTATCAACTTATGACTGTGGGGGACTCGCTTCTGACGGAGCTCCCATTCTTCGGATTCTTGGTCCACGGGACGGGCTGCAGGTGGAGAAGTTGTATTCCGGAGATCAAGATGGCGCCGTGGCGCAGGATATGAAGAATCTGGATACCACAGGCGGAGCTTGGTGCGGATCTGATTTGGGGAACGGGAAACAGATTTGTTGAAAGGATGAAGTTCCCTATAAAAACCTCAGAGCATAGCTGTGTCCTGGATGCTGCATATCGAGAGTGCCAACGCTGGAAACCTGGGAGCATGTGGTCCAATAACATCCACCCCGGAACCACCAATTCATGGGTGCTATCCATTGCTATCCCAGCTGGGATGATAGTTCCCTTCCGCGACACGCAGGCTACTTGATGCTGCACATTGTGCCTTGCTTGCAGCTGCTGTCCTGGTTTTGGAAGTCGTTGGGAGATGACTTTCCAATTCATCCGAAAACTTCCGAAAACCCATTGCTTCCATCTGTTGAATTTCTAGCTTGTCTCTTTGTTTGTTGGCGACAGTGCATATTATTTCATATCATTTCATAGCATTTCAATGCATTTCATATATCCCTTTGGTGGTTCACATTTGGAGGGTTTTTTCTATGTCACCCTTTCCCACGACCACTTTTTTATAGTCATCCTTTCCAACTTCGAATGCAACCAAGCTGGTGGGTGCTGGTTAAATCTGATCGGTCACTTTCTTGTTGCTGGTTGGTCAGATCCTCACCTTGGATGGTTTAAATATGTTTGAATCATGTCCCCATATTTGCGATGTCAATCACCCATGTTTCATAGAATTGGATGATGGGACAATTTACAGGAAAACCCTATATTTGATGGTAAAAACCGTGGTTTCCTGTAGATTTTCCCTTAAACCAATCCATTGAATGTTCGATGGTTGTGTTCGTTTGCACGTGGGCTTCCCATGGACGAATGGTGTTTTCCAGGTCAAGCAGTACCACCGCCCCGACTGCAATGCCTTCGACGTCTTTGGGCGCGTGATGAGTGGTACAGTCTTCCGCGGTGATCGAGTGAAGATCCTGGGTGCCCTGCCAGTGAGAAATGGGGATTTTTTCCTGAGTTCATTTTTTTTGTGGAGCTGACATCATGGGACATCCACGACTTTGTTTCTGGGGAATCGATTTTTTGGGAAATCTTTTTGATGTGGAATTGGTTAACAAATCCAAGGCAGGGGATGTAAGATTTGCTAGGTGTTTGGGAGGATCCTTGGGCTGCGAAAGGTAGCAAATATACAGATTAACCAGAGGGTGAAACCAGAGAGCAAACATGCCTGGATCACATTCCAGCCAAATAATACCCATGAGATTTCTGCAGTACCCAAGTACTGTTTGACCCAAATCTGAACACCAACCCTGCAGCCTGACAAAAAGAGAGAAACACGCAGCACTTTGATTTCAAGATGATATTCGAATATATTCCAATATATTCCAATGAATTCCAATGATATATTCCAATTTTCATTCCAATGAATTAACCAATTGATATTCACCCCATATTCACCAACCATTGCTATTTGAAGACACCAACCGACCATTGGTCGGGGGTTTGTCTTACCTGGTCTCAGCGTGTCTCAGCTCAGGTGAGACCTACTCCTTGGACGACGACGAGGACATGGCCATCAAGGAGATCCAGAATTTGTGGATTTTCGAGGCCACCTGTTTTGCGTGGCACCGTGGTGTGTCTGGGTTTATGGGCTTTGTAATGGTTTGTATATAATATATATATATAACAAATTAATAAATCACAATATATATATATAATATAACATTGATAATGATGATAAAAATAAATAATAATGATAATAATAATTATCTATATTATGTATGTATGTCTGTATATATAAATTATATAATATATAAATATAAATGAAATATCAATGACATAGCCATTTTTGATAGGGAAATGATGATGATCATCAACCCTGCTGGTCCATGGAGCTGCTGGTGATTCGGAAGTGAGAAACACCAGCATCCAATATGTGGATAGGCCAAAATCTACTAAGCAGGGGAATAGTAGATAATGGTTAAATGAGTTAAATGAGTTAAATGAGTTAAAATATATTATTACCTCATTTTAGCTAGCTAATTTACGATAGTGAATGGTAAATCCAGAAATCATAGCTATTTTAGGGATACCTAGGGTACGCTAGGGGCGCTGGCCGCTAGGGTTTTTGACTCATAGCCATCAGGTCACATCCCAGCTGCCAGGGCCGGTATCGTGTGGAAGTCAGTCATGTGCCTGCAGGCAATTGGGCCCCTCGGCAGGAGTTGAGACTGGATGGGGATGAGAATTTTGGGGATAATAATAATACTAATAATTAAACAACATACTAGTAAATAAATAAATAAATACATACATACATACATACATACATACATACATACATACACATAAATACATATATAATAATAATGATGATAAAACATAATAATGTTAATAATAATAATTAATGATAATAATATGGGAATATAATGGTATATAAAACCTTTGGGGTTATAACTGACTTAACACTGGTAAAGGGCCATAAGTGTAGAGGGATGTGTCTGAACCTCCTATTTTCAGAGAAACCCATAGGAAGAGGTAGGAAGGGAGAAACCCACATGATATCAGTATCAATCAATACTTGCAATATTAGGCACGTCCATTGTATAGTATACAAATCCCCTACTAAGCGCTGGTTTGTGGCCGGTGTTTCATTGCTTCACGGGGGGATTTAAAAAAACTTAGCATTTCTCTTTTTGGCGACTTTCGCGCCGAGGTTCTGATCGGCGGAATTGAGACTTGCATCAAGAAGACGGCCACCATCACAACGGCTTCCAACGAAGAGGAGGTGCTGGCGGTGCTCCAATGGGATGGGATATGATGGGATGAAGCGGAAAAAAAATCCGTGCAATGACAACATACGTGGTATCAATCTGTACCCTCTGGTAAACTAACATAGCTAATTATGGAAAATGGCCCATAGAAATAGATGGTTTACCTATTAAAAATGGTGATTTTCCATGGCTACGTTAAATAACCAGATGGTATCAATCTGTATCATCTTTGATGGAAACCTGTTTTTTTTTTCCAATGCGATGCCAACATGGAAACGGATCGCTGCGGTCCTTGGGTCCTTGTGAAGCCCCAAGTTCTGGATCTACCCAGTCCTTGGGAATGGTCATAGTGGATGACCATACCCCCATAGATCCCGGGATGTGACATTTCACCATGGGACATAGAAGTTACGTCGTCCCAATGATTGGTGATTGATAAGTGATGATCATCGTAAATCCCAATACTTGGATTTAGGTTAAACATAAGTGGATTATATATAGTAACATATGCAATGTGGGTAAAACAAGGGAACACCGCCTTGAGGCGGGTGTGGGTTTTCTACAATTGTGTACTTGGTGATTGAATCAAAAATCACCTTTTTACACTGTAATTTACAGTATTTTGTGCTTGTGATCTATGATGTTTTGACGTTTGCTGCAAGATGTCAAAATGCCAAAAAAAAACTTTTGCAATTCCGCAACATCTGCTTGAGGTTCAATGCATTCTTTTTTTCCTCAGTGCTCTTTCAGTCGGCATTCTTCGTTTTGAAGAGCTTGCCCAAAGTCTGGATGTATTGATGCTGGTGTGCAAATCTAAATTGCCATGATCTCACATAGATCATGAGCTTTTTATTGAGGCGTCCTCTGTGCAACGTCTTCGGTAGCGTCATCTTACAGTCGAAAGGAACGTTATCATCCCCCCCCCACCCCCCCTCCCGGTCAAGGTAGCAAGACGTCAGCAACAAAGTTGGGCAACGTGTCTTCGGTAGCGTCATCTTACAGTCGAAAGGAACGTTATCATCCCCCCCCCCCCCCCCACCCCCCCTCGCGGTCAAGGTAGCAAGACGTCAGCAACAAAGTTGGGCAAAGTGTCTTCCGTAGCGTCATCTTACAGTCGGCAAGAGCGTTAAACACGTATACTGCCAAAGAGCACAAACGTGGAAAAAACCACGCCCGCCTCGGGGCGTTGACCCCTAAAACAACAATAAACCATCACCCAGTCATCACTGCATCACCATTTTTATAGGTGGGATTCCAACCATTCCCAAATGGGTTGTTTATTCACAATATATACCCTCTGCTAATTTAACATAGCTATTGAAAATTGCCATTTATAGTTGATTTACCCAGCTATAAAATGGTGGTTTTCCATAGCTATGTTAGTTTACCGCAGTGTATATATATATATGGTTTATATTGGAAAATCTTCATCTAAAACGGATGGTTTGGGGGGTACCCCCCATTTCAAGAAACCTCCACATATATATATATATATATATTTGGTTGGTGGTTTGGAACATGCTTTGTTATTTTCCATCTATTTTTCAGAGGGGTAGGTATGCCACCAACCAGATAGATAGATAGATAGATAGATAGGTAGGTAGGTAGGTAGATAGATAGATAGATAGATAGGTATACCACCAACCAGATATATTTCGATCAACGACCTGAACGACGCCAGGTGGAGATTTTCCGACCTCTTCGCTTCCCCACCACACCAGCTGCGATTCCCAGAGGGAAACAGTTGAAGATTCCCATTGGGAACATCTTTTGGGAGTTAAAACTGTTGGAAAACCCACAACAAAAAGTGGGGTTTAGTAGGGATTCTTAGGGATTCTTAGGGATTTTTAGGGATTCTTAGGGATTCTTAGGGATTCTTAGGGATTTACAAAGGGATTTACTAAGGATTTAAGATGATAACTGGGCCGGTGAATAGGGATTGAGCTGTGGATGGGGATTTTGTGATTAGGTGGCTGGTTCATAACAGCTGGAGACTTCATTTATATTTGATGGGATATTGAATATGTATGATTTATATTGATGGAGATATAATATAATGGGATATTGTTTTTTTCGGGGATTTGATGGATACTAAATATAATAATGGGATATATGATTTATATTGATAGATGCAATATATATATATATATATATCAATTATCAATATTTTCAATCATCAATACTATGATATTATTTCATGTAATCCATTATATATGGATATTTGATGAGATATTGAATGGGATATACCCTTTGGTGGTTATTTTTGGGATGATTTGAATCCGACTGGTCAAAATGGTGATGACTTGGGGATTACCCTCTGGTTTTTTTGTTTATGGAAGCCATGGTCCATAGAAATAGATGATAAACATTGTGTTGATTTACCGTGTTTAAAACATGATATTTTCAATAGCTACGTGAAAAGTAACCACAGGGTATCAGTGAAATCAGCTGGATTGTCTGCCGCCAAGGAGGCCGTGAAAATTGGGGAGTATTCAATACATCAGTGAGGGGGACCTTTCCGGTACTCAAACATGGCATGCTTTGTTATCCCTTATTATCCCTTATCCCTTCGCAAAACTAAAACGGATCCATTCATTTGAAGTGGATCAAGACATTGCCCAGTCATTTCCTGTAAACACTCCTATTGGGGCTTAGTTTTCCATATATATATATATATACATATGTTTCCCCTGAAACAAAAGTTAGTGAAATGTGAATGGACATTTCAGTTAGTTTCCATATATTTTTCATATTTCCCATATGTGTTTCCATATGTTCCATATATTTTCCATTTCAGTGGCTGTCCCCATGAATTCGGCCGAGGTCATCAAGGTGGCGATTGAGCCTCTGCAGCCCGCGGAGCTGCCAAAGATGGTTGACGGCTTGAGGTTGGCAGCTGTGGATGGCCATTAACTGAGGGAAACATCGAAAGACATGTTGCAAAGTCATGGGGAAACCTAGGAAATCAATGGAAATCTATCTACTTTCATGTTGTTTTTGTTCCACATCTAGGGTAAAAAAAGGGATGGAAGGATAGCTGGTTTGTCACGGGGAGATCGCCAAACGTCTCCATGACACCCAACTGGTGATCCAGGAAGATCGACAAGGCCTATGGCTTGTCCAAGACCAAGGTGCCCAGTGTTAGCCGCTGGTGACGGTGCCGTGTTTCTTTTTTAAGATTCTGGAGGTGATATGATCCTGGATTTTTCTTGGAGGGGATCCCATAGCCATTTCATTGGATAAAGTGAATGCAACCTGACAGGTGGAAGAAAGTGGCGAGCAACTTGGATGTTTCCATCATTTGGGTGCTCTCAATCGGAAAGAAATGTATAACTGTATAACACTTTTTGGAACAATGAACTTGTTCTTCTTCACATGTTCCACAAATGTTAGCAGTCCTACCGTAGCCACCTGAAACATGATCGCACCAATGGCTGTGATGGCTAGGACTGCTATCCCAATTTGTCCGCATCCACATGGGAGGATGTTCCCAGAAAGAAACCCTGGAATCTTTGGCCGTGCTGTTACCGGCCAGTGGTGCTGACCGTTCATTACCGGCCTCGGTTGACGAAATTGTCTTTAGGTGAGAGTGCACAATGGGTCAACATGCTGCACATTTGTACTAATTTCTATCTGGTTGGTGGTTTAGAACATGAATTTTATGACTTTCCATATATTGGGAATGTCACAATCCCAACTGACGAACTCATATTTTTCAGAGGGGTAGGTATATACCACCAACCAGCTATATACTGTAGTGCATATCACCCATATCTACATTGTTTGAGCATTGGTTTGATACTGGTTTCCTCCTGAATGTCCAGAATCCCGAACTTCCGAGCCTCCCCAAGATGCCATTTCTGTCTAAGCTTTTGAGACCTGTCCTCCTGTACAGACACAAAAAGATGTGGAAAAGCCGCCATGAAACTAAATCATTTAGGGAAAGCAGTAGTTTTCCATATTTTTTTTGTATGTTTACCCTAGGGTACTTGCCTGAAAGACATGAACAAAATCGTCCAATACTTTGGTTTAGGCCTTGGGGAAGCAATAGAGGAAGTCCTCAAGCAATTGGTAATGACAAGAAAGATAAGAAAGACCTTAGTGTCATTGAATATGATGAAGGTAGTAAGCCTGGGTTTGGTGACCGTGATTTGTTACTTTCCCAATGCAAAATCCACTACTTAGGGAATCTATAGGGAAGCAAATCCAAGCAAGTCCCCAATGTCCAAGTATATTTGGTTGGTGCTTTGGAATTTGTGACATTTGTGATGTTATTTCCCATCCAACAAACGGGAAGATGATCCCCATTGACAACAACGTATATTTCTCAGGGGGTTGAAACCACCAAGCAGATCAGCTGATTATTTGAAGTGAAGTGGATTGCTCAAGTCAACTTATCAACTTGTATTATTCTTAGTTTTCCTGGATGTACTACAGTAAGCACCCAAAGAAATATATTACTATATATGATTATATACAATTATATATATATATGTAAAATTATTTATTATTATTATTACTATTATATATATACACAATTTCAATATCATATCTATATACAGATACAATTAACCCTCCCTTCAGCTTTCCCTGAAACATAACCACCTCCCCACAACCCCGAACTCACCGCCAAGGCACGTCTTGCTGGGCACGGGGGAGGTCTACTTGGACTGCGTCCTGCATGATCTACGAAGGTTTCCACGGGATAATTGAGGGGAAACCATCAATAAAAGAACTATAAAATATAATGAGATGTTATTTCCTTGGTTGTTTCCGTAGTTTTACGAAATGCGATTTAAATCCATCGGGGTGTAAGCATCAGTATGGAAATTTTTCATTGATGATCAAGGGTCGGCAATTCCATGGATCGTAAGTGCTGAGTAAGTCACTTACTAAACCACTCATAGTTCAGAAAGCGAATAGCCTCTGGTAAACATCCAAAAACCTACGGAAAGATCCACCATTTTATAGCTGGGTAAATCAACGAACTATAGCTGGGCCGTTAGTCACTGATCATCCCAGTGGGCTTAGTTTAGCCACTAATGGACATTCACTGATGGGAAGATCCTTTCTGAAATCATCATTTGGAGATAGTAAAAAAAAACACGGAAGAAGCCAATCGATCACATGGATCATATATTTTATTGCATGGGTAAATTAAATGGTAAATCATTAAATCATAAATTTATAGATGGGTCATTTTCCATAGCAAACTGTGAATGTTTACCACAGGGTAACCCATGAAATCCCATGAATCGTTTTTAAATATGTTTTTGTTGGGGAACACGCATCAACCGGTGGATTTGGGATTTTTTCATGCCCTAAAATGGTTGGGGCTGTCCAGCGAATTGACATATGGGATGATTGGTACGGATCAGAAACATGAACAGTGCCCTATTTTGGCAGGATTGGTAGGATTAAATTTGAAAGTGGCTACCGGAGATAACTCAAGAATACCGATGTATCCGCATTAAATTGTCATAATATGAAAGTGTACATGACAGGATAGTACAGGAAGGAGGATTTACCATGTACCAGTGTGCATGTTTTTGCTTTTCTTGATACCCTTAAGGAGTTTCACATGACTTGATCCATTCTGAGAGCCAGACCTTGTAGGGGGGTCACCATGGGTCAGTTCATGCTGGATCCCGGATTTCGCATCAATTGAGATGCTAGATGCCACTCTTGACATTTCAGACATTTCCACACATGTTCCAACCATTCCAAGTTTTTTTTTTTTTTTACTGGAACATTTCCATACATGTTCCATGTATGTTCCAAGCCATTTTCCAAGCCATGTCTTTCCCCATGTCGTTGCAGGCTCTACGGTGACTTGGAGATCAAGGTCGCCGATCCCGTGGTGGAGTTCTGCGAAACTGTGGTGGATCCTGGGACGATTTTAACCAGCGACGTTTTTTGTTGGGCCGATGGGTTACAGCCTTGATTTAAAGATCTGGGTAAATGGCCATAGAAATAGTGGATTTTCCCATTGAAAATGGTGATTTTCCATAGTTATGTTAGTTTACCAGAGGGTATCTGGGTAAATTTGATCACGACCTCACTGTTCTCCCTCACTGGGAATCATGGTTAGTAAGGGAGATCATCCCCAAATGGCCTTAATTCAGGTTAGTGAAATATTATAATTTACCCAGAAAGATGATGCGAAGAGTCTTGGATGACTTAAACTATTCGCTGAAAAAGTGATACTTGCTCTGAATAATCTTTATAAATATAATTCACCTGGAGTCAAAGATCAAAGGTTGGCTGGTGGTTTGGGTTGTGGTTTGGAATAAGTTTCAGAAGTTCCTCTCGAGATTTCATTGGACGAACTGTGATGAAATTAATTGTACCATTATGGGTATGATCAACATTGGGCACCAACAAATTTGATCTTTAACTTTGTTTAAAACATCATACATCCTTAGATCGTATGGGGGGAGTCCATAAATGGTGGTACCTCAAAATGGTTGGTGTACAATGGAAAATCCCATTTAAATGCATGATTTGGTGGCACCTCCCATTTTAGGGAACCTCCATATTGATATCTAATCTGGTTGGTGGTTTGGAACATGGCTTTTATTTTCCATTTCATATATGGGATGTCATCCTTCCCATTGACGAACTCATATTTTTCAAGATGGTTAAAACCACCAACCAGATACAATTATACCATACTTGTACCATAGTTATTGAACATCACCATGCTATTAATGGGTAAATCTGCTATAAATGGCAAGTTTTAATGGGTATATATAATGATATCAACATAAAGATCACACTCAGATACGTGTTTCCGGCGTTGCGGATGCGTGGATGCCGCCCGGATGCCGCCAAGGAGACTAGCTCCCTGAAGTGTTTCGCGGAGACGCCCAACAAGAAGAACAAGTGCCTTGTCAGCAAGGAAAATGGTGATTTAACCACTAGGAAAATGGTGATTTTATGGTGGTTTAATAGTGATCTAATGGGATTTACCCTCTGGTAAACATTCACAGTTTGCAATGGAAGCCATGGCCCAGCTATAGTTCGTTGATTTACCCAGCTATAACATGGCGGATCTTTCCCATCAGTTTCTTGGGACTGTTTACCAGAGGGCATCCGAGGGGAGAGCTAAGGAGCAGGAGATGTATTCCCTGTTAAAATCTATTAAATGGGGGGCCAGTGAAGCTACAAATTGAGTAACAGTTTTAAGCACAACATGAAATTGTTGGATGCTAGGCGTCAATAGATGGGGAGATGAGTGATGAGTTGCAATAAAATCTGAGGGAAGAAGCAACAAAGGGAGCATATGCTATAGATTTGCTTAGCTAATCTTAGATGTTTCGTGTTGGACCAATACCCCCAAAGTACATTTGGGATGTACCGGGAGCCAAGGGGGACCCAATTACAGATCCTGACTTCACTGATCATCCGAGTGCCTCGCAAAACTGAGGACCATAATAGTACCCCCAGTAATCAAACGTGGTAATGGACAATCCCTGATAAATGAAGGTTTTAATAGGTTTTAATCATCTTTAAATGATGATAAATGATGGATTTTCCATTGCCACGGTTGCTAACCAGAGGATAATACTCTAGTTTTCCAACGGGTATCCTTAGTTGATCTATCCTTGTATTTCGGAGGATGCTTTGTAGCATAAGGAACAATCCATAGCAATTTTTCGAGAGGCAAGATGTTACAACTCCTTTCCAAATACTCTCTGGTGAACTAACATAGCAATGGAAAATCACCATTCTTAATGGGAAAATCCACTATAAATAGCCATTTTCCATTGCTATGTTAGTTCACCAGAGGGTATTTCATACGTGCCATGCATCGACTCCTTTTCCGCAGCCCGCTGAAAACTTGGGGGATTCCTATTGTGGGATGACCAGAAAGACGAAATTTTGCTCACAATTTTGCTCCCATGCAACGTGCTCCCATGGCACCAATGTGGCACTAATATGGCACTAATATGACTACCTCATGGGATCCGAAAAAAATCGCCTAGTTTTCTCTGGGATTCATGCTGACTCCAGCTGATTCCAGGATCTATATGGTCGCAGAGCCTCTGGAAAAGGGTCTTGGCGAAGATATCGAGAAGGGGAAGGCTCCAAGATGGGTTGGTCTGAAAATGGGGCACCCCAAAATCCAGTGATTCATCATCATAGATACCCTCTGGTAAACTAACATAACTATGGAAAGGTCCACCATGTTTAATGGGTAAATCCACTATAAATGGCCATTTTCAATAGCTATGTTAGTTTACCAGAGGGTAATCATGTTCCCATATCCTTCCTAGTAAAATTAGAACTGCCATTTCGCGGGGTCGGTATACAAGAACAACCCCTTGTTCAGTCACCCATCTACTGTAGGGCTCATCAGCCATCCCCAAACACTTTGTCAAGTGAAACAAACATCCAAGTAAGCGAGGTCCTCCCAACGCGATAGCTGCTGTGATAGGTGAGAAAATGGCACTCCTATAGAGAACTGGAACTGTGCGACTGAGGGGGGAAGCAAAGGCGGACTCTCAACAGCCACACAAGCTTATGAACTTGACCCCGTTTCAAGATTCAAAGATGGCTGGTTTAATCTTGACAGTAAATGTTCCAATTATATCCAATGGTTCAATTGGCAAAGTGGCACAGAAGATAAACAAAACAATATACAGTAATTACATCAGACTCATTCTTTGTCCCGAATTTCAAACTTCACAAGCCTCTTGCATTGAATGTTCAGTCGCACACTTGTCGACGCCAGAGATGTTTGTTGACATCTGACGTTTAATGTGCTTGTTCAACGGATGAATTGATAAACATGTACTGATTTGTCCCCCTCAAACCGGAAACATTGTACTCATTTGCTAGTGGGCTTGATAGTTTGATATATAATATACGTATATATATATAATTATATATATAATTATAATTATATATATATATATAGTTGGAAAAACACACATCCTCACAAATTGCCTATGTTAGTTGCCAAAAATACCATGAGGACTGCGGGATCAACCACGTTTGCGGCTATGCATTGTACCATTTTTTTACGCCCGACACTAAGGTCATTCCTTGTTCAAATTAGATCTCCCTGGGTATGTATACGGAAAAGAACAATATGGACATTTTAGACACATCCCCATGTTTGACAAGATGTTTGTTTGTTTTTTTTAAACCTCCATTTCTACAGGCTTTTTTCTACAGCAACCAATGTTTAAACCCTTTTTTCACAGCTCGTTGTGTTTTTCGCAGGTGAGCATCGAATGGGAGAAGCGACGTATGAGTGATTTCTTCACCAAGAACTACGATTGGGACCGGGGGAATTGTTTGGGGACCCCCAGTGGATGATCATCCCCAATATACCGTCTATATATAATATGGTAACATAATATGGTTAATACATATGGTTAATATAATAAATGTATGGTTAATATGGTTAATATAATACTATATATATAATATGGTTAATATCTGATTAGTATATGGTTAATATGGTTTAAATGGCTATATCATTTATATCTGATTGGTGGTTTGGAACCATTGAACCATGGAATTTTATGACTTTCCATATATTGGGAAGTTCATCATCCCAACTGACTTTCATATTTTTCAGAGGGGTAGGTATACCACCAACCATGTATATATATATATATATAAAGGGTAGGATTAAATCCCTTATCATCAACCAACCAGGGTTTACTGCTCACATGAGTGTCATTCATACTTGAAGAGCCTGCCCAGTTGTTCATCAACTCGGAAATCGTTTTGAAACATGCGGGATGAAACATTTCTCAGGTTGAATTGAATAGGAACATTTTGCCTACTTTCATGGGGGATCAACATGCACATTATCACATTTGCGATGGATGAAATTTGGTCGAGACAGTAGAATTAATATTAATATATAGTGAGAGTAACTATGCTTGAAAATCGATTGGTTGGCATAGAGGCAACATCAGGCAACTCTATTGAGTTGAGAGACTTTGTTTATATTGGCGGGACTTCACATCCCCAGGTTGTCCTTTGGTGAAATCCCAATAGGATGTATTTGTTTCACTGATGGGTTCTGTCAGTGTTGTTTCAGTCTCATGTCGATTGATTCTTGGTATTTCTTGGTCATGTAATCAATGTAATAGCTATAATGTCAAGCCCGGATTTCTATCAACCACGAAGGGTGTTGCTCAATTGGGGAGGTAACATTTTAGTAGCAGAGAACATCACTACTCCCATCCCGCATTCATATTACCGTAATTAGTTACAGCCCCATTGTTAGCGTTCCAAGCAGGATCTATTGGCTTCCCGATCGATTTGGGCCTTCGGCCCTGAGGCTTTTTGAGGGATTGATACAGGCCATTGAGAGATGGTCATAGCACTATAATTAATAGACTGACATGGGGAATTACAATGGCTAAGGATTCCCAAGTTCCTGGTTGGATGACCGTGTTACGCATGCCATGGTCTTTGACCATGGCACAACGTGGGAACAATATGGGTAACAACGTGGGGAAAATCATTTGACATACCGTATACCGAACAACAAGCATCGGTAACCCCCTATGATCATGGGTACAATAGGAGTATTTCACATGCGGGGGTAAACAACAATGGAATATCATCAAAGGAAGTTTCGTAGAGAAACTCCGAGTTACGGACTTTCACATTCTCGCTAGCCCAAAGATCATTGTGTCCAGTTGGCATGTGCCTTAAGAGATCATGAAGTCACATAGCTCAAAGATCATTGTGTCCAGTTGGCACCTGCGTGAAGTAGAGTAGAGGTATCGTAGAGATAGAGTAGGGGTAGAGAAGAGTAGCGTAGAGCAGAGTAGGTCATTTACATCATGCCAAACACATGCCAAACAGAGGAACCTTCATCATCGGATATCTGTTCAAAACACATGTGTTCACCACTATTAAGTATACATAAGCTGAGGCGGATGTCATCAAGTAGATCGCACAGTTTCTTGACTCACTCGAAGATACTTCGTAGAAACAGGTTTCCAGTTGGATCAAGGGTCGTCATTTTTTCCTTTAAACACCCGAGTCATAATAATGCGCAGCGTCCATGTTTGATGTGCAGGTCAACGGCCCCAACATCCTTTTGGATGACAGCTTGCCAACAGAGGTGGGGATGGAGATGGATAGAGAACAGAATGAACACACAGGACCACTGACCGCCCAGATGACGACAGGTGAATAAGAGCCTGCTGGCGCAAAGTAAAGACAGCAGGGGAGCTTGGGAGGATGTCATAGTTCTATTTCTTTTTGTTTCGTGTCCCTGTTTCATGACAAAGACTGCAGTTTATTTGGGTTTGTCTGAAAATAGTGTATATTCCCAATGAAATAGCCATTTTTCATAGGGATAATGATCAGCAAAACCATTGGGTAAAAAGGGGTACACGACATTTTCAGACACACCCATTTTCTGGTATCTTTTAGTGAGATCATGTGAGATCAGTAGCTGCGTCGTCCATTTTTCTATGTCCTGTGGAAGTGATGAGGCCTCGACTCTGAGAGCTGAGGTCTCATCCAGGGGTTCCAATGGGCAACCAAGGAAGGACCATTGTGTGATGTGCCGACCTCAGTGATGCCAAACGGGGCCCATGTTGGGTTTGTCGATACCCAACGATCCAAGTCATTAGGATTCTTGGCCCAGGAGGCTTGGCGATGCCATTTGTCTAACCAGTTTAATCATGTTTAATCCATGAAACGTGGTGAATAAGAATCAACCAATATCTTGATGAGAAGGATGGGCGCCGTGGATATCCGAAGATTTGGATTTTTCTGAAGGGAAGGTGTAACTACCAAAAATGCAGGAACTAGTTTCTGCAAGGAAAAAAACATTTTTACTTCCCGGGTGGGGCATGTGGTTAGGGTCGGATTGTTCTAGGGATAGTTTTTAGTTACGCATAGGGCATCATAGTACATCATGGTATATCATGGTACATCAGAGTACATCAATACATCATAATCCCCTTGGGTAATCAAACATGGTTTGCTGCAAAGTCCCTCATTTCGTTGGATGCTGAAATAGCCGAGCCAATAGTCCCATTACCTTCAGAGCTATTTCTGCCATTTCCCAGTGGCCAGCCATGATGGCCATGTTCCCAGGAGAAAATCCGCAGCTGCAAATTCAAAATCCTCAATGCTCAGCTTGCAGAGGATGTGGTCTTGCGCGGCGGAGGCGGAAGTTTCGGAAGTTTCGGGCGCCTTTTAAGGGTGACTGGGGATGACCGGGATGTCAAAGGCGTGGTTGTGGTTGTGGTTGTGGTTGCTGTTGTTGTTGTTGTTGTTGTTGTTGGTGATGTTGTTTCTGTTGTTGCTGATGATGTTTCTGTTCTCGAAGATGTTGCTGCTGCTCTTGATGATGGTGATGGTGGTCATGGTGTTAGGCCTATCCGGATTGCATTTGAGAATTTGAGAAGTCTGTCTTTGCTTCGAGGTCAGATCATTCCCACCGCTCGCCGTGCGGGGAGACCTAAAGATGTCTTTTTGACACTGTTGGCCCATGGGAAGAAGGTGGATCAACGGCAAACCAAAGTGGCTTCCAAAGGGAACACGTTTTTTTTTTTGGATGGGAAGAACACTTTTCTACAACTTGTTGAATTTGCAAGCTTTATACATATGAAGTCAATTACTTTGTCATGTTGCGCTGCAAGACTCTGGAAATCCCGCCCTTTGGATACTTTGGGATATTGAGTATGCCTATTGCTATTTTAGGGACTGATACCTCAACCAATGATCAGTCAACGGTTTTTTTTTGTGATTGCTGGTTGATATCCCTGTGTTTGCTGGCGAGAACAAGCATGCCTCTATGTTCGATTTCCAAAGCAATGTTATTGGTTGAATAAGTGCAAACATATATATATATACACATATTATATTATATATTATATTATATATTATATTATATATTATATTATATATTATATTATATATTATATATTATATTATATTATATTATATTGTATTGTATTGCTTTGTATTATATTATACTATATTATATTATATATAATTATATATATATATATACATTGATATAGCCAAATCAACGCTGTTGAAACACCGGGTGGTGTTGGAATTATGTCCATTACATCCTCATCATTTTCCAGTTTTGTTTTGCCTTCAAATTACTAGTTTCTTGTAGACCTTGTTTCAATATCAAATATTCATGATATATATGTAACGTATTGATTGTAATGTCCTTTTCTATACATGTCTATACTACACTATTTATTTACGCTATCGCGACATCTCACAACTAGCTGCTGTGTTTTCGCGGTATGTTTTCGAGGTCGCCTATTCCGCCTTCCTTCTGGCCACTCCTCGCTTGATGGAGCCTGTGATGTGAGAGATCCCAGAGCAAAAGGATGGACCATTTGTAAACGGTGAAAGATAGTAAAAGTACGACAATTATAGGGTAGAATACCATAGAATACCCCCATTTTTGTTGGTACTTGGAGGGTCTAGATTGTAGACAAAGCTGCTTCAGGTTGTCTTGTTCATGCCTTCTTTGATAGAGCAAGCCTGTACAGCATTGGTTGATATCATTTGATATAGATGAATCAGACTGACAGTGGCAATGTCTAAGGAGACGGTTAATGAGAGAAAAACTTAATCCATCATACAGCAATTTTCAACTTTTCAATGGGGCCATGATCGGCCATCATCAACATAGACACCGGCATGATATACGTATATTTACGTGTATATATATATTATTTATATATACAGTAATATATACATATATATATCTATATTCTATATATATACAATATATTAACCCTTCCAAATTAACCCAACGACATTTGACATGCCGAAATAAGGTTCTCAGACATCGAATGCCCGGCGGATTGCGTGGCAGCAATCTACAACGTCCTCTCGAGAAGGTCGATGGATCACAGGGGGAGGTCAATGGTCTCAGGGAGTAAAAATTCCCTGGTTGATAGGTGGTTCTAAGCGACTTCACCATGTGATTAATTAAAGGGTTTTCATGTTAAGGCTGAAACTATGGAAGATATGGATATATAGTTGCTAGTTGGTGGTTGGTTATGAAATAGGGATGTATAATATGTTATACTAATACTACCTGCGTGATTGGGGATTATGCTTAGCCATAGTGGAGAACTTTATCAGCCAACTAGTATAATTTAGATGGGATGGGTATTTTTGATGGCTCAGGTTGCTGGCAGGTTTATTTTGGAAGTCTCAAGTAGGAACTGCCTTTCGCTCCTTAGCATCCCCTGACGAGACTCTCATAGCCATCTGCATCGGTCAGCGATTAATCTGCATCATTTCACCCCTGGGCATTTTGCCCCACGCCGAGTCAACAAGTCCCAACACATTAAGAAAAAAAACCGAGAAAATCACTCGGTCCATTGTTCTTTCTTCAAACACAAGCATATAATATTGAGAAATCCATATAGTTCCACTAGGTTCCACTATAGTAATATAGTAAGGCATATAGAATCCCCGAAAACGATGGACAAGTCACCAATTCCTGGAGTTGCTGATGATTTGGCTGATTTTCCAAATCCACGACTGGGGAATCGATTTTCCGGGCGTATTTGTCATTTTTAGGGGCTTCCTTCAAGACATCCAAGTATCAAAACTACACTGGTTGGTGGTTTGGAACATTTTTTATTGTTCCATATATTGGGAAGTTCATCATCCCAACTGACGAGCATATTTTTCAGAGGGGTAGGGCTCAACCACCAACCAGATAAAAATAGCACATCTGAACTTGGCCTTTGATCTTTGCCAGGCGTGGGCATGTGATCCGCGATTTGCCAAAGCCAGGAAGTCCCATGTACTCGGTGGGTCGTCTCAGTCATCTCGGTCCGCCCTGCGGGGCGGCAACAAATTGGTGAAGTGAATTCGAAAGACACGGAACAACTCGATTTTTTTAGGTGATGTGTCCAAAATGCTCAAACAAGATATATTACCCTCTGGTAATTTAACATAGCTATTGAAAATTGCCATTTATAGTGGATTTGCCCATTAAAACTAGTGATTTTCCATAGCTATGTTAAATTACCAGAGGGTAAGACATGAATATAATGATATGTTATGATGGCTCAAACGTTGAGTCCAGTCGACTCCATCACTGGTTGTGGTCTTCCCATACCTGGATCCCTCTGGCAATTTCAAGTAGCTATGGAAAATCATCATTTTAAGACAAGGTAAATCATCGTGTTTATCATCTATAAACGGGCCATGGCTTACATAATTATCTGAAGTAACCATATGTATCCGAATAGATCTTACATTAAGCATTAATATTGTTATGAATGATTCACCATTATTACCATCTGGTTATTTAACATAGCCATGGAAAATCACCATTTTAATAGGTAAACCATCTATATATGGACCATCTATACCATAGCTATGTTAAATAACCAGAGGGTATAGCCAGCATTTATTAACTAATATTAACCACTGTTTTCCTCGTAAATCCCTTGTAAATCCCAGGTCCACGCCTACCTGCCGGCCATGGAATCCTTTGGCTTCGAAACCGACTTGAGAACACACACCTCGGGACAGGACTGGCGTGGAAAGGGGAGTGGATGGGAGTGGTATATTATATATAATACACATACATACATACATACAGACAGACATACATACATACAGACATACAGACATACGTACATACATGTATAGTATTTATATATATATGCATGTATATACTATACACATATATATATATATATATATGTATATTTACATACGTATGAATATATATATATACATGTACATATATATACATACATATACATATGTATAAATATATATATATATGCAATGTTTTGAGTGTCCAAATCCACCGGTTTCAAATTGTCTTGAACGATAGTTGAGAGGGCAACCAATTTTCCAAAGTCACGACGTTCACTTTAACTAGGTGGCTTCAAACATGCTTGTTTGAACATGCCTGTGACTTCAGATGGCCAGGAAACAGAGCTGAATTGTCAAACATGGGCGTGTTTTTTTGCTAAAGGTTGGTAAAGATTCCCATACATCGAGTATAGAGAATTTGGGCTAGGTAATCCCTCCAAGTAGACTGTCATTTTGGGCAAGAGACATTTTGCAAATTGTTGCCAGGCATTATAGACATTTATAGACTATAGATTTGCCAAGCATTGACAGGGTGTCTTTATATATATATATATATGAGCACTCCTTACACATATAAACAATCAGGTGTAATTATATAGCATTGCCAAGCATTTGTACATCAATTCATAGCGAAAACACGTCGACGTCGACGTCGACGTCGACCAACGCAGGCCATGTGTCAAACCTTCTTCGATCACTGGGAGCATGTGCCCGGTGATCCTTTGGATCGATCAATCCTATTGCCACTTGGATTCACCTGGCCGGCTACAAAAAACCACCGCTACTAAGATGTCTGAACATATCCATTGCGAGATTGCCTCAAGTGAATGACTTAAGTCTATGATTTTCATTGATTTTTCTCACTGGCCATGATTTGTCAACTCCAAATTCCGGAGATGGTGGGGTGGATTGTGATGGATTGTGCCTTTATCAATTTTTTTTAGTGACACATACTTGCCAGGCATGGTGGCCCATTTGCCATCACGAATTCATATAGGTTTCTAGAATTTTCTAGATGCAAAATTGATTTTTGGGATTGCAAACGCCAACATCAGTTTTCCGGTGCTGGTCGAGTTCATCGGTTGTAGAAATGGGTCAGTAGTCTTACCATGCTGGATATACCCTCTGGTTATTTAACATAGCCATGGTATAGATGGCCCATTTATAGATGGTTTACCTATTAAAAATTGTGATTTTCCATGGCTATGTTAGTCATAACCAGATGGTAGTTTATAGCCTCTGGTTACTGAAATTTACCACAACCAGGTATGTGTCCGATGTCTTTTTTTTGCAGTTCCACGTAAGTGTTACGCAACAGTCTTGCATGGAAATCCCCAAATTCGGTATGATGGACAGACTATAGGAAGCCAGTATGGATGGGCAAAGCACATGTTTTTTCTTTTCTGTATATAGTATGTTTCATATACATCCCGGCGGATGGTTTACCGCGCGTGCGTTTTAACGTTTTTTCTGAATCCAGCTTTGTGTGCATCTTTTCATTTGCTAGTATTTCAGCATTTTCTCAGCGTGAGAATTTATGTTTTTATGATTTATGTCCTCAATTACATGGGGATTTATTTTTTGTTCATGTTGTGTGGTTTTGGCCACGTCTTTTGAACATCCATGTTCCAAATTATGCTTCTGCAGGATGTACATTTTTTTTCAATAATTTTACGAAAAAATCAGACTTTTTTAGGATTTTATCTGCAGTCTTCGGCTCTTTTACATCTTCACATCGCACGAAGAGTGTCTGCGGTAACACGGCTGGACATAGACACGCAAGAAAGAAGGATAGAGAAGATCCTACAGCGTAGCATCAAGGGTTACTGCAGACGGTAGAAAAATCTTACAGCGTAGCATCACCATAGTGTGCAAGTGCAACTGAACGTTATTACCCCACCCCACCCCACCTGAAAAAAGCAAAAACGCTCGTACAGTTTCCCAGCCGCTAGCATATACATATACAATTAAGCATATATATATATATATGCACATTATTACACATTACTATATATATATATATATAAATAAATAAATATACATAACTACATATATATATATAATATATAATATATATATATGTATTAAATATAATATATATATATAAATTCATATATAATATATATATATGCATAAATACCTATGTATATATATATATATATTAAATGTATATGATTTCCCAAATCAATCCCCTGATCTTCTTGGTGAATATGTCATGTTTGCTGGCGCCTTTGAGCTTTGTGCCGAGGCGCCCCTTGGAACCGGCGCCAGCTCCGCATCTGGCGCGCGAGTTCATGCTGAAGATGCGCCGGCGAAAGGGCTTGAGCGAGGACGGGGGGTGATGAGTCGCTGATTTGTTTGATTTGTGAATTTTGGCTGTGATAAAGATGAAGGGACTGGAATTGAAGGTCAACATATATATATATAGTATATGTAGATATATATGTATAATATATATATATATATATGAAAGTCTGGTTTTTATACCCAGCGATGGATGGATTTAGAGTTGGGACGATATGGATGTATGTTTTACTATATTTTATCCATACGGAGTTATCATAATAATAGCACCGTCATTTTTGATAAGCTCGCGAGAATTGTAACACATTCCTACGTGTGGAAACCTCCAGCAGCCAAGCCAGGACGTGTCAGTCCACAAGTTCTTTGATGACCCCATGTTGCTTGAGCTTGCCAAGCAGGCTGGGCAACCACAGGTCACAGGTGATACACCCCAAGTTATGATTAATGGGCCATTTACCAATAGGGAACATGACGAACTCATGGCATCTCCACAGGATGCAGAGCTCAGCTCGTACTTCTGAGAGCGGCATGGCGGTCGGAACATCAACGTGGATGATGCAGCTAACCCAGTATGTTTAACGCGCATTACAGTGAACCATGGCATGTCATCCGTTCTTGTAACGTTTTGTGGTCTTATCTTGATTGTTGTTTTTTCCCGGAAAGCATCAAGTGGTCAGCAAGTGGGTATGGGTCAAAATTAGGTACCCCAATAATTGGATGGTTAATACTAAACTAGACTAACATCTGTGGTCCCCTGGGTCTTCCATTTTGACCCACATCCAAGTGTCAGCAATTTCAGTCGTGACATTGTGAATCAGAAACGAACAGCTCACTGTTGAGTCCCCAGTTAAACCCAGTCGTGGAGCGGTTAGGGAGCCATGGCTGTGGCCGTGGAGACGAGTGGAGCAAAAAGTTGGAGATGGGGAGAGCATGCCAGGGGCATGATGCTCCCTACCTAGACCTCTGAAAGTACCACAAGTGGCCACAAAATCTTGGTATTTTATGGTATTTTGCCATAGTGTACCCCTATGATTTTAGTACTTTAACATTTGTTTTACAATTTTTTTATGGGTACTTGGAGGGTCTAGGTAGATTGAACATGGACCCCCAACAATTTGGCGACTTATCCGTATCCAACAGGAAGATGATCTTGTTCGATGTTGAACCTAGAGAGTGTGTTCTCCAAATTATAGGGGATTTATCATGATTTATCATTATTCATTTCACTGTGGATTCCCCCTGGGTGATTAGAATCCCCAGGAAATATCTCCTATACATAGAGGATGTATAATATGGGTTGGATCTTAATCCCTTTGGATGGTTAAGATCCCCAAACTATCCAGCATAAAGGATTTTCACTGTGCTGTTTTAAATTTTGCTCAGATGATTCGAGTGCAGGACAATTTTTTTCCCTTTGAGGGGTAGCCTGTTTGGCCGAAGCGCACTTTTTTTGGGGTATTGGACATCCAAACGCCGCAAAGCAGCAGTTTTCGATCACCTGATTCTTGTGATAGCTTGGGGTACCCATTCGCAATGTATGGATCTTTCCTCAGCTGCTTATCTTCGTGGCTTTTCGGCACGCCATGGCGGTGAAGCGCCTGCTGGCACTTGCCTTGACCTATGTTTCCCTGGCGACAGCACAGCGCTGGGTTCCCTTGTCACATGAGAAAAAAACACCCGCGGTAAATCGAAATGTCCTGGGAAATTTGAAGGAGACCAAGGTGCTGCAAAAGACGCTTGGGTGCCTGTTACGCTTAAGTTTTTGGGTGGCTAGTTTGCTCAGTTTTTCTGTTTGAGAATTCCAGTTGAACTATGATCCCAATCGCACAAAGGCCTTTCGTTGGTGTGGTTCGTTGGTAGCCCCTTTTACCCAGCACATCATCTCACCAAATGGATAGGCGTTCAGTTCAGTATGGTTATTTGCTTTAGGACTCAGGAGTGCATACATCAGCTCTGATGTACAATGTAGATGCATATATATATATATATTTACTACGGCATACATTTATGCATACGATGTAAATAGTTTTTTATAGTTTTTTTTGGGGTATGTATACTATGTTATTCTTTTGTTTCATTTTTATTTACGATATATATATATAATATACATGTATATAATTATATATATATATACGTATATATATAATTATATATATGCTATCTCATGATGAACATGTATACTGTAGATTATATAGTATCTCTACAGGTCTTTTCCCAAGGATACCATTCGTTTCAGGAAGGAGCTGGATCTCAGCATCACACGCAGCCATGCGCTGGTGGCGCAGCTGGAAGTGGGAACGCCTCCACAGAAGATGACCTGTTTGTTGGACACGGGATCTTCGGACCTTTGGATCCCTTCCAAGAGGTGCAAGAGCTGTCAGACGCTTGGCGATCTGGAGATTTTTCAGATGGCGGGCGGCTCAACGTTGAGTGATGGCTTTTTACATTCCTAATGGGAAATCCAGTACGACTGGGCAATCTATAGAGAATATGTTTTACTTTCTGGGGTTCCTTAAGCAAATGCACGTTTTTTGGAAAAAAGGGGGGTGAGGAAGACTTGGAGAATAAACTTATAGAAATTTTGGCACAACAAGTGGAGGGATGCTTGATGAACTTATGTTTCAATAAACATGTGGTGTTGATTGAGGGAATGGGGGGAAGATAAGGGAGAGATGGTCAGGTGGGGCCGGTTTGGTTTGGATGTTCTTTTTTGGGGGGCTCACAGATTTTGAATCAGGTTTATATATGTTTATATATCATTGCTTTTCTACTGTCTTCGGATAAATTGAGCTTCAAGGATTATTTGTCTATTCAGTTTAGTTGTTTTGACAGTGGTTAGGAAGAACTAGATTAGTGGCTAGGCTAGGAATCACCAGCAAGAATCTGCCAACTTAAACCTGAGCTTCTTCGTCGGGAAAACATCCGGGATGATCTCTGGATTCAGAACATATTTTTCAATTGGAATACAACATATATCAACACATGATATGTTTTAGTAGTATTTTGGGTCCCCGTAGATCACACAATAGATTACATGCTCTCTGCACACGCCCAAGTATCGTCCGCAGGCCGCGTTTTTTTCGCGAAATTTCACCGGACATGTTTTTTTGAAGCCACCCCTCACTGAATCAAACATGGCAATTTCAAAAACATCTTCCATGTGTACCCTCTGGTAATTTAACATAGCTATTGAAAATCACAATTTTTAATGGGAAAACTCACTATTTCTATGGCCATTTTCAATAGCTTTTTGTATGTTTACCAGAGGGTAGATGATTTTCCCATTAAAGCATATCAACACGCCCTGTTTTGTTCAGGAATTTCCTCGCCAATCCTCGTTGGATTGCCCCAGCATCATATCCATATCCATGGAAATATCCCACTATTGTTGAACATATAGCCCCATTGCATCCCATAAATTCCTATAAAAAAACCCATATAATGCCAACATAAATCACCATGAAATCCCAGAAATTCCTAATAATTCCCAAATCCCATACACTTCGAAGAGTTTTTGATGTGGAAATCCTCCTGAAATCCAGGAACCAACATCTTTTCCACGCAGACAAGTCCTCAACTTTCAGCCCCGAACTGATCTCGCAGCCTGGCACAGCGGGCCGGCACCCTGTGGCGGTGCGCTTGAGCTATGGCACTGGCGACTGAGACTGGAGCTATGTTGAGGTCCAGCTACAGAAATACCACTAACTGTACTAACTTCACCAATGCTTGGGTAAAGAATTGAGGTTAGTTATATTATATAATATTATATATATAATATTATATATATGATCCCCGTGGCAATTTCCACTCTAGAACTGGTGAACCTGTGCATAGTTTAAACGAAATTCTTAATGTATTGGAATTTTAAAATTGATGTCAGGCTAGTCATTTTATTGTTGGGGGGTTGGGCTAAGCATTTTATTGTAAAGGTAAATCCTGATGATTTTTAGCATGTTAAAATTCCATTCTCATTTTATTGCAAAAAAATGTTTGCTTGGAGCATTTTATTGCAGAATGGAACCAGTGTTTTTCCAGGATCTTTTTATATCGATTTATTGGGCATGTCATTTTAGATCAGCGAGATGCTTCTCTTTCTGCAGTCGTTTATGGCTAAAGCACGGAATTTGAAGGAATTTGAAAGATTTTCAAGGATTTCGATTGATTCTAAAGGATGTTAAAGGAAGTTAAAGGAATTTGAAGGATTTTTTTGGAATTTAAAGGAATTTTAAGGAATCTTAAAGGAATTTTAAGGAATCTTAAAGGAATTTCAAGGAAGTTTAAGGAATTTTCAAGAATCTTAAAGGGATTTCAAGGAAGTTTAAGGAATTTTAAGAATCTTAAAGGAATCTGACAGAATTTGCAAGATTTTTTACGGATTTTAATGAGTTTAAATGATTTTTAAGGAATTTTCATGAGTTTTTTGGAAATTTAAGGAATTTATAGGATTTTTAAGGAATTTTAAGGAATTGCTACGAAAGAATGCCACGTATTTTATTGCTACAGAATGCTATAAACAGAAGAACACCATTAAATATTTGAGTACCTTCACTCTAAAATACCCCTATCTAAAATGGATTTCCTGACCTCTTTTTAAAGATGCGTTTCTGAGGGTCTTCAAAATTGGATGAAATTGGATGATGTTGGATGCACATTCAAGCATGAATTTGGTGGCAAGGCATTTTATTGCAGAGCCAGTTTTCATTGTTTTTGTGCATTTTAAAGCCTGAGGCCTATGCACAAAAGTTAGACCGCTCTAAAACTCCTGCACAGCTTCACATAATGAATTGGCACGCCGATTATATATGTATAATTATATATATATATGCACATATACAATTAATGGATGGTATGGGGGCATTCAGTGCATTCAGAGAACAAATAGAACATCTTGAAATTTTGATGCAGCTGTTTTTTTTATCCAAGTTGGAAGTGCCATGCTGTGCCATCATTTCTTTGCCCTGTCATGTCCTGATAAGGAAGAATCCCCATATGCCATGCCATGGCGCACCCGTATCATGACCTTCGATGTAAACCTCGGGATTTGGCAGGAGTCGATCAGGTTCCTGAAACAAACATGTTGTTGGTAAACCCAAAAAATAATCCATCCCCGAATAGAGGATTATGAATGAGTTTACTGGTTGTACCACATTATACAATCTGGTTTGTGGTTTGGAACATTTTTTATTTTTCCATATATTGGGAATATGATAATATGGGAATAATCATCCCAACTGACTCATATTTTTCAGAGGGGTAGGTCAACCACCAACCAGACAATAATCACATTGTGGCATTGTTCATGAACCGTGTGGTCCTGGACCTGTAATAAAAACCGCAAAAAAGTCAATTGGTTGCCGTAGATTTTCCACCCACAGATGGTTTAGTTCCTAGAATTTGAGGGAAAATGCGAGAGCCCCATGGTTTTTCCAGGCTTTTTCATGATGGATCATGGTTTCCTGCAAGTATTCCCAGCAATCCTGGATCAAAGGTGACATCGTCGGATACAAGGTCCAGGATACAGTGCGTTTCGGAGGAGCAGAGATCAGGACTGAACGGGGGATGGCTCACCATCGTTGATAGGTTTTTTTTTTTTAAAAATTAAGCATCAAACGTGTGGGGATATACCCTCTGGTAATTTAACATAGCTACTGAAAATGATGATTTATAGTGGATTTTCCCATTAAACATGGTGATTTTCCATAGTTACGTTAATTTACCAGAGGGTATTGGATATATTCATATAGATTCGATAAATGGCGGTTGATTAGTATAGGACATCATACTCCCAAGTAGGGTTTACTTCCTGGTTTTATTGGGATTAGCAACAACCAATTACGGGGATACCACGGGATATACGGGGTATTGTTCATGGATCACCTCGGGTCAAACTTTGGGTGTGGGATGCTTAACGGAGTCCTTCCAATATTCAGGTTACCAACATTTACCAACATACACACCCATTCGTTCATGTCCACTAGTGGCTCTCAGTTATTTCTTGCTTTGGAATTGCCCCAGGCCCCATGCGAAAGCAGTCATACGTGGACGCCGTAGCGATCAGTGGATAGAGCACGTATTGAAAACAATGTTGTGACCTATTCTATCATATTGCAGGAGTTTCAAGTGTGATACCCTCTGGTCAACTAACATAGCTATTGAAAAGACCATTTATAGTGGATATATAGTGGATTTTCCCATTAAAAATGGTGATTTTCCATAGTTATGTTAGTTTACCAGAGGATAGATTGTGCAAGTGTAGGACCACCTGCACAACTTTTTGATTCCAATGATGGCGTTGATTGTTTCAAGTCCATTGTGAAAAGTTCGGGGTTCCCAAGGAAAGGGGAACGAGCGATTACAGGAGACCCAACATGCGGCGATACAAACTATGGGTTTACCACCAAAAAGGGTAGATCCACTCAGTGGAAGTCGTATAAGCTGATTGAAATCTGCTTGGCCCTTAAATTTTGATGACTCACATCCCGCATTTCTTGGTAGCTGTCAGCTTTTTGGTGAAATCGCTTTTCTTCAGCCAATTTCACCAAAACCTTTTCCTGAAACCTGAGGAATCAATATCAGCTTGAACATTCTTGTGTATCCCTCTCCTTTAAAAAAACCTTATGCATCCCTTTCCTAAAAACATATCAACTTGAAACTTGACAGATGGATTTGTCATGATTTGTCTGAGAATATGGTACCCCCAGTACCCTCTTAATTCATGGTTTAAAACTTAAAGTCCAAAATTGAATGTTCCCTATCATTCAATGGGCATCACTGGCGGATGTTCAGAAACACCCAAATCAGATCGTTTCGTATTGTATCCCATTATTTACTAATATATATATATATCATATCAATATATATATATATAATATATATATATATATATCAATAATATACATATAGTAATTCTATCCCTAAAATGATCAGATCCCCATGATTTCGCATGAAATCCAGCATCTTTTCGAGGAATCAGAGTTTCATCATCGTGGAAGACGCCCAGTTGCCATCGCAGCGCGGCTGGGACGGGATCTGCGGCCTCGGCTGGAAGGGCATTGCGCAGCTGAAGGGACCCATCTATCAGCATTTGCAGGAGATGGGACAGAAGGCCTGGAGGGGGGGAAACCCGGATGGTTTTTTTTTGAGTTTTTTTTGGGAATTTAGGAAGAATAAAACTGGGAATATGATGGGGATATAACGAATAATAGTGGGATATATAGCATACATTAGATAGATATACATATTTATAATGATGATTGGGTATGGCTGGCTGCGAAAATCATCGAACTAAAAGGCGGATTTTTCAGTTTTTTCCATGTAGTCTTTACCAGAGGATACAAGCAGAGGCCCCCAAATGATAGCTAAGTTGACGCACACAACCTGTTTAACATGTGGGTTTATGGAGGATAATTATTGGGTGTATAAACCAACTTATAACTGGGGGGCTTCACCTCGTAAGGATTAAGGAATGATTGATACGTCCCAAGTGTCACCTGCAAAAAATGAATGAGTATAAAACTGTGAAACAACTGTATTTTTATAATCATGACATGACTGATCGAGGGATTTATGGAATGGGATGTTCAGCATTTATATTAAACACATATTATTGAGTATATCATGGGTGAAGATATAATGTTGGTCCTTATTCATTATGATAGTGAGTTTGCTATACTATAATCAACGTACAATGTGGTGCCTCCATCCAGTTATATTATGTTATATTATATACCCTTTGGTAATTTAACATAGCTATTGAAAATACCACATTTATAGTGGATTTTCCCATTAAAAATGGTGATTTTCCATAGTTATGTTAGTTTACCAGAGGGTAAGTTGATTTACACACCCCATTACCTAGCTTGTGGTGCCAACTTTAGCAGCCTTGGGGGTGTTTGGGGCCACCTTGTAGGGATGATTGTCTGTGGATGGGAATGGAATAACGTAGCCATATAAAGCTAGACGTTATGATGGTTAACAATGGATAATCAATGGTGGTTAATTGGTGGTTAATGGTGGTTAATGATGGTTAACAATGGTTAATAAATGGTGGTTAATTCAATAACTCGTAGCTATATAGATAGGCAAAGAATCGTAGCTAGACGTTGAAAAACAATCTATATGGATAGGCAAACATTTGGCCCAGTAAAAGTTTTCATCTTTTGCAGGGATTGGCCTGCGATTTCTGATGGGGGATGAGGATTTATGAATTGATGGGAGTGTTTGGGGATCAGGATTCCATCTATATCGGAAATATTTATGCCACATACTTGGTCGAGCGAAGTCTCATTTTGGCTGATTTATGAGGCCTTGTTATGGGGCTCAACTTGAAACCTTGTTGATGGGATAAAACGGATGGAGAATTTGAAAGACTTACGGGATCTCATGGGGGGTGAAGTATTGGCAAAGCAGCGAGTTAATGGCCTTGAATCGGGATGGGCATATTTGGGTTTGTCTGAAAATGTTGGGTATATTCCCAATGAAATAGCCATTTAATAGGGATAATGATCATTAACCATTGGGTTTAGGGGTACACTATTTTCAGACACACCCATTTAGAGATTTGTGAATTGTCCAGATTGGGTGGTTGATGAATGCGGACGATTGCACGAGTTCGCGTTGTGTTTCGCATTCAGCCTTGGGATTTCGTTGATTTTCGGGATGATGGCGGCGACGTCGTGGTGATGAAGATGAAGAAACTGATGATGTCGTTGGTGATGGTGGTGATGATGGTTGTGATCATTGTTGATCTGTCGTTTTGAGTTGGTTGACGTCTGTCTTTCCAATATTTCACTGGTTTGACCGTAGCATTAGTGACGTTGCCAGACATTTGAGATCGATTCAAGTTGTTCCATTTGTTCAGCACATTCCCCATAGTGAAGAGTCTATCCCCAGAAGACTTATTTGTGGCCACATTGTACCATAGTTTAAAACATTTCCAAAGTGGGGTCCGAGTCTTCTCCTTTTCAAATTCTGCTATCATCGTTCTCTCAGCCCTTCCCCTTGGTCACTTGGCCACTTGGACTTATCCAGATAAATCCAGATGATAGAGTCCCAGTTGTAGCCATTCCAAGTGAACATGATTTTCGAAACGATTGGATTTTGGGGGGTATACTCCCAGACTATCTCCGACCCCAAGTGACTCATAAAATATATAAAATCTGGTATGTTACCCACAACTTCAGTACTTCTACCCATTTTTACGGGTAGATCGTTTGGGTCAAGCTATACCTCTTTTACCCACAAAAGAACTATCAAAAGGTCATATTTCCTACACCATAGAACTCAATGTAGGATGATTCATTATACTTGCCTGTATCCAAATTTTGGAGATTGCCAAATATATACATATTTATAATTGGTGTCTATATCTTTTTAACATCGATTTCCCCTTCCCATGGGTTTTCCCAAGATTGGCTGAGGCCATCTTCTCCTTCGTGCCTCAAGGTGCCTCCTCGGCTCACCTGGTGCTGGGCCAGGTGCCGCACTACGCGGTGAAGCCGGGGACCTTGGTCTGGAGCGATGCGGAAGCCATGCATGGAGGCGCCGATGCGGTGATGGGGAGAACTGGTTAGGCCTCTTAAAGCGACAGAAGGTGTCCTAGGACAGGGCTATTTGATGTATGAAACCTATTTTACCTATTTAATAGCTGAAGTTACATATCAAAGTGCTATATATCAGAAGGTGTCTTGTATGAAAATGTGGTAATTAACTGAGGTGAGTAATTTGATATTTACCTATTTAATCCTATTTACCTATTTTATGGGGATCTTCCGTTGCATAGGCAATAGGCAATGAGGATGTAAATGAGACAGAAGCAACAGCTGATATGTTGACATGATTTTTTTTGATTTTTCCAGCCTCCAGCAATCAAGCATGCCTGGAAAATCAGCCATTTATGTAGACTATTTCCAGCTATTTCCAGCCTCATTTACGGAGGGGATTTTCCAGCCCATGTTTGATGGAGGGTTACCCCCTCACTGGATGGAGTATGATGGGATTATGGGATTACGGGCTGAGGGAAAAAAGTGCTATGGTTATTATCTTAAAATCGAAGTATTGTGCATATATGAAAATTAATACACCCATCCCCCTTCACATCAAACGCTCCCATTGTGTGGTCCCAACAAGGTGTAGATCTCCTGTGAAAAAGCGTGGTTTGTTCGTGGGGTGTTCAATTTTAGGGAGATTGAGTTGTCACAAGAGTTACATGATGTCAAATATGAACTTGAAGCAATAGATGATTTGGATATGGCATTCTGGTGGTTTCAGCCATATATATTCATTTGAGATGATCCCAATTCATATTTTTCAGGGTTGACCCCACCAATTGGTAATCTATAAGCTAGTTTGCTGAACAATGACCCATAAACATATTGCTGATTATTTTCATCTATGTTATTCCCATGAACAGTTGGGATTTCCGGGCCTGCAAGGTTGAATTGAATTGCCAGCGGGTAGGTCATGGGGTGAAGAGGAGTGGGAACGTAATCATCAAATCAAAGATTGATAATTCATCAAATACTTTTATCATCTTAATCTTAATCTTATAAATATAAGATAATGGGTGCAGAGTGTGAGTGCCTATAACTGATCAGCTGAGTTGAGGCTTTTTTTGGGTCAGTCGTTGTTTTCAGAGTTTTCAGTCGCTCCTGGAGGCCAGTTGCGCGGACGAAGTTTTTGGGTCACGCGAGGAGGCATCGCGGTGCACAAGCAGACGCCTCATCCTGCCCGGTTCCTGGTAGATACAGGAGACCGAGACGGGAGGAGCTTGTGGTTTGCTCCCTTCCTGATTATAAAATCAGGCTTTCAAAAGAAATAGATAGATCCAATGTGATCCAATACTAAAACCAGGCTTTTCGGAAGGCTGGTATTTCATCTTGGGAAGGGATTCGGATAGGTCAGGGGCTGGGTGATTTTAACCCTTTAAAAATTGATCCTGGTGGATGATCGTCAGCCTATTGTTGGTGATATATCCCATGTCATTCTTATTATGAAATATCCCCGTTATTGTTGAATACATCCCCCCAAAAAAATTGTGTGTGTTTGATATCTTCAATAACTATCCATAACATGGTTGTGTGAGACAATATATATATATATAGATAGTTGTATATATATATATGTATAAAGATATCACCATTTATTGTCAATATCCACAATATGTCCCCATGATTGTTGGCCAAACCTCTGAAACAGAATATCTATGTTATTATTAATCCCCACTAAAAGCAACCACAACGGCTCTGTCGCAGGAACGAATCAAGTCCTCTTGGCCCCCCAGCGGCTCTATGTGAGCATCATGCGCTCGGTCTTGCCGGAGGATAAGTCCTTTGCCGGTTGGCGAATGGCCTGATGATTTTCCCCCGTGAGTTTCCCCGTGAGGATTTTGGCGATTTGGGGAAGATTCGAGGTTTTTCGATGCGCCGGCGGAAAACCATCTCGCTGGTTTTGGTTTGCAGTTTGTACAACTAGAGATCCATGAAAATCCAGTGGGCATCTTACGGCTGTTACCCCGTCGGCCCTAAGGTTTAACGATCTGTGTGGTATGGATGAGATGGCTCACGGATACTTGGCTGCCGTTTTACAGTTTGGTGCCTTCTTGAATGTCCATCAATATGCAACGTTCAGCAACTAGATTGGGAAGGGAAGTACCATATTTTGAGTGGCATCAAGTGGATATATCATCTAAACTTCTGTGTTGTATCGGCATAGTATGAACGAAGAGGATAATACCAAGACCCTAGGCTAGTTCCCCTATGGCATAGCGTTCGCACTGGCACTTGCCAGCCAGGCGCCGTTTTTTGCGACTGCTCCATCGTGGACCATTCCAAGCACCTGCCGCCGCTGCGGATTTTCTTGGCCGATCATCCCTTTGAGCTGCCGATTGCAGAGATGTTCAGCAGAGTTCCCACCACGGATGGGCGTGGTCACTTGGGTGAAAAAAGGCTTCGAGGGACTAGGACTTTAGGACTTGGCCTTTTCAAAAATGAGGGATTTATATACCACCAATTGATAGCAGTTGATGGGGAAGATATGAGATTTAAAAGCATGGGAGTTTGGGATGCCTGATGCTAAGTGTTCAGTCTCAGGGAGGCTTCTGACGACATAACCCAGTGGGTTTTGGATGGATTTGGGGCCCTGAGGGGCAAACTTCTGAGGTGCGATATCCCCATCCCTGCATGTTGCAAAGATTCATTGATCTTCTGTAAAGATTTCAGGACCATCCCAATTTTTGAGTGGATCAGTAATCCCAATCAGAAGTCATATTTGAGAAACATCCCAGTTGTTTCTGATTTGTTTGTTTATTTTTCAAAAAAATAAGATATAAACTGACTCTTTCAACCGAGGTGAGGCATGCTTGTTGGCCATTCAGCCCAACAACCTGGACGTGGAGGGTCGAGGTTCGATGCCCATGCCGCTGCCCTTCGGGGGACTTGGAGGACTCATGAGGTAGAGCCAAATAAGAATTACATCCCCATTTTCTCAAAATCAAAGGCTTAACATGGTTTAACCATACCGAAAAACTGGATTTACATGGATTTACTATGATTTACTATCTAAATCTATCTAATCACCAATAAGTCCAAAGAATGTTGACCGTAAACCACCAAGTACCAAAAAGTAAACATAGGATCTCCGAATGGGGACTGAGCAATGTTGGAAGCTGGTTCACTGGAAATCTTGGAACCGAGTTGTTTTTGCATTTTTTTTTCGATGGTTCTAGTCTGATACACATTCTCTGATACATTAATGTATTCGAGATATTTGCATATATTTGATATACCCTCTGGTTATTTAACATAGCCATGGTATAGATGGCCCATTTATAGATGGTTTACCTATAAAAAATGGTGATTTTCCGTGGCTATGTTCAATATTTTGAAATTAATTAAGATGTGGTAAACCCAACAGTAAACCATCCCCAATGGTAGGTTTATTGGTGTATTACCACATGAATTAAGGAGACGTTCTCTCTGTCCTGGACGGCAGGACTTCTGCCAGATCTGTCTGCTGGCTTTCCGTTCCCTATAGATCTGCCAGACCTGCTGGCACCACTGGAGGAGCAAGGCAGCCCTTTTGGCGCCGCTGGGCCACTGGGTTTGCTGCCGGGCTTTAGTCCCATTGGTGGCGAAGGCAAAGGAGGCAAAGAAGGGAAGGAAGCGAAGTCACTCTTCGGAGATTTGGGTACCTGGGCGATGTTTAGTAGCTATTTGACGCTAAAATGAGGGGCCAATCTCTGAATATTGGGTAAGGATGGATAGGTTAAGCTCCCACAAGAATCGAGGTACTTCTTTGAATATTTTCATTGAAAAGCACTAACCTGTCTTTTGCCACCTGTTAGAGTTTCTTTTTGTGTGTTGCCGCTGTATGACTAAACCCGTGGCCATGATTGGCCCTGATTCGCCATGATTGGCCATGATAGCGGTCCTGATTGGAGAAATCTAAAGTGGCAGAGCGATTTACTATGTATATATATAATATAATATAATATAATATAATATAATATAATCTAATCTAATATAATATAATATAATATATAATATAATATAATATAATATAATATAATATATAATATAATATAATATAATATAATCTAGTATAATATAATATAATATAATATAATATAATATAATATATGTATATATATATATACATAATAATATATATATATACACATAATCCTTCACCCCTAACATGAAGTATCCCCCAACAAACACGGAATTTGTGGTTTTTGGATGCCTGTTTGGAGAATTGAATTGCTGGGGTAAGGACTTGGAAGCCAGCCACCAGGATACTTTGGGGATATATGCCCTCGCAAGATCATGCCAGCGTAGATTGAACATCCCATGAAATCATATGAAATCCATTGAAATCCCAATTTGATGACATGCTTTTATACATATATAATCATATTACTATGTAAATATACATATTATATACACATATTATATGCACTAATATGTACATGATCTAGATTTAGATAGCCGCACAAAATGATAGACTACATCGCGGTTTCATGGGGCTTCACTGATGTCCGTGGGGTCCCACGTCACCAGGTATTGGACACTTGCGCAAGGGCGTCCAAACCGAGCAAGTGGCAGAAGAAATTCACACCCGGCCCGATGGCACAGTGTGCAAGTGCCCTGGCCTTGGCCGTTCATGTGGCTCTGAAAATGGGGACACCCGCAAAATGGCCATTCATATGGAAAATGACAAAATGACAATGTAATATGGCTATTAAATGCTATTAATATGGAAACATATACCAAATCCTGTGGTTTTACAGATGGGTACACTATGTTCAGACAAAGCCGTCTTTATAACCCATGTCTTGGCAAGTCAGGATCTCATTCTCCAGACGACCTTGCTATTTTTCCCAGTCTACCGTAAGTGGATAGCGACAAAACATGGAGTTTCTTTCGATGGTCCCTGCAGTTCCTATAATAAAAGTACTGTACATGTAATACTTGTATCTTGTAATATGTGCTAAGCCTATTGACTCCAGCGTTTTCTTTCCAGCATTTTTGGATTGTGTCCCTGTGTCCCACCATTGTTGGCAAACAAACTTCTTACTTCGGGCTTTTTTGTTAGTAAACTGTCCCAAAACAAATCTGAAAATAGATGTACATGATCTTAGTGACCCCAAAATAGATCCAAATAAATAGAAGCATATAGAAACTTAATTTTATCACTCTTTAGTTGGACTTGACTTTTCTATCTCCTTGGAGCGTTGGTATACTTGTGTCTTGTGACGCCACTTGTCACTGAGATACATCACAGTCATTGAAAATGGCAAAGTGAAGAGTCGCGCCTCGTTGGCCCAGCGTTGGCCCGCTGCCGGTGGCTGGGAATTCCCCCAATGGATCATGGAGGTCTAGGGAAATCATGGGAAATCACCAAACATCTGGGGATTTTCCCATAGGATTTTCCAGATTCTTCATGCCTGGAAAAGATTTCCGGAAAGTCCTAATTTTTGGATGATAGATCCGGAAAGTCCTAATTTTTGGATGATAGATGAAGAGTCAACCACAAATTTACAAAGAACCCACGAAATGCATTTTGATGTGTGCCATGCGACCAACGACGTTGTTGTGGGATTGTTGTTTAGTACGGCTTCCTACACCATCGATGCCCAGATCGGGATCAGATGATGGGATGACGGCGATCCCTGGTTGGTGGTTTGGAACCATGGAATTTTATGACATTCCCATCATATTGGGAATGTCATACTCCCATTTGACGAACTCCATGATTTTTCAAGATGGTTATTGCACCACCAACCAGATCTATGTTTTTGTTGCCTCTCAAATCACTTTTTGTTTTTTTGGTACAACTGATCCTTCAATGATTCTGACTAGAACTACACTGATTATCCCCATCCCCAGGCAAGGAGGAGTGCGACAAGGCCGGCTCCGATTCTTCCAACGTTCGGCGGCTTCAGTTGGTTGTCCCCATGGACCCTGGGCAGAAAGAAAGGTTAGCCTCTGGTGTCATGGAACATGAGATTTTTCAGGTTGTTTATGGTTCATAAATAGCGAAAAATAGTTGTTAAGTTATGTTAAGTTGCTATTGTTCATCAGGGTTATCCTCTGGTAGCCAGAGTTTTGCAATTGAAAGTCCTAGTATGGTGGAGTTTCAATTGCCATGTTTGATTACCGGAGGGTATACTTTTTGGTGAATGATTATGCTTAATTATTATAATCACATCCAAAAACAGTGGGATTTGACTAGTCAATAAAGCGACATCACTTTATAGTGATTAATGATTGCTACTAGTGGTTCCACATAGCAATTTTCACAGCCATAATGGAATTTTAATGTGAATCATTGTGATTTAATAGGACTTTATTGGGATATAACTATCAGCAAGTCTGATGTTTGAGGACCACAAAGATGGTGGTTGCTAAGAGTTGTTAATAGTGGTTGACGGTTGTTACTATAGTGGTTGATATTTTTCTATTTTTGTATCAATATTTTAGATCTTTTGATTGATTAGAAATATGGATTAACCATAGATAAACCAAAGACATGGATGGCCATTTTTATAGCACTGGCTTGTACTCATGAAATCAACATCCCATGATTCCCATGAAGCCAATGGGGGAAGCCACGTTGCGAAAGTGTGGACGACTTGTCAACAGTGGGATATTCTTGGGAGCAAATCCGGTTTTATTTTTGTGTAATGTGTTTTTGAGGTGTTATATTATAGACAATTATAGAAACATATGTTTTTTTTCCATCCAACCTGGAATTATTTTTGGAATTTCTTTATCACATGATCATATTTCGGGGTGGGTTCACCCACCGAAGTCATGTGTGCCTGAACCCCAATGACTTCGTGGCCGGGTTTCTACTGTATTCTCCAACCTGATTGTCGCTTTTGTTGCTCAATTTTCCATATGTTTCTTATAGTATCCCGGAGATGTTCCTATAGTTCAAATTTTCCTATAGTTCAAATTTTCCTATAGTTTAAATTTTCCTGTAGTTCATAAAATTTCCACTTCAAAATCTCTTAAAAACCTCACGTTTCATACATTTTTGCATGGTATTTTCCATTGTATTTTACTGTAATATTCCCTGATTTGAGGGCGGGATCTTGGAGATTCCACTGGACCCCGCGGGCGAAGAAGAAGATGTCGATGCTCCAGCTGCCTGGAGAAATGCTGGAGAACTGCGACGAAGTGTGAACGGGATATACCTTATAAACATTTATAAACCATCCACTTCGGACTTTAGGGATCTTTTTGGGATTTTTTAGGGAATCTCAGATTTTGTTTATGGATTTTTGGGGATTTGGTTTGGGGATTGGCGGGATTTCTTAGGGGATTTGAGATATGTTCAGGATTTGCCAGATGAAAAAGAAGCTTTGGCAATTTGTTACAGCTACGGAAGTCATGGCGATTTAGTCGTTTGATGATTTACCGATTTGCCAGCAAATAATGGTGATTTCCCAAAACTATCTTAGAATAGCAGGGGATGTTATATTGATACAGACTCAACCATATAGTACATATAGAATTATAAAATGAACATATACACTGCCGGACTGTAGGTGTGGTGGTTTTATCATTTGTATCCCAGCTACTATATATACCAAAGATACATCATCATATGATCATCATATACTGACTTTTAAGGATCAATCCAGTTTGTGACTAGGAATCAACCATGGTTGAAAAGGGGATGATAGATAGGAAATTGACACGTCATATCACACAATGAACATGTGTGATCATTGTATCATTGCCAGTCATTGCCATCGAGATGGCAGCACAAATGTCGAAATCGCCTGAGGAGTTGTGGATTCTGGGTGGCATGTTTCTGGAAAGGTTTGTGGTTTCCTTCGACTTTGACCAGGCAATGGTTGAGTCGAGTTCAGCCCTGTTTATTTTTATTTTAGGACCATGGTACTGCCTAGTCATCAAAAAGTGAGAACTTTTTTTTGTTCTGGGGTCCTCAGTCATCCTTTTCTTCACTCCGTCATGACGCAAAACATGACCTCAACCTTGAGAACCACATCCCTGAAACCGAAACCGCAAGGGTGCCCAGTTGCGTTTTTTTCTCCTTTATGTGTTTTCTTGGACAACGAGTAATGACCCATGTTTTCGTGGTTCATGTCAGCATTTGAAAATGCTGGTCGGAAGATAGCTTTGTTATTGTTGATGGGATGGATCAGAACACATTATGATTATAGTATTATTATCCTCTGGTTATGACTAACATAGCCATGGAAAGATCCAATAGGTAAATCATCTATAAATCACCATTTTCAATAGCTATGTTAAATTACCAGATGGTATTATTCTTCTTATTATTATATGATGGGGAATTTCAACATACATCAACCAGCAGCTTCAGGGCACCTAGGGTACCTAGTGTGCCAGGTGTTTGACTCATAGATATGAATGATGATTTAAATGGGTTTAATGGGTCTACTTAATGCAATTCATCCACAATAGTGATGAGTAATGATTAATGGTGATTACTATTACTGGTGATAACAATGATTAATCAAATATAGACTACAAATGGGTATAATGGGTTTATATTTTTTGTTCATCATTTCTTATAAGATGTCCAAATATCAGTGATCTATGTCTCAGATGAGTTGTTTCAACCACCCATTCGCAACCACCCTGGGTCAACCTTGCTACCATTCATAATTTGACTGGGCAGCAAAAGAGCAATGTGTTTAGGGGTTATATATATATACATATATATATATCGTGAACAACAAGACCTGATACAATACTTGGGATTCTGATATGGTATATATATATACAGAGAATGATCAGAATCCCAATGATTGGTTGTTTGAAATCGCGCTATCAGCCGCAGGGCAGGATGGGAGTCGCTGAGCCCGCGAGCAGTACAGAGGCGAGGGCGCGGTGATGGAAATGGGTTAAAACCCGGAAAGAGGAGGATATAGTTATGGTATGTTATGGTATTGGATAATCATTCTATGTGAATTTCTGTTTTAGTAGATTTAGTAGATATGAATCTAAGATATTGTTTATTTTAAAAACTTTATTAACATGTTTTTTACAGACATTACATCGGGATGCCATTTTGAATCATACCAGTATCGTAGTTCCTGATAAAACCGTTGGTCAAACCCCCATCCCAATCCAGAAATGGGAAGATGTATGATGGTTTTAATAACATCATGTTACTATCACCATGAAGAACTGGGAGCATCAAACATGAGGTCATAAGCTATGACCGCTATGATTGCCCGTATGATTTTGTGAGTGATTTCCACGTTTTTGATGAGAACCAAACGGGTACCATCGGGATTGATGCGAGAAGTTGAGTGGTGTCACCTGGTCACCTGCAATTTATTTGTTCCGTGACAAAAAGGCCAATAAATAGTTCATGACATGATATTGGATATGAGTCATAAATAAATGGTTGATCAATAAATAGTGATTGTGTCAATAAATAGTTGATGATCTTTGTTTTTTTTGACACATGAGCTGCTTGTCAACTGACGAGTCAAGTCTGCGATGAATTTGAATTCAACTGGATGTTTTCGCTGGACACATTTCATCATTTTTCATTATCTGGAGAATGTTCCGGACTATTCAGTTATGATTATCCATTGTAGAATTCAACTGCGTTAGTTCAGAAGCTTGTAATGTTTTCTCTCGCTGGTTTTGTGGTGTCAGTGGGGTCATAAGGCATATAAGGTTCATCAGATTTATGTATCCTTTAGATTCGACATCATAGTTCAAAATAGATGGTGGTTTTGGACCGTGGGTTTTGGGCAGATGTGCTTCGTTGATTTGAGATAATTATGTGATATTATGTGTATATGTATATATATATGGGTAAATCAGAACAACCTCTCTGCAACCTCACTGGAATCATGATTTATAAGAGGAATCATCCCAACATGGCCTTATTTCAGGTTAGTGAATTCTTATAATTTGCCCATATATATATATATGTATATACAGATTAATAATATATAGTTTACTACACATGAATGGATGGATGGATGGATGGATGGATCGATGGGGATAGATGGGGATAGATGGGGATAGATGGGGATAGATGGGGATAGATGGGGATAGATGGGGATAGATGGGGATAGATGGGGATAGATGGGGATAGATGGGGATAGATGGGGATAGATGGGGATAGATGGGGATAGATGGGGATAGATAGACGAGATAAACGAAATAAACGAAATAAACGAGATAAACGAGATACATGAGATAAATGAGATAAATGAGATAAATGAGATAGATAGATGGGATAGATGGATGGATGGATGGATGGATGGGTGGGTGGATGGATGGATGGATGGATGGATGAATGGATGGATGGATAGATAGATAGATAGAGGGATAGATGGATACTTAGATAGATAGATGGATAGATAGATAGATAGATGGATAGATAGATAGATAGATAGATAGATAGATAGATAGATAGTTAGATAGATAGATAGATAGATAGAGACTTCACTATGTCACTATTTCAATTTATCCCTCAAAGAATGGGAAATCTTTCGCAAAATCCTCACATGCCAACCACCAAGCAGGGTCGGTGTCCATGGCGTCCATGGCCTCGTCAGGGCCTGGATACCATCGGTATGGAAAGCTTCCCCGGACACCCGCGCTGGACAGCTGCAGGCTGGCAGGAGATCCTTGGACTACGGCGTTCTTGGCATCCCATTCCCCTAGGCTTAAACACAAACACCCACATGAACGAGCTGGTCTCACAAAATGTGGAAGTTCCAAAAACATCCACCATGTTTTTTTTTTGGGGGGTGTTTCATTTCTTGGGGGGCACGGATTCATCAATTAGTTGGTTAGTTATAGATTTATAAACCATTATACCCTCTGGTAATTTAACATAACTATGGAAAATCACCATTTTTAATGGGAAAATCCACTATAAATGGTCATTTTCCATGGCTATGTTAGTTTACCAGAGGGTATCATGTATCCCCGTGATTTATTCCATTCAATCATCATTTTCATGGGTATTCCACTGTTCCCTGAAAAAAAATGAGATGTGGTATTCCCACTGTTCCACCTCGATTTTCTCCCGAGTATTACGTACCTCCAACGGGTAGCTGAGGCATCTTGGAAAACTGGCAGCAGGCAGGGGCAGCTGAGTCATTTTAGTGGCACTTTTTGGAAGTGACAACCAAGGATCAGCTGATAATGTCTTAGTCTTAGTCTGTCCAATGGCAGCTGATGATGCCGAACCCTGATCCTTTTTGCCATTCAGGAGTAGTGGAGTCAGGCGTTAACTATTGATGTCCACATGTTTCAAATAAACAAACTATCATATAAGCCTTGGAACATGGCCTTCTTTGGCAGAGACCAGCACGTTCCAGCGTGCATTCAACGTGTTTTTTCTTTGTGTCACCATGACATCGGAGGCGTTCTGCTGTGCACGCTTTTGATCTCCATGGCCTATGCGAGCTGCCGCACCAAGAGGATGGCGCGAGACGAATTGGTGGAGCACATGCGGGTGGACGTGTCGGAAGGAGAGTAACTCATCTGGCGAGATCTGGTTAGACTTGAAACCAAAGAAATTGAGCTCTGGTCAGATAGACTATGTTGGAGTTGCGAGGTATTTGATCTTTTCAGGAATGTGCCTGGCGAATTGCAGTCACTTCACCCTGGTTAAAATAAAACCAGAAGAGGTTAAACTGGTTAAAATTCTAAAACATGGATGTTCATCCCCCCAAATTCTAGTACATCAAGGTAGAATAGGTGTTGACCCATCCGAAGATTGGAATCCCAGGTGAAGTGGATTGCGGTCACCTGAGGCACCGGTTGAAGTGTGGGGAAGTGTGCTGAAGCTATGATACAAATGGTTCAATGATGTGTTGAAACTAAGCAGATAAGGCTGTTGCGAAAAATGTTTCAAACTTAGTTAAGCCACTTGAGTTGCAAGAACTCACAGACACTTGATGCAACAGGTTTGGTTGACCCATCCATTGCGGAGCTTTCATGCTTCTTTTGACTCACCGTGGCGATGAATGCCACAGCCTGCCATGGTGATTCAGCTGGACTGTACAGATGCACGCCACACGGAGGACACCCCATGGTTGGCCCCAGAAACTGCGGCGCCTCCCAGGGATTATCGACTGGCAATAGACCAAGCCTCCAGTGGATCAACTTTGTGAAAATCCAAGCGGATCAATGCGGCCATGAAATTCATGGGAATTTGTGGGGAATTTACCCTCTGGTAATACAAAAAACTATGGAAAATCACCATTTTTAATGGGAAAAATCACTATAAATGACCATTTTCAATAGCTTTTTTGTATGCTTACCAGAGGGTATGGGAATTACTTTGGCAATTTCATCGATTTCATGCTGAACTTATCTGATCAATCGAAAAACTAATCACTTTGGATACTTTGGCAAGCAAGGACCAAGGACAGCAGTGCCTGTTTGGCTGTTTGGCTCAGAGCAGAGCGACGCCTGAAAAGCGGTGCTTGGGGCCGCGGCCCAGCGTGGCATGGCGAGTGGGGAGCATCAGATATCATGAAGTCCTTGTGGCGTGGGTGGATTTCTGTGAAGTTTGTTCTTTGGACTTTGAACCAACCAACCAACCAACCAACAAATCTAAAGTTCAGTATTTTACTTATATCTTTAACCCCAGTTTTCTCATGTTCTTTCAACTGGGGGAAAGAACTGTGCCCGAAAACTATCGAAAACCATGAGGGGTGGCGATGGGTTTGTTTGTGCCAACATTTCGGTGTTCTCAGTCTTTACTGGGTCTCATAGCAACCTCAGACAACCTGTATAGTATAGATCATGGCTTGTGGCAATAGACGATGGTACTCATAAAGTCTACACGGATATGTTCCATTGGACAATATCATTTTTACCATTCTTCTTCTTCTTCTTGTTATTTTTGACATCATCATAACATGTCACATCCAGTTTATATCTGAAACATGTGGGATGAGGTGCCAACATCTTGAAGCGGACCGTTTACGTTGGCGGCCTTGATGAGCAGGTGCGGCCTTTGAGACCAACGATTTTATGGACATATTTTATGGGGTATTTTATAGGGATCGGATAGATGGAATTGGGATATGACTCAATATAACCAACAATATAACCCATATATAACCAACAATTTAACCTATATATATCCAACAATATAATATCTATCTACATATATATATATATATTATATTGTACAGTATGTATATAAGTATGTGCATATATATATATATAATTATATTAATTAATTATATATATATATATCAATTATATACATGTAATTATGATGTTTTTTTGTTTGTCTGAAACTTGGGACATTAATAGAAAACGTGCAAAACATAGCTATCGCCAGTGGATCCAAATGCCAAAACGTCAAAACGTTTCGTGGGAAACCAGTCGTCATTCCTGGATACCCGGCCTGGTAAACATACAAAAAGCTATTGAACATGGCCATTGAAATAGTGGATTTACCCATGAAAAAATGTGATTTTCCATATTTCTAGTGGATTTACACAGCTATAAAAGGGTGGATCTTTTCATAGTTTTTTGTATGTTTACCAGAGGGTATGTTTGATGCTACTGCGTTTCTCTGGAAGTTTGGATGTTGATTACATCTCCAGCCCGGTCAGTGACTTGTGATATTTTAATTTTCAATGACTCCACTGTCCAAGACCAGGGTTGTGTGCAAGATTCAGTGGCATAAAAAGGCAGCAATTGATCTTGATATAGAGAAATATGATTACCCTCCGGCAATCATGACGATGTCTTGCTGGAAAATCTCCCATTCATAGTTGATAAATTCCATGAGTTTCCCAGCTACAATCCTCCATCTAGAAGGATTTCCAAGCTAGCCATGTCTGATTAGATAGGTGTTTGGTCATACCACGACAGTGGAATCTATACCATGACAAGATAGACTGATTAGATGGTCTCCTGGATTCGCTGGATTCGCAAGGGCAGGGTGGTTGCTACCGCCTGCTTGGAGCTGACCAAAGATCTGCAGCCGTTCTTGGCGAAACCAAGTTCCCAATCTATGTTGCTTAAACCACAGATACATGTTTTTGGTTGTCAACCTCACAGTTGGTTGGTTGAAACATGTTGAAACCTCATTTGGATTGCGCATGGTTGTTTAAAAAACCACGTGTTCCATGTTTTTCTGTGCTTTCAATGGCACGAATCGTTGTTCGTTCCACGATGTTCGCTTCACCAAAGTCGTGTCACTCCTGCGTCTGTGCAGGTGGATCGGAAAGTCCTAGAAGAAGCCTTCGTGCGCTTTGGAGAGTTGAAGACGGCCACTTGGGTGCCGAAGTATAAACTGGGATTAGTTTTCTGGGATATTGTGAAGATACATCATGACCCCATGAACCGTGGTCCCAAATATGTGTACATCCACTAGACCATGGTTTCTTGGGGACTGGCGATATGTTGTTCTTTTATGGGCCGTGTTGGCGGTTGATTTTGGGGTCATTTCAGGGTCATTTCGACAGACAATTCCGTCACCCGCAAGGTCGAGATCCCCTTGGACTTGAAAACAGGCAAGTGCGGAGACCCAGAAGCTTCAGCTGGATGCAGGGGGGCCCATATGCTCCGTGGTGCTGGAGAAAAAAACCAACTCATTGACCCCAACAATTGCCCAAATCTTGGTAAATAGTCCAGCACCACGGAGCATATATCATATGGGCTTTGATAATTGAACATAATAGCTATCGATAATTATCATGTTTGGCAATGTGTAAACGGGCCATTTTCCATCATTTTCCATAGCTTATGTGCAAGTGCCAGAGGGTATACCACGAAATCCTACCGGTTTTGAACATCAACTGATTTTCCCTGCTGCAAAGTGGCCATAAAAAAACCGTGTGTTTTCAGATTTGGACAAAGCTAAATCTTGAAGAACGTGATTACATAACTCTGAGGTGGGACACCATTGCATGCTGAGAAATTGCACCAAGTCTCCCAATGGGTCTGAAAATTGCGGAGAAAAAATAGAACTCAAAATCCCATTGGTTTCATCATGTTTCATCTTTTTCCCGATTCAAGTCATGAGTTTTTGGGGGGTATACCATGGTATACCCCATTTTCAGACACACCCAAATGATGAATAGCAACGTGCAAGATGTAAAAATCGCCTCGTCCCTGAAAAAGTGGGTCAATTCTTTGGGCAGTTCATTGTGGTTTCAACTGGCCTCACAGAAAACTATCCATCATGTAGTCATCCTTTATTATAGCTCCAAAGATGAGGTTGCGCAGCCAATTGAAATCAATTTTTCACTGCAACTTTTTTTGTTCGATACCTTAAATGCTACCCGGCCTGGTAAACATACTAACATAACTATGGAAAGATCCACCATGTTTCATGGGAAAATCCACTATAAATGGTGATTTTCAATAGGTTTTTGTATGTTTACCAGGCCGGGTCGAGGGTCATGTGGGTATGTTCCCGGTCCGCACCGGTCGGTCACCGGTCCCCAGCTTGCTGGGTAGATTCGAGGCACAGGGGTTTCGGATTCGTGGAGTTCATGGAGTTGGATGATGCTCAGGAGAGCTATGAAGCACCTGCTGGGTTAGGATACCCCATGGACACCCCATGGAGATCCCAATGGCCATTGGGACATGGGAAAATCATCTTTAAATGGTGGGAAAATCTATAAAACCATGGATGTTTTAATGGAACCATATGGGAAAAAAACATCTGATAATGGTGGATTTTCCATTGCCATATTTGATTACTGACCAGAGGGTAACCCTCAAAACATGGTCTTTCACATGGTGCAAATACATGTACTGGTTGGTGATTTGGAACATGAATCTTATGACTTTCCATATGTTGGGAATAATATTCCCAACGGACTAATATTTTCCAGAAGGGTTGAAACCACCAACCAGTATAGCTATTGAGCATTTAAGCGGCAACCACAAGTCAGTTGACCAAAAACTATGTTCAAAGCTGCAAAACTGTAGGACATGGGCTGTGCCAAAATCGGAAAATCCTCTACAAACACAAGGTAGCCCTACAGATCCTACAGTACACAGGGGACGTTTGCGGATGCGGAATATACCCTGGCTGGCTTCCAAGCCTTGTCTAGCCATGTCTACTCCATCAAGGACAGGGGGTCCCTGTGGGGATGGGTCAAAACCAATAGTACCCCTTTTTTGTTCACATCAAAATAGCTGGGTTAAAATGGATGTGAATAACCCACTAAAAATGTATCTATAGGTATTGACCCATCCCCATGTATCCTTCATGTTGAAGCATGCCTTCGGCATTGGTATCTAATCCCTGTTGGTCAATATATGTCTATTTGTGTGTGATTATGCTAAAACTGCCACGCCTTTTTGGACACTCCCTCCTACTTCAACAGTCCACCAATATGATTGGACAATCCAGGAATCAAGACACGAGGTACCCGGGTACATTCTGCTGTGCATTTCGAATATGTATAAGTAAGTAATTATAAGTATATAAGTATATACTATGTCTACACAGTGCCTATATACATGAACAGTTGCGTATACTGTGTATATGTATGATTATGTGTATACTGTGCGTGTGTGTAGGTATTTATATATATATAATGTGAATATATGTATATACACACGCGTATAGTGTATATCCAAATATCTGTGTCAGCAGCAAGGCCAAGCAATGGCATCTCCAAACAAAAACGCAGGATGCCATTGACAACATGCACCACGCCGAGCTTTATGGCCGTGTGTAAGGGCGCCTCAGGGAAATATCATGGGGAGAACAAAGGATGGGATAACAAAGGATGCTGGGATCTTTGGCAACTTACCATTTTTTAGTTGCTAAATCAATCTAAATCACTGTTTTTGGGTAAATTAAACATCGAACGAATGGGCCATTTTCATCCATTTTCCATAGATATGTAATATTTACAGAGGGTCTGGTAAACATACAAAAAGCTATTGAAAATGGCACCTTTATAGTTGATTTACCTACTAAAGATGGTGATTTTCCAGTTCGCTATGTTAGTTTACCAGAGGGCAACGTTTGAGTTTTGAGATTTGGGTCCTGGGACTGGACATCTCTGGAGCCCAGGATCAAGGTCAATCTGGCCAGAGCGCCCAAGAATACGCCCACTACTGAGTCCAACAGGCCTGAAGCTTGGGGTTGGATGTCCAACAGGCTGTGTTTGCTTGTTGGGTGGATAGAAAACTCCAAATGGCTACCCTCTGGTAATTTAACATAGCTATTGAACATGGCCATTTATAGTGAGTTTTCCCAGTAAAAAAGGTGATTTTCAATAGCTATGTTAAATTACCAGAGGGTAATAGGGAAAATGACTATGTTTAATGGGGAACCATGATAAAATTCACCATCTGATTATGGGCTACGCTATTTTGAGACAAACTCACATATCAGATGACATAAAGGGTGGGCATATATGTATATATATATATAATCCCTTCCTAATGCCTAAAAAAAACTGGTCTTGTATTGCATCTATTCATTTCGGGGCCCGTATTTGAATGTATTTGATATTGGATGGATGGGATTTCAGCTGAACATGAACCTTGTGGCCGCATCTAAGTTTGGCGAGGATTTTTAGCTGTCGAACAACACCGAGATTTCATCGCAAAGTTGAGGATAACTGGACCACCTTCCCTGGGTTCCCCTCAACTGCTGGAGGCCGATTTGGGCAGATGACTTCTTCTACAGAAAGAAGCTCAAGGAGATGCGCTTTGCAGTGGATGTGTTGGATACCACGATGGAACATGGCTGTGTCCATATGTGGATGTACAACCACTTGAAACAAGCAAGTTTGGTGTTTTTTTTAAAGAACCCCCCTGAATTCTTGGATACGTCAGACAGAAATTGGGAACCACCACATGTCGCCGCGATTGGTGTGTAACGGTGTGTAGGTACCGTTTGTGTAGGCACATAATCCTGGGAAGTGTGAGGCAATGGAGTTGAAAGAACTTTTTCTGTTGGATGTTTGCTGCGTGGTCTGGATGCTACCATGGAAATCCCTTACAAACCTGCTTAGATGTGTGGGATATGGTGGGATTTCATCATGTTTCAGGCCTGTTGGAATTGGTGATACCTGCAGTGTCCGCCAGAAGCCTTTTTGGTTGCAGGTTGTGGTGCTGGTTCTCCTAGTTCTCCTGAAGACATTGAGACCCAGATAGGTTGGAGTATCCTGAAAGGTCTCAAATGGAAGCCATGAATCTGCAAAGATGGCTATCATCAGACGTCATCAAGTTTTGACCCCAAGGCATCAGCAAGACATTCTTTGGAAGACTCAAGAGTGGCCGTCTGAGTTCCAGGGTTTGTGCCATGGTGAATGATGCCATTTATGCATCTGGATGCCTATGGATTCACTGAGACTGAGCAAATGTGACCACTCAAGGGCCTGGATGCAATGCAACACATGGGTGGATGGTGCAGCACCATGATGCCAGGTGGGTTTGAGTCAAAACTGGGTAACTGAGACTCCTACAGCAGTTGGAAAATGTTGACCCACAACCCACATCCGATTGTGAAATGGTAGTAGTGCAACTGTGACTGCTTGGTTCTCAACATTCTTGATGCTAATGTTCATTTCAAAATCATTTCAAGACTCCGATCCAATCTTTTTTTGTAAGTCAACTATATATATATATATATTATATGAATGATATTATATGATTTGTTAAAACTATATGTCTATAAAAAGAAAAAAACAATATATATAATATATATATATAATATATATATACATATACATCAGGTTCTTCAGTTTGAATCGCTTCACAAAGTGGCCCCAGGTCGCCATGTTTTTCTGCCTCAGCCTGCCCTTCGTCGTGGCGGCGGATTTCGCCACCTGCGGGGCCTCCGACGAATGGACCGCCTTCCGTGGCCAGGTGCTGACGCGGCCTGGGGGCGTTTCGCCAGCGCTGGCGAAACGGGCGCGGAGCCTGGTGAAGCGCTGGAAGCTGCCGGCGCAGCAGTGGGTCACTTGGCCCATGGTTTTTGTATCCGGTGAAAGGAGCAGTTCGGAGCCATGAAAAATGGTGTGTATGACATATTGTCATGATATTATGATATGTGATATGTATTTATAAATGATCATGATATTTATGCTAAATATTATGATATTATTTGACATATTGATGATAGTTTGTCGGCATGATATTTAGCAACATATAGCCTCTGGTAATCAAACATAGTAAAGGAAAATCCCTGAAGTAAATGGAGGTTTTAAGGGGCATATCGGCATATCATTTATAAAATGGGAATTGTCCATGAATGATATGTGTTATTACCAAAATATTACTATCCAGTGGTGAATGGAGGGAGCAGTCCGAAGCTAAGGATATCCATATTCCAGTTGGAGCTACTAATTGAGTTTCCCAACCACATGATATTTTTGGCAATGCTTTGGTCTAAACATGGAGAAACGTGGCGGAACTGCACCCAATTCATTACCATTGTTTGCCATTTTAGTAGGTAACATGATAAACCTGTCTGATATTGGGAAAGGGGAGTGTATCTTAACATGATGTGTTGGGATGATTAGGGTAGTTGAAGGAAAGTGCAGTTTGCTTTGCTAGATATGTCCATTCGTTTTATTCCAGTGTCTAACTTTACTTTCCGACCAGATTCGCTTCTAGATGCCTGCCCAATCCTGGCCAATTTCCTGGTTGAAGCCATCCAATGAACCCACGACCCAGCGAGGTGAAGATGTTGGTTGGCTCCAGGATGTCCTCAGCATCTAGCGAAGTGGACCCAGTGGCCAGTGCACCTGGTGGTTGTGGCGCTTCGGTGGACACCAGTCGTGGCGTGTTGGCCAATGAGACCAACGGGGGATTCCATCCATACCATCTGCTGAGCTTAGCCAATGATCATTCCAGTTGGAAGAAGGAGGACGACCCATGGGTTTTCAAGGAATGAAAGCTGTGGATTGCTTTGGATTTGGCTTGTTGATGTTGTTTCTAAGTTGTTTGTGGTTGTTTGGGACAGTAACGTTGAATATGTTGAACGTAGATTTTAAGTTGGCAGTTTGCATCGCTTCATTCACTTCTGATGGTTGGAGGTTCCTTTGGCTTGTAGTGGGGATGGGTCAAAACCTTGTACTCCTGGTGAACATCAAAATAGCTGGTAAATGGATGATCATTCCCCAAAAAATGGTATGTATAGGTATATTGATCCATAGCCTAGTTTCTGCTGTGCCTTGTCTTTGACAACTTCGTATCATGTTCGAAGTCCTGCCAGGACTTCATACGTTGGAAGCGCGACTTTTGCTACCTGGGCTACGTGGTTGCCCTATACATTCGCGCCGGGGAATCTTATGCCAAAGCAGAGCAGCTGACGTCAAACTTCTCCAACGAGACCGACGGAAAGGAGACTGTGGCTTGGACAGGGACAACTTTTAAGGACTCCTGAAGTAGCCATGTACTTTTATAATCTTTTATAAATATACTATATATATATACCTTGACTCTCCAGTGACCCACAAAAACAGGGCCTTTCAAATAAATCCTCTTTTAGAGACTGGATCCTTTTTTTGAACTATGATCTAAATTCTTTATATATAATTTATATTTTGAGATCTCATCACAATATCATTAAGGGACGCTAAAAGGACCGTTTGTATCAGAATCTCAGCCTTGAAAGTGATGCGGCATGCATTTGAAGAAAGGAGCATACCTTGATTCCGCATGTCACACCGAATGTGGTTCTGCAATGTTCTTGTGCTTGGTTCAGAAACTCACATATCGCGATGAACAAAATCCAGGGGAACCCCATTGTTCCTGGTTAGTGGTTGGGATCATTTTTTGTTTTTCCATATATTGGGAATAATAGTCCCAACTGAAATTATACTAATTTATCCAGTTTAAATCTGGTTGGTGGTTTGGAACCATGGAATTTTATGAATTTCCATACATTGGGAATCATAATCCCAACTGACTTTCATATTTTTCAGAGGGGTAGGTCAACCACCAACCAGTTGTTCATTGCTATTTGATGCTATTTGTCCTCTGGAATTCGGAAAATCGCTCCTTGATCAGGACGTCTGGGTGTCTCATAGAATCAGGACGGTGAAATTGAATCCAGATGAACCTTAAGGGCAGTTGATGGTCTTAGTATGATATCATTAAACACTAATTACTATTTTCAAACATGATCAAGCAGAGCATAAGAAATCTGTTTAATGAATATGAGTTACCATAAGATAATATATTATGTAAGTATATTTAATCACATAATGATTCAACACACAAAATCTCAACTCAACATCTCTCAGAGTTCCCACGGTAAGATGCCCATGAATTTCCAGTCCTCCCCAGCGCCGCGGCGGAGCAGGTGGAGTTGCTTTCGAAGGCCCGGCAGGATTTGATGAAGGCTTCCAGCGCCCTGGTGAGCAGTCTCCGGGGGGTTCCCCATGGGGTTCCCCATGGGGTTCCCCATGGGGAAACCGGGAGCTGGCTCCCTGTTGGTGTTCATGTCGGAAAAACTTAGGAAGATTTTTGAGGAAAAGCATTTAACTCAGAGTTTTGGGAAAGCACAGCATCACTCATCACTGCAACTTGATCACTTTCAGATGCTTTCGGAAGGTCAACAGGGGGGAACCATTGTTGAAGAGCCATGCTCTTGGGTTTCCTGTTGTCTTCACCCTCGATCTTGGAGATCTATACACCACCTTTGGAGATAAGAAATTTGCCCTGGTACACATATCATAGGATCCTGATTGAATATATATTCCGATAGTCAACCACAAATAAGAGGTCGTCCCTTTCTGTATTTCACAATGGCGGACCACATTTGATCATGAAGGATCATGAAGGATCATGAAGGCGTGTGTTTGAACATGATAAGATCAAGAAAAAGTGAGTCATCTGCACAGGATGGGGCCCCCCAGTTATAAGTTGGTTTATAAACCATTATAATCCCCATTAACTATAGTTATATTTACCATAAACCATTGTTAAGCCACTTGTAAACCAACTTAGCTATCTTGGGGGCCCCATCCTGCATGACTGTTCATGACTAGTCCTGTCTTTCGGTCGCCCCGTCTCGGTCAGGTATGTTAGGCCGTTGTCGCGAGATGGACTTTTTGGACCGGGAGACCTGGGGCATCCTGTCGCTGGACATCGATGTGAACCTACTGAGGCAGGGTACCGGTGCGGCGGCCATCGAAGGGCAACGAAGGATGTTCCAAGATACAACTACTTGCAGCTCTAAGTTTTACTGCACTTCCTCTTTTCTTATTACCCTCTGGTTATTTAACATAGCCATGGAAAATGGCCCATTTATAGATGATTTTCCCATTAAAACCTCCATTTATGAGGGATTTTCCATGGCTATGTTAAATAACCAGAGGGTAACTATCTTAGTTTTTTTGTTTATGTGGTAAATCCCACCCAAAAAAAACACATCCCCAATGGAGGCTTAGAAAAATGGGCATCATTTTAGCAATGGGATGATTCGTTAGCAATTTCACGACGGACATCACCGGAGGACCTATGACCGTCACTGGAATGATCTAACTGGGATTCGGGTAATCTAATGACCAACCAGTTAGGATCATTCCAGTTAGGTGAATCATTAATAGATTATAAATAGATGAATCACTAAATAAATGAATCTAATAATCTAACTAATGACCAACTGGCCTGATCTAATCAGTGATTTACCTATTTTCAGGTTGGTGAATGAGTATGAATGATTACAGCCAGATCCATGTCACACATGAAATCGTGAGGCCCCCTAGTTTATAAGATTTTATAAGATTTTACATTTATGAGCCCCATACTATACTTATATTTCCCATAAACCATAGTTAGCCCAGTTATAAACCATTATAATCCCCATGAACTATAGTTATATCTACCATAAACCATAGTTAAGTCACTTATAAACCAACTTATAACTGGGGGGCCCCATCCTGTAGGTTGCTGAATTTTCTGCCATGAAAATCGCCATAAAGCGCCAGGGTGGGCCGCGAGGTCAGCGGCAGCTTCGGGCCCTGGCGGGGCATGGCGGAGGAGTTTCCGGCCGAGTGGCCCAGCGGAAATGGGGATTTCACCAGCAAAAAATGATGGAACTTGGGGATTTCACCAAAAAAACATGGGGATGTATGGGGATATAGAGCTGATTTTAATGATGATTTTAAAAAAAGAAACATGGGTTCCTAGGTGATTGATGTTCGCTAAGTTTATTTATGATCTTTAATGGTGATGATCAATGTCCTATCTATTCACACATACGGGGAAATCGACGTTGAACATGGATAGTTCGAGAAAGTGTATTCTATTTAAATACAAACGTGAAGGTGCTCAAAAATGACACATTTCAATGGGGAGACTACTGATCAAGCGTTTGATTTGTGGTACCCAACTTTCAGACAAGACCAGATATGATGTATCAATCGTAAGGAATGCAGGATTTGTATGTTAAGATATGGAGGTTTCCTGACTTGGGGGTACCCCTAAATCATAAATCATCCATTTGAATAGAGTTTTTACATTTTAAACCAACCAGCTATTGGGATCCCCCATTTATGGAACCCCCCGTATGTCAAAGAGGTTAAGGTTCCTATGAATATTCAACTCACCATGATCCTCCCGTGGTATGTGTGGTTTGCATTGGATACTCTTCGATGGAAGCATTATGATGGCAGGAGTAAGGAAGCTTTGATCATCTTTGATCATGCGTTTTAACTTAATTTCACTACTTGTAATCCCTTCCCCTCTAATATTAAACATATTAAACACTCCCTTAGAAACCATGATAAACCATGGTTTAGTATTGGATTTCCACATAATTGGGACCATTTATGGGGTGCTTCATATTAGGGTGATGGGATTAAGAGAATGGTGTGATGGTGTGATGTTGCAAGGGGCAACGGGGCAACTTGCAGCTCAGGTACAAGAATGCTCGCCAGAACCTCTGGCATGCGTTATCGCTGGGGGCACACTTCCGCCAAACAGTGGAGAAGCAGGCGCCCCATGGGGGCGCCCCCATTTGGCGGACTGGGTCAAAAGCCTGAGACCCTTTTGTTCACCCCAAAATAGCTTGTAAGTGGATGGTCTAGCGGATGTTCATCCTCCAAAATATGGTGTAACCATCATCACAATATGCAGATATATACTCAACTCCCCTCAAACTCAAAGCACCATTCTTGATGCTTAAATAGTTGAATCATGGCCACATGTCCCATAAAAATACATAAAGTCATCATGAAATAATCATAAAATTATCATAAAATCCATTACAAAAACATACAAATCCATAACATCATAATACATTAAAAAAACATACAAATCCATAACATCATAATATATATATATATAATCATGTCACAGATTTCCAAGCCAGGTGGCCATGGGCGTGGCCCAGGGCCATTTGCAGCTGGGTCCAAGGCCCGTTGTGCGTGGAAGAGCCATGGAGGCGGGAAATGCCCCAGGAAAAAGATGGGAAAATCATAGAGGAAACATATGGGGGAAATCACCGTATGAATTGAGGTTTATGGCTGGGAAAAGATCATCCTTAAAACTCAATGGGGATCAGTGGGGGAGTTTCTGATATTTTCCATGTTTGATTACTGCGGTCGCTACGATTTGGCAGTCACTACTCCTTGGTCATTCTTTCTCACGCAGTCTGGCAGGTGGCATTGTTCGCTATGCCTGTGTGGTATGTCACTGAGTTTGTGGCCGGGCTTTTGCTGCTTGAACTGTGAATGTGCAATGCAGGCAGATGTTGGAGAGTCCAGTGGAATAGGCTGGAATCTACCAGTCCCTATGAAGCTTTATGATGTGTATGGACATGGTTTGCTGATCTTTCCCATTGTTGGTTTTGTTTATAACATCTCATTCAAATAGTCATTGCTCAGTTGAAGCAGCACTCTCAAAAACGGTGACCATTTGATTTGTCGGTCCTTTTGTTTTTGGGAGGCTTTGCAGTCTTGACCAACCACAATCCCGCAGATGTCAGATGCTTTAGTTGGATGAGTTAAAACCTCCATATATAGATTACGGTGGTTAGGCCCCCATTCAACAAACCAATATGAAGCCCATTTCATCAGAGTGCCACGAAGCGCGTTTTTTTTTTATCTGTGAGGTTGTGGCGTTTCCCCGCACTTGCCATGACCATCTATGCTGCACCCCTGGGAGGGTACAACATGCCACGCTCCAATGAACTGCGGGATCTTGTGGAACCATATCTGGAGGAAGTAGCAGAACTCAGGAGCACCGGGGACCAAAAAGGGGAGCTCCGTGATGGTTTCGATTCATGTTGAACAAGATGTGATTGGAGTACTAGGCATAGGCAGTCTTCTTTTTTATTATTTTGTGTGTTCATGACCTATTCAGGTAGTAAAGAACTTTTCTTTCAGTCTATGTATGACAAAAGGTAGTATGTTTCTCTAAGTCTCTTTTCAAACAAGTGGCTGACAACAGCCCGTGCATGCATCTTTAGCGCGTGGTTCTGGATTTCAAGATATCCAGTTTCAGTTCCATAAAGTTCAGCTTCTCCATATAATTATATTGATCGATCACGAACATCTTTGTGTGTTCTCCATAAAACGTGATGAACAACAATCGCACTAGATGGCAAATGGCGTTTTTTTTTTGAAACCCTCACTTGTAGGAATGGTTTTCCTTTCCAACTCAACTTCGGGGTGAACATGGGTGAACTAAATTACCCCAGCTATAGCTATGTGAAAAAAAACCATACACATCGTAACCGTAACTTCACCCCCCAAAAGATCGAAAAGTCAAATCCTGCTCAAATAGTTACGATACATCTGTGTAAATTATAACGACCTCACTGTTCTCCCTCACTGGAATCATGGTTTATGTTAGGGGAATCATCCCCAAATGGCCGAACTATTCAGGTTAGTGGAATATTATAATTGACCCAGATACATCACTTTTCCCATCACTTTTCCACACCAAATTTTTGGGGTCAGGCCGTTGGAGCTGATCGACGGTTACTGCTGTGACTGGTCCTTGGTGACTTGGGACCTGGTGCTGCAAGCGCTATCGCGCTGGGTGCTGCGTTTGGCCAGCGATGTCTTGATCTGCGGTGGGTTTCTGGGCGAATGGCGATGAAACGTGACTGGAAGATCCCCATTTTTAATGGTTTACCCCCTGGTAAACATGCAAAAAACTATTGAACATCACCATTTTTAATGGGTTTAAATCCACTATTTCTATGGCCATTTTCAATAGCTTTTTGTATGTTTACCAGAGGGTATAGCGCGGGAAAAAAACATCTGGAAATGGTGGATTTTCCATTGCCATATTTTATTACTGACCAGAGGGTAACCCTCAAAACATGGTCTTTCACGTGGTGGAAATGAATGTCATCATCCCAACTGGCCAATATTTTTCAGAGGGGTAGGTCAACCACCAACCAGTTATGATATGCTATAATATGTAATGGTTATATATATAATATAATATGCTATAATATGTAATGGTGTAAATACGTGTAAATACATCCTGACATGGAGATGTATGGCAAATATAGCCGATAGAACGGGGATGGATCTCAAACCGTGCGTTGATCACTGAACATCGGGAGTTTACCAGCTGATTTCACCAGACGCGGAAATTAATAATTTAGTGATGATCAATGGTTTGGTTCAAGGGCCAGAAACCATGTTTTTTTAAGCATCAAATGTGACTTGTTGTTTTTTGCAAACTGTCCCTTAAACCAAGTCTTGGAATGCGGTAAAAGGATGGTCAAGGCACTTTCAAATTGACTAAGCCTGAGTTGATTATACAATAGGCGCGTCCCGGATTTAATGATAATTCCAAGTACTACTGTACATATATTATAGATATTATAGATTCATTGTAGAAAAATTATGATAAAGGACATCACCCACAACCGGGGAGAGAAGAATCAGATTGACATGAAGGCCAAGTGAACATCCGCAGAACATGGAGAAACCAGACTCACGCATGGGGTCTATGTGAGTTTGACGAGTATGGAAATGAAGGTGGTTCACTTACCGTATTCCTCCAACAAGGACATCTTTTTGGGACATATCCCCAATTCATTGCACCATGCCAAGCCCAGCTCTGGGTCAAAGCTAGTCGCCAATGATTCAATGTCTCCACATCGTTTTCTGCAACATCTTTTCTGGTCAGTTACAGAGCCACTCCTCAATTTTTTGATGATTTGCACCTATCTCAAGAGGCACATCCGGATGTTGCCCGTGATTTCTGACCGTGCCCAGCTTGAATTGCCCGAATTTTTGGGGATGGTACACACATCTTGGGTGGTTCCAGATGCAACGGACTTGCCTTGTGGCAGCATTTGAGGCCCCTTTGGATCTGCTTGGTCTTGCGGCAAGCCAGACCCAGGCTGCCATTGCTGGCCCATTGCTTAACGTTTCAGGCCTGGTTGGTGGAGTTCCAGCCGCCTGGTTTTTCGATGGTTCAGAGTGGAAAATCCCATTAAGATAGATGATTTTTGGGGGTACCCCTATTTCAGGAAACCTCCATATATATATATATATCCATATATATATAAATATTCTGGATGGTGGTTTGGAACACTTTTATGACTTTCCATATATTGGGAATAATAATCCCAACTGACGAGCATATTTTTCAGAGGGGTTGAAACCACCAACCAGTTATGATATGCTATAATATGTAATGGTTATTCGATGTTGTTCGGGTAGCCCACTGCTTAAATAAGGCAGCTAAGCCAACTGGTGAACAACACATTTTACCCACTTGGATGATCTTCCGCAGAATCAGCATGAGTTAAGAGGTTTCCCTTTCTTAGATTTCAACGTTCGAAAGAACGCTTTGGATGTCTCATGATGTTTCTATGTTTACCAGTTTTGCTTAACGTGATCCATGTTTGATACATGCCGTGCCCTTGCAATCCTTTCCCGCAGGACTTGGATTTGCCACTGCCCTTTCCTGAGCGTGTTCGTTGGGTGCACAATGAAGTTGCGAAGACATTTGGGAGATCGGATTCCTCTGCTGTGTTGATACAGGAGCCGTTTGGTTGGTCGAATGGTCTGGTTCACCGGATCTGCGGTCGGGAGCTCCGGAGATGGGGATCAACCATGACTTCTGATCGATGTTGGTATGATGGTTTTAGAATCCCATAGGATCCATGTATGGTATTATGCTAACATGTGGGGTATATTGATGGTAAATGTTACCATATAATTATAAATTCATGGATCCTATGGGAATGGTGGTGGAACAAAAGAATATCACAACATCGTCAACATATATATCAACAGCATATTGATGCTAATATTGTACTATATTATACCGGAAGTATTGATGAGAAAACTGTATATATATAACTGTGGGTCCCATACAAAACCGATACTCGGATATACTTTGTGGTTTTCATAATCATCATTATTACCCGTTGGTACCCCTACCCCTAGGATAGTGGGTTTTCTTTCCTTCGCATGGCTGGTGAATACCATTGACCAGCCAGTTCTGGTTCCAGTTTCACACGTCTTCTGCACGTCAGGACGACTTGCAACGGGTCCACTATTCCATGACCTACGACTTTTCCATGTCTGGGAACTTCTCCTCGGCTGGACAGTTGTCATTTTTCCAGATGCCTTACATACAGGCCAGGCGGCAGGATGCACTGGCTGGGCAAGGGATGCCTTGTTTTTTTTTAATACTTTGGCACAGGGGACTGGGACGCGTTGTGACAGGTGACATTCACGGCTGGATTCTTGTCCTTCTCAAATCTAGCGAGGTGTGCAGGTGATTCTGATTCTGGATTGCTCCGTTTTGCTGCGTATGCAGGAGAATTAGCATTCATTTGCAACTGAAAACCTGGAGTCCAAGTGAACCATTTGGGGGTGAAACCTTTGAGACGTCCTACATCCTTTGCTCACCATCTATTTGCGACCCAGGCCCGATACTCACAACGCCGGGCCAAGGTGGTCATTGGGGGGGTTGGCTCAGATTTGGGGAATCAGGCCCATATGCTCCATGGTGCTGGAATATTTACCAACATTTACCTCAACAATGGCCCAAATGTTGGTAAATATTCCAGCACCATGGAGCATGGGGAACTTGTGCAAGCGCACACTTCATGATTTCTGTTTTGTAAAGTAATTGTGGTTCTCCGCTATTCCCGAGAGGAGGTCATCCGGTCCAAATTTGCCAAACGAAAGATCTAAAGTGGTTCCCAAAATTTCCCAAACATGAGCTGTGTCAAACCGCATAGGCCCATTCCATCCAACGGTTTACCATCTGGTTATTTAACATAGCCATGGAAAATCATCATTTGTAATAGGTAAACCCAGGTAAACCATCTATAAATGGGCCATCTATACCATGGCTATGTTAGTCATAACCAGAGGGTATCAGTATTCTGCCAGCTGTAGATGGCCAGAGATCGGGGTGTGATGGAAACCGTTCAGAGACCCGGATATTTTTTCGGGAAACGTCACCGATAACATCCTGGAAACTGGAAACACGTTTCAACCTTTTTGCGGTTGCTATAATATGGATATATAATATTATATAATATTATATGTAGCTATGTGTATATACGTAATAATAATAATATTAATATATATATATATAATTATATATATATATATTGTATATTATTTATTTTTGTATAGTATACATATTATTCAAATATTATATATATACATATTATATATATATATATGTCACATATTCTTTTACATAAAATATATTATATATATACATATTTCATCAAATATTACATTTTAGATTATATATATGTATATATTCTATACACTATATTATATATATATTATACACTAATATATATATATATATATATGTATTACAGTTTATTATCTATTGTATTATATATTGTATTATAATATCTTATATTTTATATCATATTATATATTATATTATATATTATTTATTATATATTATATTATATTATATTATAAATATTATCTTATATATTATACTATATAATATTTTATCATATTATATCATTTTATTATATATTATATTATACTATATTACATTATATTATATCTATGTTATATATTATGTTTTGATTATATCTAAATATAATATCACATATGTATATATACATATATATTATTTCATATATAATACAACATATATATAATATAAATATAATATAATATAATATAATATAATTTAATATAATATAATATACATAACATCTTATAAGAATATACATACATATATATATATGAATTATTATGATATATATATATATATATGCAGGCGGAAAACACCCTGTTGACGCCCAAGACTTATGGACTGCACCTGGAACTTATGCCTTAGGTAGGGCAAAGCACTACTGAGCGGCGTTCCTGTTTCTTCAGCCTCCAAAAGGACTGCGAATGAGTCATGGCTACGATGAATGAGCCAAGTGGAACTTGCATGCCACCTTCTTCCCTCCAAACACATGTCAAAATGACTGAAAAACACAACACCACCAAACAACACCGGAAAAACAACACTCATTGAGCATCAACAGCGGTGGGGACCACACTATCAATTCCCAAATCATTGATTCCATGGTCATCGTGTGTTTGTGTGCACGGAGGGTGTATGTTTTGTTCAAGGGGCTGTTGTCCCTTCTGCTTGCGCTTTCGTGCCGAAGACATTGTGTCGTCCTCGACGATTCGCCAACATTGTCGCATGCGGTAGAACATGTGGAATTGCCTCAGTTCTTTTGCCTTAGTCAAGCCATTTCCCAACTGGGCATCTGAATTGACCCACCTTAGGATAACTTCATTGATCACTTGTGATTCCTTCAACCGCATGAGATCTATGTCTGTTCGTCGTTCAGCGCCTTTGGCCACGACGACATCTCCAGAAAGCTTGTCATACACATTACGGCTATCAGTTATGACGCAGCCACTGATGTGATTCACAGTCTCATGAACATTTCGAATATTAACAGGGTATCCTAACAACTCCGACAATTGAAACCGAGCGAAAAACAAAAGGTCTTCACCATTAACAGCAGCAACCGCTTCACTAGCACCAGGACTAGAACAAACTCTACTGATTTTTGACGAATGCCAGGCTAACAGACTCACCTCAGTGCACTGCCCTTGCAACAACCGTTTGGAAGCTGCACCAATGCAGATTCCCTGAGTACTTCCTCCATCAATGCGGTTCTGGGACGCTGCATCAACCCAGGCAAAAAGGCCTATTTCATCTACGGGAATAGGATGAATCAACAATTTATGATCCTTCATGCCTTTGACCTGGTCTAAGAGGTGGTTTGCTCGAAAAAGAGTGTCCACACAGCTTTTATTTACTTCCGAAAGCATGAGTCCCACCTCTGCCGAAAAATGGGGCGCCACTTGTTGGGCGTGCCAGCTGATGGCTCCTAGCAGAGCTCGGAGCTGTGACTTTTCAAAATCATCCGTTTCCGCATGGCGTTCTTTGCGCCTATGGGCTCGGATGTTGATGTGCTTGATGCCTTCAACATATCTTTCCTGGGACAGTGCATATCCTCCTTTCTGGTCTCTTTCGACTTGTACTCCACATTGAGTAAAACGATCTTGTTCCCAGTCTCCCCAGCGATATTGCTGCTTGATCAGTTCGATGGTCTTGGTCCACACTGGATCTTCATCAGATCCTGAAAATAAGAAGTCATCAACGTGGCCTGAAATGATTCCATGGAGCTGATTTTCCTTCACCAGTATCCAACTACATGGATCGGCCCAGCATCTTCTGAGGCCAATGCGGCCAAAGAAGTCGCAGATGGAGCGGTACCACTCCAAGGGAGCGTCCACCAGGCCGTAACACGCTCGCTTCACTCTCGTGACAGAGTTGGGAGGTAAACCCATTGCCAAGCAAATCTCCTCACAAGGAATGCATAGCAGCTCTCCTGGGTATTCTCGGCCTTGTAGGAATGCGCCACTCACATCGCCTTTGCGTGTCTGCCAATTCTTGCCAGCAGCGATTTGCAATTGTATTTGCCTGGTTTGTCTCGTTGTTGTTGGGCTGGCTGTTGCACGGTGCTCGTAGAGAGGATCCTGATATCCCAAAAGCACTGCTCTTGCCTTTGCCTTCTGTGTTCCATCCTCACGTATTTTCCATGTGAGGATCCACCGCATTCGGACTGCCTGAGTCTTGTCAGCTCTGTATTCTGGTGGTAGTGCTTCAAATGCCTTTGCAGCCAAGAAATTTGATACCTCCACTGCTTTCGCACTGCGGAATTCTTTCAGTTGCTCTGACGTCAGTTTTCGTTCGCATACCTCAACTGATTTTCTCTTCATGGCGGCTGTAAAGAAGGCTGGTAAGTCTTGGAGTGCTCTCTCAGCACTGCTTCTGCTTCCAGGAAATTCTATTGCTACCTCTACAGCGGCTCCCTCTTTCTTCCAGATGGTTTTTCTCTGGTTCACTTCCTCCACAAAGAAAGAGTCTTGTACCTGATCACTCCAATGTGGAGCTGCATGAAAGCCCGAAGAAGGCCCAGGCCGTGATTCACTGGGGGGTGATCTGCTTCTTTCCGCCCTGCGTGGCATCGCAGCAGCATTGTTCTCGTCTTGATCGCTGATGTCGTGGGGACCTGGAGAGGTCCTTGGCACTTGAGCTGGTCTCATGTCCGCCACTGTTGGCGTTCTCTTCATACGAAACCGGTGGATTGGCTGCCATTCAGAATCTGGATCTTTGGCACGTTCCCACTCCATCTCTGTGAGAGCTTCTGTGTAATCATCAAATTCTGTACCACCCAGTTCTTCAGCAACTTTCGGAAAGGTCCAAGGCTGCTGATCTGGCTGGTGCAGGTCATGAATGATGTGCTCCTTGTCCGTGGCATGTCTGAGTTGTTCAGCACAACATTTGATGAGACGCCTGCCTCGGACCAGCCAGATTGAGCTTCCCCGCTGGAGTTCACCCTGATCGTCTCTTTTCATCTCAGTTGCCAGGATGCGGGCTGGCCCAACAAATCGGCCTGACCCTTGTTTGTTCTGACCTGCATCTTGGCCTGTCAATTGTTTCCTCCAAATATACACCAAATCTCCCGCTGAAAAATCCAAGACCTGTCGGTGTCGTGAGTTGGTTGCTCTTGAAATGCGCTGCTTACACTGCCAGTCTATCAAGGCTTTCTCTGCGGTTGCCATCCTCTCCCAGTTTTCTTGTTGCATGGCCCTCGGCTCCAAGCATGTCAGTTCAGGGCAGGATGGGTCTACGGTAGAAAAAAACCTACCGGCCACGTCCGGTGTTCTGCCCATGACATGTTGCAGTGGAGAGTGGCCCCTGATGTTATCCTTGGAGTTGAGGATGCGGATGCTGTCTGACAGGGCATCCGGAGCAGAAACATCGGGATGGTCAGTCACGATTTTCTCCAGCAAATACTTGATTGACTCTATGCTTCGTTCACATGAATTCAGTTTCCAGTGTGCTTCTCCGGGGATTATATCCAAAAATATCCCCTGTCGGTCACAGAACTCAGAAATCTCATGGCTACGGAAGGCACCGTCTGGATCTAACCGGAGGGTGTGTGGTGTCCCAAAATAGGATATCCACGCTTCTCTGAGTTGAGACAAAAATTGACCTGCGGAAATGTGTTTGCGCTGACCCTGGTTGATCATGCGTGCCACTCTAAACTTGGAACCCTCATCAACAAAAATCAAAAACTGCCATTTTTCCTTACTCTTAGGATGATACCAATGTCCAACATCGGCCGACACGGTGGCAAACTTCGGTGGTTGTGGTTCCAAGGTGGCCAAATTTCTGGGATTGGGGGAACTGTTCTCTTGACAAACATCACATTTGAATTTTCGAGCTTCCTCCAACACATGTTCGGGGAAGTTCCCTTGTTGAATGGTGCGAATCAAATACTTCAGGGGACCATGACCAGTGGCAGCATGAAGTAAGTACAATTTCTTCCGAACTCTCTCTCTCTCTTTGGAATCCACTTCATGAGTACCCATGATATCATGAACATCGTGATCCTTCATGCAACCCTCGGAACAGTAACCACATGTCACCTGAGCCTCATGAACATGGCCTTCATGACAAACACAATGTAAACCTTCCCCAAAAGACCCTTTTGGTGGTTCATGGCCGGACAGCTTGTCCCTGAGTTCCCCTTCGGAAATACCCTGGAGAATGGCTTCACACACACGCTTACCAAACGCAGGAGTGTACAAGGCTGATTTCTTTGTCAGGTTACCTTCACAACCCACATGTTTCGTGTTGGGGCTACATCGACATGGCAAGTCCATACGTGACAGCAACAGTCGGTTTGTTGAGATGATTTTCCAACCCTTGGACACAAGTGCACCCTGTGGATCCTTTAGGCCTACCTGACAACCTCGAATCACAGCATGACCCAACTGGTACTTGCTGATGAGTCATTGGAGGATAGGAAGTCTCCATGCATGGCAGTGTTGTGAAAGTTCCCATGTCACATCGATCCCCCTTTGAGCACAGTAATGAAAAATGATGGCGCATCCCACATACTGTTTCAAGGCATACCGTCGTTTTTCCTGTAGAGCCTGGATCTGCTCTGGGGAACGTTGATTTATGTTCTGCATGGGACTGTAAGGTCCACAGTCTGGAGACCACCAAACATGCTGAGGTCGCGACTGGTCAATCTCATCTAGAATTGATTTCACTCCAGCGCCAACTGTCAGATCATACTGATTCCAAATGGACAACCTTTTGCTAAAACTGTCTCTACCGGTCAGCTGGCGCATGGTGTTGCTCAAAACGCTGTCTTGACTACACGCTACCTCAACAAGAACCGTTTGCTCTGTTGACCTCAAGTTCATATAGGCCTCTGGCATGATCCTGGCAACACGTTGTTCTAAGTCCCTAGCCTGACTGGCACTAAGCTTGCAGCATGAACTAGGTTCCTGGCCTATCTCTGAGGTCTCGGACAGAACTATGTTACTAGGCTCAGAACAGCTCAGTAGACCTTGTTCACCTACGCCTCGCTCAACATGCTGAAGCTCCCGCTGGAGTCGGTCTTGATCATCGGTTCCTTGCGGGCACCACGGTGCTCCTTCATATCGTGGACCTCCTCCTTCAGGTCGAGGACTGTCGCTGCCAATTGCTGGATCATGGCATTCGTGGCTGCCATCTGGGAAGATGTGGCACTCCCGGATGCGCCAGAGATCACTGATGTCTCTTCCAGCTTGGGAACTTGAGACGGCTTGAGGTATCCCTTGTTGATCAGCACCGACAACGGAATGGCCGGATCTTCGTTCATGGTCTGCTCGTCCTGGACCTTCTGGTTCTGATTGATGTTCTGACACCAACGGGCCAGACGACTCAATCGGGCATCGCAGTTGCCCTCCTTGGCCGTGTTGAGCACCCACTGCAGGTACTGTGCATCCTTCTGGTAGAGCTCCTGGTACGTCAATGATGCGTACTTGCCGAAGCCCACTGGATCCTCGGAGCTGACTGCTGCATGATCGTAGATCGCCATCAGGGTCTTCTTCTGCAGAGAAGGGATGGTGTCGTTGCCCGTCAGAGGAACTCCCAGGCTTGCGGCATACTCCCGCAGGTGGTCCTTCTTGCGAGCTGCGTCGTTGAGCTTGATCACCATCTTGCGCAAGGGGGTGACCTCCCTGTGCTTTGGATTGGGGTGCAGCCCCTTGGAGATGCGGACTTCCTCCATGCGCTGGATCACTTCCATGGCCGACCAATCCTTGGGAGGAAGTTCCCCCAGTCGTGCCAGCTCGATCAGAGCCTCGGTCTTGGTGATCGACGGCATGGCTGGTAGACTCGCACGTCAAGAATGATGTGGACGAGGGTTCACTTTGATCTCGATCTCCAAGCGCTGCAGTGGTTGCTGATGTGACTGCTGACGCTGTGAGTGTGGAAACTGGTGTATGGTGATGGTGTGTCTGTTCATGTGGCACCTGTGTGTGGGAATCAACTCTTTGGTCCTTGATCGTGTCACATTCAAAAAAAACATCCAAAACTTTTCCAACAACAGTATTTTGACATGGTTCAGTTTGTTTCTGATTGTCTGCACTTGATTCCTTGCCCTCTCTTTCACCCGCAGACGATGGTTCAGAGAGGAGTTGTCCCTAGATGTACTGCTTCAAGCTAGGGACCCGTGAGCTGGCTTGGCTTGCGTTCTGAAACCAGTCCTTAGTCATGGGAAGAAGTTGGTGGCCTGTACAGGAACGCTCCATCTTGATTACACGTGTGGGATCCAGCTGTCTAAAGACAATGAGATCCTCTGAAAAATCTATAACTGCTCCTAGTGATCGCAAGGTTTCCACAGAAAACAGCACAGGACCAGAACCCTTGTCAAGAGCATGAATCTTCAGTTGTCCATTGCGACCCCCAGCAGAGATCTTCATCCATGCAGTTGACAAACATTGGTCACTGGATGAGTTCCCGAACCCAAATGTCGGTCTCAGTTCAGGATCAAGCCGATGTAGGCCCGTCTCACCCTTGGTGTTCGAGTTGATCTCCATGATCTTTTCCAACGCAGCAACAGAGGCCAAGGTTCGAGTTGCTCCTCCGTCTATGACGGCTTTGCCTTGCTCCATGGCTTCTTGAGTTGTCACTGCCATTGCTCGGTCTTGTTCTTCTGAGACGCATGCTGCCTGTGCTGCCTGGACTTCTGCAAAACACACAAAAGGAGCCTCTTCGGTGTGAGTCACCATGGCCTTGGAGTCCTTCTTGGGGCACTCGTCAGCACGATGTGGTCCTCCACACCTCAAACATGTAATAGATCTTGTCCCTGGTGCATCAGGTCGAGCTGGTGGTTGGCGTCGTGGCCAAGGCCGTGATGAGTAAAACTGTCGATTCATCTTCACCTGATGTTGCTTCTCTCGGGCTTCTCTGAGTGTTCGGCGGCCTCGTTCGATGGCTGCCATGGCCTCATGTGCTGATGCATCTGTCTCCTCCAGGATGGCAAACCCATCCTCAGAGAGACCAGCCATGGTCAGGTATGCCCAGTCCGGACTTTCATACTGTCCCTCCATGTCGCCCATGAAGGCGCCGTCCTCATAGTCTGCACACCACGCAGCGGAACGTCCACCTCCATCTCGTTTCTTGATGTCATCATCTTGCCACTGGTTGCGCAACTCCTGCGCCACCCTGCTGAGAGAAAAATTCCCTATCAGGGCTGAGAGGATGTTGTTCCGTTCCGAGGTCTCAAGTCCAGAGTCCTGTAGAAGGAGCCAGCCTTGCACAAAATCTGGTAGAAGAGCAGCTTCATCTCGGTCCCACTGGCTGGATGCTCCCACCGATGCAGTGTTCGTCCACTGCCTCCAAGGGTCATTCCATCCCCACCAATCCTGAGATTGTCTCCAGTGTTGGCGATGATCTTGCTGCCACCAATCTTCCCAGCCATCATTGCCTGGGTTTGGCTCGTTCTCGGCTTCATGAAACTCCGAGTGCTCGGATTCGGTGCCATCTGGTTCCTGCTGCTCCTGGTTGCTGGTCAGCGCCGGAGTCGATGGCTGTGGTGCTGGTTGTATCGAGGTAGTTGAACCTTGTGCTTCTGAGCTTCGTGGTTCATATCGCTTCTGCAGCCTTCCCAAGGTTTGACATGCCCTTGAGTACAGCTCTGCCTTCCTCGTGATGTAGTCGTTCATGGACTCGTGTCGACGTCTCTTCGACTGCTTGAAGTACTTTGCTATAGGTACTCCGCCATCTCTGAGAGCTGGGGCTGCCCCAAGTTCTGCCTCAGGTGCTGGAGAAGCGTATCTACCCCATCTGGATGGGAGATCCATCCTGGTTGTTTGGCCTGGACAAACCTTCTGGCTGTGCCCGATAACTCTGCTTGCAGACGTGGTCCGCAAAGGTACCGCTTGTGGTAGGGGATGGATTCCTGCCAATGACTGGCAAGCTCTGAGTACTCCTGGAAGGTAGTTGCATCACCATCCCATTGCGGCACCCCATCTTTGCTCCGTTCGATGTACTTCATCGATTTCTCCGCCATGCTTTCCCCTAATGGCACTAGCAATTGGGGCTACTGCTATCCCTGGATCTAAACAAGCTTTACGCCCCCCTTGTGAGGGCTCCGCTACCGTGCAGGCGGAAAACACCCTGTTGACGCCCAAGACTTATGGACTGCACCTGGAACTTATGCCTTAGGTAGGGCAAAGCACTACTGAGCGGCGTTCCTGTTTCTTCAGCCTCCAAAAGGACTGCGAATGAGTCATGGCTACGATGAATGAGCCAAGTGGAACTTGCATATATATATATATATATTACTAACCAAATTTTTGGCTTAGGTAACGTACCCCCAATGACTTAACCCTTCCTGCATCAACATACAGGTGTCTGGATTGTGGGGTACACCACCCGAAAATGGCAATTGTTCATGAAATTGATGGATCAAACATATCGAATTTGGGGGCACCCTCTCTTCAGACAATCCCCATAATTCAAGCCATATGACCTTCAGGCCATGTTTTGTTGTTTGGAATATGGGCCTTGCAACACGGCCTTGTTTTTTGCTAGGTCCAATAAATCGGGTCCTGAAACGGCCATTGAGTGTTTGGAGTCTGCCAGGAGCTGATTTTTCTGCGTGAAGGCACTACCAAGCGTTGGACCAACTCCCTGCGAGGGCATTTGTGGCACCTGGGCACTGGGTGGCGAAGATTGTGGGTATCTTATCGTAATGTAGAAGTACACAGCGGCTGCGCCAAATGGTGGTATGATGTGGTATGCTTTTCATGGATGGTACCAGATATATAAGTTGACCCACATGGATGGGAAGAAAGGTCAGACTCAGCCAATCAACAGACAAATCATAACAGATCCATTTTTACACAGTAGCAAGTGGCAAGTGGTTGGATGCTGAATGTCGTGGCGGTAAAATCTCAGTTTTGCTAGATGTTGGTAATTTTGGTGGTTCTACTTGGTTTCCCTAGCTTCCCTCATCCCTAGCTGCAGGTACAAGAAACTACAGGAACTGGTTGCAGAGGAGCATGAGTCTCGGCTTGTTTGAAGCTGCAGCGCACCAGTCTGAACAGATTAGATTGTCATCACAGATGTCCTTCTCATTAATTGCCTGATAGATGGGTTAGTTAATATATATATATATATATATGTATATAATAGGTACATATTGACAGAGGGAGGGAGTGAAACATAGGTAAATGATAACTACTTTTATATTATAACTTACTTGCTGTATACAAGATCGGATAGATCGGCACCTTTTTGTTTCCGGCCGGACCTGGTGGACAAATGCCTGTGCTTACAATAGCCCCATCAATTTCAACGGATGTGTTTGGAAATGGGGGGAGTAACCACACAAATCCATGATTAGAACACATTAAAACCATGTTAAACCACGTGTTCCATGTCAAACAAATCATATTAAAACCACGTGTTTCCCAAAAAAATATATAAAAACCACATTTTCTCAATAAAATTGCCATATCTTTTGGGTAAGTGCCCAGTTGTTGCGTGCTGTAAGGATCCCAACATGCGCTGGCGCTTCCTGAAAGATGAAGCTTTGCGGATTCCCTACACGGAAATTGCGGAGCATGTGGCTGCGATCTTCTTTCCAGGTCTGCGGAACTGGCTTTGTTTGAAAAAACATAGATTTTTGGGTAATATATGAAAAACCATGGTTATTATAGATGAAAACCATAGATGAAAAACAATGGTTATTATATTTCATAGGTAACCATATCGCCATAGGTCGCTGATCTCAGACAATCATGTTCCCTATGTTGCCACTGTGAAATATCCCAGTTTCCCAATATTAGAAGATTGCAGTTGTGGAGTATCCCATAGTATCCCTATCCCCAATTTATGGACAAAGGCATTTGGATTAAAACGATGCATGCCAACTACGCTGGGTGTGATTCTGGTGCAATTTGGGACCATGATTTCCACAAGATTTCAGGCCGTGGCACCGTGGCACGCTCCTTTGAGATTTATCCTTCACATTCTTGGCTATGTACTACGAGACTGGACATCATTGATCATGACATGAAGCAAGTTCGCAATGACCTCCCCAGTAGATCAACATATTTTTCAAACCCAGCATTAATGATCCCTTTTCCAATGAGTTTCCCGTTCTTTTCCCAAGTTCCCCAGTGGTTCCCAGCAGGCATCGGCCATGCCAAGTTGACCCTGCACGAGTTGCGTAGCATGGCGATGCCCACCTTGCTCCCTGCGAAGAGTTTGATGTATCGCGTGGAGGACGTGAAGAACCACGACTCGGGGGGCTCGGTGAATAGGCTGATGATGGATTGGACAATGGAGTACTTGAGAAGATGATGCCCACATGATGGATTTTAGGCGTTTTGCCGAGTGTCCAGGATTTAGACATGGATATGCTTTGAGAGTGAATTTCCAACATGTGTTCGATTTGACATGATAGATAGATTTGATTGATGTTTTTGTCAGCGTTGTCATCATTCTCATCCAAATCCAAGGGAGTTTTCGGAAGATGAAACAGTGCGAGACACAGACATGGGAGAAAAGCATCATAGGAGATGTGGGTGTGTCTGAAAATGGGGTATAGCCGCAGTTGTGGCAGTCAAATAGTAGGCCAATTGTGATAAGCGGCCAAATCTTGGGCCTATTTTAGCGCTAACCCCATGATATACTGTGATACCTCATGTACTTCCATTTCATTTTGCTGGCACAATATCTCGAGCACCATAGCGTTGAGGAGCTCATACTTGACAGTCGGCAACCCTACAGTGGAAGCAGCTTTGACTGAAGATTTGGCTTCGGCCGTGGACATGTTTTGACGTATCTGACCTCAGATCCATCGGTTGGCAGTGTTTGCATGTCCTCATTTTGCCACGAGCAGGTCAGGTCGATGGTCGAAAAAATTGCCCCCTTGTGGCAGTGGTGCTATCCGTGCCATTCTTTTGGCTCTTTTGATCACATACCTGGTATGATGGTCCCCATTCACTTGTTTTTTGGAACCCCGAACCTCAGGGAAAACAGGAATGCTACTTGGCCTTCGGTGATTCTGTGAGGCTATGATGGTTGCTATGACACGTCTCCACCTTTGTGACTCGGAGAGTGGCATCGTTGTTTATTCGTTTTACCATCTGGTTATTATTTAACATAGCCACGGAAAGATCCACCATGTTTAATAGGTAAACCATCTATTTCTATGGGCCATCTATACCATGGCTATGTTAAATAACCAGACGGTATATTGTTCTATTGCTTTTGGTTTTTGAAGCTTAGTTGGGTTTCTGACCCTTGACCACCACTTATTTGTGTCTTATATGCTTATGCCGTGTTTTTCTTTGTTGTGTCTTTGGATCTCTTCAAATGGGTCAAAATAATATATATCCCTGAAATTGGATGGTAAATACATGTAAATACCAATCATGAACAGAATTTGCGGTCCTCTGGGCATTAAACCGTGACCCATTTCCATTTGGGTGCAGGGTGCGATTTCCATTTGAGAACTTGAGGCGAGTGGCTGCTCCATGGGTGCTTCCTCTCTGTGGTTGGCGGCGACATGCCTATTTCATGGAATGGTCCAGCTTCTATCGCTACCCCTACTTCCTTCAATTTGAGAGTACCTCGACTGTGGAGATTTTGTGGAAAGAACATGAAAGAAAGAAACGAACACTTGGCTGGTGATGTTCAGCTATGACCAGGGTTTGCTCCGGTCGCCTTTCAAAGCTTGGCTTTATTCAATAGCTCATTCCGGGCACAGAATGCAAAACAAAGTCCATCGGATGCTGGGTGTAGCTCAGCATGACTCGTGGTTTGTGATGGAAAAAGGACCGTTTTCGGACCGTTGCATGCAGAGCTCAACTCTGAAGACATGACATTCTGCTGACAAGTGCTGACTGCAACTGGCATGTGCAGGTATGGAAGAGAGCTTTCACTCATTGGCTTTGAAACTTTGAATGTGCATAATTATGCTGCATATCCATTGTTGAAGATTCAGGTACTCCTGGACTTTGCGATGAATCTGGAAGGCACCAAAAAATATGAACAACACATGGTTGCACCTGGAACGACGAATGATTCATCCACTCCTGATCTCAGGTCCTTGATGGTACAAGGTGGTACCCAGTTAGCCAAGTTGGTTTATAGCTCCAGTATTTATGGTAGATATTTCATATGGATTTCTATAGTTGATGGGGGGCATAAACCAACTTAGAACTGGAGCAGGCCACCTTGTACCAGTGACTTTGAGAGTCAAAAGGAAGCAAAACTGGCTATGGGCTATGGCAGTTGCAAGCCAATCTGATTGGCCGCATCCAAAAACTCGAAAACGCGACAAAACGCCACAGGGTGCGCCCTCCAAAAGTGGATTTGGCTGTGGCTGAAGCTTTTGCAAACAGACATCAAATGTAATATATATATATATTAATGCCATACAGTAGTGCAGGTTATATTATAAAGTATATATATATATATTAGAGAGTTATTTGCCAAATTGGCTTCAACATAATTGTGATTGAATTTTACCACATGCTATAATCAACGAGTCTTGTCTAAATCGTCCTAAACCAATTTGTGTGAGATATATAAATAGATGTTACTTGCCAATTTTGTTTTTCCCCATATTCCAATCCATGTTTCTGTCAAAGTTCTAGGCAACGCATGATTTATTTACCAATGGCTAAGGCAATACCACACACCTGTAACTGGCGATTGGTTATTGTTGCGTTTACCACTTAGAAAGTCTTAGGACCTGGGATTAGTTTCCCTAGTTTCGATGGACAATACACAATCCCTTCCCCCCAATATATTATATAGACCCCCTTGAAACGCATCTTGTGCGGCCATTTGGGGCGTATTTAGTATTAGATTTGCATATATTGGCTGTATTGCACTGTACATCGACAGCTTTATGATGTTTAAACCATTTTAACCCCTCCATGTCTGATGATGAAACCACATTAGACCATCATGTTTGATGCTTAACTCATGACAAAACTACTTTTTGATGGTTAAACCTTGTGAAACCATTTCTTGATGCTTGAATCATGTTAAACATGTTAACCATTGTCAAACCCTCATGTTTGATTGTGGTATGTATATATATATATATAATATATATATATATAATATATATATATAATATTATAATATATATATATATATACACATCAAACCATTATTGTTGCTATATTTCTGTTCCCCATCCCTCCCCAAAAAGGGCTGGGCTGGTCCCCAAGGTATCGGCCACCTGCTCCAGCTGGTCAAGTCCTTCACATTACCTGAGCTCTGGGCGCGATCTGTGAATATGCGGCGGTACAACGAGCAGCGACGGCAGGAAGAGGCCGTGGTTAGTAGGGTTCAAGCCTGGGAAAGCTGGATTTCATGCCATGAAATCATGGGAGTTTGGTGGGATTTGATGGGATTTTAATGTTAGTGATTTTAGTGGGATTTCATGGTTTTTAGTGGGATTTACTTGGATTTTGATGATTTTGGTGGGATTTGATGGAGATTTAGAGGTATGTTGATGGGATCTAAGTATGAACCAACGGGAATTTTGCAGATTTTATGGGATATGGGTTTGTTTGAAAAGAGGGTATAAGCATCGATGAACCAGCGAAATTGGGGGTACCCCATTTGAGACACACCTGTATATCCCTGAGAATCAGGAAGTAGATCAATGATTGGTGAAGTATATAAATGATTGGTTTGCACCTATTGTGGGTAAGTTCTTGACCGCTTTTGTGGTGGAAATTGGTGACTTTATCTCTTTGGTCAGTTTCCCTCCCAACACATATCTCGGGATTTGGGAGCAACCCTGATGTTGTTGATAAAAGCCCAATAGTTTCCCATGTATTGGTTTAAATCATTGTCATCATTATCACTTATATACATCCGCATACTATCATACTTACTATGATTATTTTAGACATCTGTCTGATTGTTGCGCCACGGTCATACCTGGGCTTTTAGATCCAAGGGGTTGTCATAATCCAATGAATAGAGGTATCTTCATAGCCAATTTTTAGGGCAAATCCCTAGCAGTGGGATGACCATACTCCACTAGGATGTCAGGGTCTTGATGCTTTCTGGAGCCGCCATGCTGTGGAAATTTCAGAAAATGAAAGCAACGCGGAGATGTCAAGCAATGAGCATTGGGTTGCGCTTGAGGTTCCCCATGCTCAATAGGACCAATACAGTAGGTGAATCATCTACACATGGAGATGTTCTATTGCAATATTTGACTACAAGATGGTACAGATCTACCAATAAAATGGTGTTTCTCCAACTTGAAATGGTCATACAGTGATACAAGATGATACAAGCAACAAAGCAGATATTAGAACCATGCGGATTCGAGCAGCAAATTCATGCCCCAAGGGATAGGAATCCAGCAAAATTGGCAAGCAACGAACAAACTTGCCATTTGAATACGGAACATATACGGAACATGGTGATAAACCAGACGGTTGGGGGTACCGGGTACGCTATTGTCAGACCACTCCACATATACGTGTAATTATATATGTAGATACATCATACATGAATAATTAATATATAATAATGAAAACATTAACTGTTTCATAAACTGTATACGATGTGCTACTCATTAAAGAGCTTCAAGGATCAGTGCACCTTGTGTTTCCTCGGCTTTTTTTTTTGCACTTGAGCTTTTTATGACCAGCTGGACTCTTCAGGTGAGATGGTTCACCAATGTTGTGGCGATGCTTTCCCTCAGAGTGCAGGACTTTAACCTTCAAAGCTCTCCGTGCTGGTGGATACTTGTAGTTCCTGTATGTTCCTGTTGTTGATTGAAAACCCCATCTCTAGAGCATGATCCTCAAGGATTTCTGTTGGTGGCGGAACCTCAGGATTGTTCGAGGAACTACGTTTACTGTTTGAATCAGGCATTCTTGGTTCGGACACATTCTAGGCTTCCAAAACTTTACATGAGGACAGCCGGTTGATTGTTTGACTTAACCCTCTCCCTGAGGAGGACTGACGTGGTGGTGAGATGTGCGGCGCATTGAGATTTGCCGGCCGCAGCGCTTCAACTATGTGGCTGCGATTGTGATGATAAAGAAGAAAAAAAATGATCAAAAAAACATGGATCCGACTACGGGTGCACTTCCTCTCCTACAACGAGGCTGGGATTGATGAAGGCTTTCGTTTGAAATTCCTGAGATGCTTTTATATATGTATCTGCTTAATTCTTTTTAATTATGTTTATATTCTATTGGTTCTATTGTTCACTTTCTTGTCGACTGTCGACGCCATACCAAAAACTATGATATAATTTAATGTCATTTGCCCGCGCCGCGTCTTGTAAATCCGTTCTCGCTAGGCGATTCCAATGCACTTTGCAGCCAATGAGGGCCATGGCCATCGATCATCACCGTTCTCATTGGGTTCTGCGGCAATGGGCCACGCATGGCGCACCACTCCCACTTCAGGCTCATCTTTACTTCATAGCGCCTTCGCCGCATCCTCTATATGCGGCCATGAACTTATCCTCGTCAACGTGGCCGCGCTCGTTCCTGTTTGCCGCCGGTGCCTACCTCGGCGGTGCCATGGCGCAACAAGGGACGAGAGAGGACCCGTCCCTTGTTGCGACATCGCTGCTCTGCAGGCAGGCGTCGACGGCAGACAGGGGCGAGCACGGCAGGACAGATCTACATCTTCACCTCTCCAACGCAGCCGCGCGGCTGCAAGCGTCCACATCGCAAATCCGCTGGTGCGTCGTTGGTTCTTGGTCCGCTTTGTATTCGGCGCGCTTGGCTTGCAGCGCCTTGGTCAACGTCACTGATCGATGGGACGCGGTGCGGGCAACGACATTCAAATCTTTTATTTTGATTTATACCGCGCGCGTGCTGCGCTGTCTAATGTAGGGTATAGAGCTGCCAGTGACCGTTTTTTAAGGGAGAACGTTTCTTTTGCAATGGGGCTAGGGGCAATAGGCTTTCACCATGTCCATCAACGCCCGGCTTAAAGAATAACGCCATAAACTTTTCACGGAAGCCGGCCCTCAGACAAACCTCCTTCTCATCTTTCCTTCTCCTTCCGTCTCCTTCCGTCTCCTTCCTTCTCCTTCCTCTTCCTTCCTCTTCCTTCCTCTTCCTTCCTCTTCCTTCCTCTTCCTTCCTCTTCCTTCCTCTTCCTTCCTCTTCCTTCCTCTTCCTTCCTCTTCCTTCCTCTTCCTTCCTCTTCCTTCCTCTTCCTTCCTCTTCCTTCCTCTTCCTTCCTCTTCCTTCCTCTTCCTTCCTCTCCTCCTCCTTCCCTTTCTCTTCCTTCCCTTTCCCTTCCTTCCCTTTCCCTTCCTTCCCTTTCCCTGTCTTCCCTGCCCTGCCTTCTTTGCCCTGCCTTCTTCCCTGCCTTCTTCCCTGCCTTCTTCCCTGCCTTCTTCCCTGCCTCCTTCCCTTCCTCCTTCCCTTTTCCTTCCCTTTTCCTTCCCTTTTCCTTCCCTTTTCCTTCCCTTTTCCTTCCCTTTTCCTTCCCTTTTCCTTCCCTTTTCCTTCCCTTTTCCTTCCCTTTTCCTTCCCTTTTCCTTCCCTTTTCCTTCCCTTTTCCTTCCCTTTTCCTTCTTGTTTCCTTCCCCCTTTTCCTTCCCTTGTTTCCTTTCCCTTTTCCTTCCCCTTTTCCGTCCCTTTTTCCTTCCCTTTTCACTTCCCTTTTCCATTCCCTTTTCCTTGCCCTTTTCCTTCCCTTCTCCTTCCCTTCTCCTTCCCTTCTCCCTTCCCTTTTCCCTTTCCCTTTTCCTTCCCTTTTCCTTCCCTTCCCTCCCTTCCGCATCCCTTCCGCCTCCCTTCCCTCCCTTACCCTCCACACTGTCCCTCCTTCTCTCCCTGTCCTCTCCCTTCCCTCCTTCCCTTCCCTCCCTTCCCTCCCTTCCGCTCCCTTCCCTCCCTTCCCTCCCTTCCCCTCCCCATATCCCCATCCCTTCCGCGTCCCTTCCCCCTCCCTTCCTTCCTTCTTTCTGTCCCTTTGCCCCCCCTTTGCCTGCCGCCACATTCTTCCTTACTTCTCTGTTATTTGCCGGAAAGCATATATTGGGAGTTCGTTACTTTCAAGGATTGTGTTCAAATTTTGCCTCGCTCCGCCAGGCCGGATGTGGTCGTGGCTCTTGCTGCGTTCTTTGCTGCGATGTCCTCGGGCAGAAACTTTAGATGAAGAGGACGCATGGCCGCCAGGCGGCCGCACGTGCTTGAAGCCTTGGCAACGACACAGAAGAGGTTCGAAAACATCCTGGCGTGGCGGTTGTACTTGCCTGGGGGCGAACAGGATTTGGGATGAAGTTTCTGCGAGGGAGGAAAAAGTGTTGTATTAGTTTTCCATGGTCCGCCTCATTGCGAATGCTTTTCAGAGCCGGGTTGCAAGAGAATACTTGCTAATTTCTCATTTTAGTTTTTGTATGATTTGATTTAAAGTATGCGTAATAAGTATGCTTGCCTTGCAAATATCATTTTTGAACAATTGTCTATACGGAAAGAACATTTGGTAGATTCAACGCACAGCTGCCCTGTAAGCACATGTTTGTAGTCAGCCAAAATTCGGCGGGACGTGTTTGCTTTCCAGACCATGTTTCCTGCTCAGTGCCCTCCACTTGATGAATGGCATTTTTCCTTTCTGTACCGAGCATGGCTCCCGCAGGAAGAAGGCTTGGACGAAGGTGAAGGTGCATTGTGTTTGGGTTGCTGCCAGCCTCTGGTTTTGCTAGACATCCATCAGAAAATATGTTTTTGCACTGCGGCAATTTCCTGCGTTCAAATTTGCCCAGTGGGCGGGGATGCTGCAGCATGCAGGTCTGGGAGATTTGTAACCAGCCGATGAGCAGGCAGTGCGATGCCAATTTCGCGAGATGCTGGTTCATTTTCATTTTTTGTTGGTTGTGTATTGGAGAAACAAGCTTTGTATTCATATATGCGCGTTGTTTGTTGTATCTAGCGGGTGCTCGGCTTGAATTACAAGCCGATGCCATGGACTTTCACTTTGCAAAAGTGGAATTGCAATGCGGGCGCCCAGCGTTGAATTGGTTGCGAACATGTTGGTTGCCACTTTTGTTTTTCGAACCACAATATAATAAACAGATATGTGCGTCTGTGTCGCAGGGCCCGCTGCAAGCTGGGGCATGTCGACAAGAACGTCGGGCCAGCGAAAAAGAGTATTGGGCGCCAAGGGGCCCCGGTGGTATTTATCGTTGATGCTGTCAGCTTTAAAATTTTGCGGCTTCCATGGAATATGAAAAGTTGAACTCCAGAATGGCGCGCAGATTGGCACCATTAAATATGCGGTTTCCAGCTTCAAAATGCCGCAAGTAGCAAGGAAAGCGGGCATTTATTCAAGAAAAAGCCCAGGCGTTTTTTTGGTGGAAAAGGGTTGAGCAAGCAGCATATCAAATGATTCTTGTGAGGCAGATGGCCCGAAACTGTCACGACGCGGGTGTATTGATTTGTGCACATATGTCTTGAATTTTGGCTGTGTGGAGCGCCAAGCGGACACATCATGATCTCCGGGGGAAGGGAAAGCAGGAAGTACCATGCACGTTTCTTCGGCATATGTTGTGCCCGAGAAAAACAAACCAAATTTCTTGCTCGTTTCATGGCCCAACAAAACGCGTGATTAGTCAACAACAATGAGGACTGCATTGTCGACCATGCAGCATGTAACATGTTTCTTCATATTCTTTCGCCGTTGCCTTTCTTTAGCGGCCATGTTGGAGCCTGCTGAGCACCTTGGTATATCTTGGCATCAATGGTTGATTGACTTTGAGTCATCTGCAGATTTTTCTTACGCAGCTATATTGGGGACGCGCTTGTTTCAATCAACTCTTTTGCCACAAAGACCGGGGAGCGCCTGAAGGCGCATAGCTTCTGGCAGCTCCGCTTTGGCCAGAGAGGCGGCTGCAGTCGTGAGAACAATGATTTGGGTTGTCAGTGTAGAGTCGCCAAGTCGTGAAATACCTAAGAACACGCGTCCACTTTTATTGGACGGGGCTTCATCTTCATTAAGCAAAATTCCATGCCAGCGGGGATGCCACTGAAAGTTGGCCGTGCCAACGTGGGAGTTGCCACGAGGGTTCTCATCAATCCATCCAGCTGAGGTGGCGTTGTCAAGGTCAGCTAGGCGCTTGAGCTTCAATGCCAGAGGCCTAGGCTCATTCTTCCCTAAAGTTCATACATGTCTGCCTATGTCTGGCGACCTTTTGAAAGCAAGACGGCAAACTACACATATACCATATAGTTGCCACAAAGGCTAGTTGGAGCATTCCTTCAAATCATGTGCTGCTTTGTTTGCAGCTCGCTACTCCAAGGGCAAAACAAGATGAACCCAAATTCAATCAGGTAAAACACTTCTGTGAAACTAGTTATTTAAACAGTCTTGTACATTTTTTCCCTGTTGCCGGGCCAGTGCGCTGTAGACTGCGGACCGTGGAAGGGGGTGGAATGCAAAGTGCAGAGAATGAAGAAAGTGGAGTGTTGAGTGGGGGGTGTAGTGTGTAGAGTGTGAAGTGGGGATTGTGGTATGTAAAGCGTAAAGTCTGAAGTGCGAGGTGGAAAGTGTGAAGTGTAGAGCGTGGAGCGCGAAGTGTAAAGTGTAGAGTGCGGAGTGTAAAGTGTAGAGTGTCAAGTGTATAGCGCGGAGTGTAAAGTGTAGAGTGTAGAGTGTGGAGTCTAAATTGTAAAGTGCAGAGTGTGGAGTGTAGAGTGTGGAGTGTCAAGTGGTGTAAAGTGTACAGTGTGGAGTGTAGAGTGTAAAGTGTAAAGTGTCGAGTGTAGACTGTAAAGTGTGGAGTGTAAAGTGTACAGTGTAGAGTGTGGAATGCAAAGTGTAAATTGTGAGGTGTAAAGTGTGGAGTGTAAAGTGTAGAGCGTATGTAAAGTGTAAAGTGTAGAGTGGGGAGTGTAAAGTGTAAAGTGTGGAATGTAAAGCGTATATTCTGAAGTGGAAAGTGTAAAGTGTAGAGTGTGGAGTAGGGTGTGGAGCGTCAAGTGTAGAGTGCGGAGTGTGAATTTGTAAAATGTTGTGTGTAAAGTAAAAGGTGTAAAGTGCGGAGTGTAAAGTGTAAAATGTAAAGTGCGCAGTGTAAAGTGTAAAGTGTAAAGTGTGGGGTGTAAAGTGTTAAGTGTGGAGTGTAAAGTATAAAATGCGGAGTGTAAAGTGCACGGTGTAAAGTGTAAACTGTGGAGTGTAGAGTGTGGAGTGCCAAGTGTAAAGTGTGAAGTGTGGAGTGTAAAATTTAAAGTGTAGAGTGTGGAGTGTAAAGTGTAGAGTGTGGAGTGTGGAGTGTAAAAGTGTAAAGTGTTGAGTGTAAAGTGTAAACTGCGGAGTGTAAGGTGTAAAGTGTGGAGTGTAGAGTGTGGAGCGCGGAGTGTCAAATGTCAAGTGTAAAGTATAAAGTGCGGAGTGTAAAGTGAAAAGTGTGGAGGGTAAAGTGTGGAATGTGGAGTGTAAAGTGTAGAGTGTGGAGTGTAAAGTGTAGAGTGTGGACTGTCAAGTGTGGAGTGTAAAATTTTAAAGTGTGGAGTTTCAAGTGCAGAGTATGGAGTGTAAAATGCGAAGTGCGGATTGTAGAGTGTAACGTGTAAGGTGTAAAGTGTGGAGTGTAAAGTGTAAAAAAAACACGCAGCACGACACGTCTGAAGTGCTGCGCCTGCCACGCTAAATGACGATGGAGGTCTCCAAAGTGCTGCGCCTGGGACGAAAACTGCACCTCATCTTCTGACAGGGACGCGAAAGTATTGCGCCTGCCACACACAACGACTTTTGACACGTTGTGAAATATGACTGAATGTCACAAAGTGCAACGCCTGCAACGGGAAGCGAGGCTACGCGACGTTTGAAGCATCCAAAATGGACCCCTTTTGCAAAACTCGCCATAGGCGTGGCCATACGGGCCTCACGCGACCGCAGGCGGACAGTTGCGAACGGTTGCGCAACGTTTGGCGAACGCAGCCTCAACCCCCAAACCCCCAGAATGAAACGGGAACCCTTGCTACGCATTCGGGCAAAACATTTTGCCTCCACATGACAGGGTTGCCGCATGTCACTGAGGCCCGGCCGCGATGCTGCTTCTCTGCGGCGGCAGAGAAGGAAATTGGACATGAGGTGCAAATAGATGATTGTTCTCAATGCTTTGTTTGTATGTGTTGTTGGTCTGCGGGTCGTGGCACTGCACCTTTCTTGTTACGGGGGTAGTGACAACAGGGTTTGTGCAGGCGGCCGGAACCTTTGCAGTTACATATAATTTGTGGTGTAGTAGGTGCCACTGTGGCGGGGAATTGATTTCCGTGTTTCTGTATCTCTGCCGGGTTTTGCATTCTTAAAGAAGCATGACATGCTGCCACTAGGTGGGCGGTTTTGGCTTAGAGTACTTGTAAGTACTTGCAAGTGCTGTTACAACCAGGTCATAAGCTATTGTAAATTCCTTAAGTCAAGTCAGCTAAGTTTTTAAGTTGTTTTAGGGCACATACAACCTGCTTATAGGAGTTGGTCACTTGTATGTTTTGTAACTATTTTTTGTTAACTTCCTACAAAAATATAGTTTTCGAACTTATAACTAACTTAGCAAACTTAACTTTTTTGCATGTTCAAAACTTAGTCATTTTGTTTTCCTTTTTTCGTTATTTTTGATTATTTTGTTAACAGGATGTGTTTGGAACGCATGTGAAAAAATCTGTTGGAAAGCTATTTCTTGGCAAAGAATTGCTTTGAAACACTGCGGCTCATTGGACCACATCTGGATGATCCTCCTGAGGCTGCGGCTATGACCGCATCTAGCTCTTCGTCTTACAAAATCTTGAAGCCAATGAAGAGTATGGAGGATCAGGCCAAAAATGATGACCAGCACGGCAATGATGGAAAGAAGTTCCAGATGGGCCAAAAGGGCAGCAGGAAGAAGAACAAGAGCGGCAAGTAGGTTGTCGGCTGGTTTTCCAAAATTACAGTTTTGATTTCAGAGAAGCGGTGCCTGAAAAAAAATGCATTTCAAAACTCATCCATGGAATGATGAAAAATGCAAACGTTTACCCAAAGGAAGGTTGAGAAAGAGGGAAAATGTAGAATGTATAGAAATGTATCGGAATGTATCGGACAGAAAAAATGGAGTTATACATGTATAACTCGAAAAAAGATTGGAGTTACACATGTATAACTCGAACAAATGGAGTTATACATTCGTATACATTCCTATACATTTCATCCTTTTCGCAGGTTTTGGGGCAAAGGTTTTTGAAAGTCCATAGTTTTTTTGGCTTTTGTTTGACCAAAAAAATGCGGCTCCATGGGCCGCGATTATTGAAATCAAACAGTTCACATATGTTATAATCTGGGATTCAAAATTTGGCAGGTGCGGCACAATGGGCCGCAATCGTTCAAATCGAAGGGGATGCACGTCCCACAAAAGCACACTTTTTTTTGGGCACGCCAAGCAGCCTGAAAAGTGTCCACAGGTCACACTTCTGCTGGTGTTGTTAAATCATGGCCTGGTTTTACTACAACCGCAGCGGCTCATTGAGCCGCTATTTTACACATCAGGATCAGTAATAACTGTTCTTAAAGGTTGCCTTGCAGCATCATCAAATTTCTCTTTGGTGCGGTTCATGGAACCGCACACTAGCCAATTCAAGATTTTTTGGGAGAAAAATGAAAGTTATGTTTTCGACAGTGTTTCAAAAATAAGCTCAAAACATAATGCTTCCTGAAGCAACAAAAACTTGGAGAACTTGCTTGGAAGTTAAACTTAGGGAATTTAGCATTTAAATTAAAGAATCATCGGTTGCTAAGATTTCCAAGTTAACTTATAAGAAGTGCAATTGATTAAAGTTGTAGAACTTACTTATAACTTTCCTAAGCCAAAACTGCCCACCCAGCAGGTGAATCGCGTGCGCGAAATTCCGTCCCGTTTCGCAGGGGTGGCGGCAGGCAGGTGGTGACAAGATTTCTGGGCTAATTTTTGAATAAGAAAACTTGGGTTTGGATGACGAGAATTTGGGCGCGTTTCCATTGATTAGAGGCCCGCGGGCGACCAAATGGCTTTTTGGCAGGCCTTGGCAAAGTTTCCAGGGTTGATGCTCACATGCAGCGACAAAGGCCGGTGAATCGCACGTTCAGCTGCAGACAGGGCTTCTAGTCAGAAGAGGTGATCAGCATGCATTGCCGTGCACTGCCACCTGCAACATGTGACCCAAGTTGCTAGACTCGCCTCAAAAAAGGTGAATTGTTTGAAAAAGTTTGAAATTGTTGTTTCGCGAGTCAAAGAACCAGTGGAAACTAACCCGCAAGGAATGGTTGAATGTTCCGGCAGCCACGTTTCAGGACTTCGATGCTTTGTCTCATGATGTGTTTCATGGCGCAGAGGCACGGTCATCGTCGCCTAGTATAAATCTTCTCAAGCACTTGGTGAGTTTAGGTTCCAAATGCTGGTCTTATCAAGGAACGCGGTCAGCTCTCCATATGAGTAACCGACAAAATTATTGTAATACTAATCTAGTTTTGCTTCGCCTTGGCCGTGCTGAGGGGTTTGCCCGGGGTGTGCAAAACCTTTAGTTCTGATAGGGGACGACGGGACGACCCTATACTGACACTCCTGTTTTGCATGAATCGCTTTCAAACCTGAGGACGCAATATTCCTCACTACCAACAGGGGACGATGCTAATTTGCGCATGGCGTGGAAATGAGCAAGTAATTTTGTCTGCTATTCATATGATCAGCTGGATGTATATGTAGCAATGCCGGCAGACTGGGCCTTGAAAATAAATTTTCCTGGCAAGGTTGTGCCATGCAGGTAGACTTCTGCAGCAGAATAAAGGCCGCAAAGATGGTCGTAAGTTGACCTTGTGGATCGCTTAAGTGGAAGCATAAATGTTTCCCTGCCAGTCCCTGTGGTCATTTTACTGCGCCCGACCCCCAAAGCCGCAACATTCGCAACCGACAGGTTGGCCAATAAGAAGAGGCTGCCTTGTAGGGCGCAGGTCACTGCGGAGGCAAGACTTGATTGTTGGGTTGCAAAATTGAGCTGCGATAGCGCCACGCAACTTTTCATGTCAAAATCAGTCAGCGGTCCCATTACAGTCACGAAATTATTGAAGCCATTTATTTTTGTCTATTGGCTTGATTGAATTCAAACGTATTCAGCACCATTTTCCGCGTGGCAATCAGTTGATCACCTGTGACACCATACAGCATAGAGCCAGTGAAAAGACGAGTCATCTAGACTTTCTGCATTTCGGTGCTTATGGATTTGGAAAACCTAGTTGAAATCATGCTGTTGTTTCAAACTGTGGTTTCCAGTTTGGAACCGTGGCTTTGGTGAGTCGTCCGCCAAACGCTGCTAGGTAGCCAGCGCGCCAAGCGCAGACAGGACAACCTGGTCCTGGAGGAGTGCTGGGTTTGTGAGAAGGATACATGGATAGTCAAAGGGCAAACCTGCCGCAATCGTTTTTGCAGTGAGGGAAAAATCATGTTTCATAAGAATCCACACCGGACACTTTCATGGTGCTGACAATCCGGCGGTCAGCTGGGCCAGTCAACCAACCAGTGTCAGCGTTTCTCTTGCTGATAAATGATGATCATTTTTATCAGCATCCATGCCTACTCCGGGTATTTGTCAAAGGCCATGCATGGTTGATAAGTAGGGTGGGCGCACAAAGATTTGATTTCCATGCCGCACCCATTCAAAACGTCAGGCATCCAGGTTTTCTCCTTGGCGGTGCCATGTGGGAAAAACAATTGCAAAGCGGGTTTCATTTTTTGCAAGGATTAAAAATCATGTTTGCTACTGGTCCACGTAGCCCATGTGCAATCCTGTGGTTCCTTCAATTCTCGAAATTCAAGATACCAGCTGCGAGCTTATCCAACCGATTGAACAGGAGAGGCTTTTACATTCTCTTCTTGGTCACAACGTATGTTCTTTGCGATGTTTTGGTGTATTTTCGTGGTGAAATGGCCAGCACAGGCAAGGCAGTGGGCTGAGTTGAAAGGGCCCAAGTCATCGCGACTGGCTGGAAGATTTGGGCATGCACACAGATTGATAGCTGAACTGCTTGACAGGAGGTAGGCCATAGAACGCCGCAAAACGCGAAACATGCAGTTTCCAAAGTTCAGCCGGGTAAAAAAATGAAATCACCCACCATGACCCACTACGGAATAAGCAAAGTTGGATCCCAATCCTGTCGACTTTCAACCTAGGTGAAGGGTGTACCCAAACCCACTAGGGTTTGTCGTTTTTTCATGTTTGGAGGCCACCGTCAGCCTGTGTGAGGAAGCAAATTCGCGGTGTCATCTGTAGAAGGATCATGAGCATGAATGATTGTCTCCGAAAACAATTGATGCATCGGGTGTTTCAACAATACCATGGCGAATGTACTTACTTTTGTTGTGATTGTGTGTTTACCTTTTGTTTATTGCGCATGACCCCAGCTTCACCCCGCAACATACAACACATGCAGGCTATCACAAAGCGACTGTGCCAATTTGTACCTCCACTGTGTCTGTGGCCATAGGCGCGGCTTGAATGCGGGGGCATGCGAACGAAAGTTCTGCAAATATGAATGGCAACTCACAACCACCAACAACAAACAAACAAGCAAGCAAGCGAGCAAGCAAGCAAGCAGGCAAGCAAGCAAGCAAGCAAGCAAGCAAACAAGCAAACAAGCAAACAAGCAAACAAGCAAACAACAAACAAACAACAAACAAACAAACAAACAAACAAACAAACAAACAAACAAACAAACAAACAAACAAACAAACAAACAACAAACTCACCAAACACACCAAACACCAAACACACCAAACACACCAATCACACCAAACACAACAAACAAACAAACAAACAATCAATCAATCAAACGAACAAACAAACAAACAAACAATCAACAACAAACAACAACAAACAACAACAACAAACAACAAACAACAAAGAACAAACAATAAACAACAAATAACAACAACAACAAACAACAAACAACAACCAACAACCAACAACCAACAACCAACAACCAACAAACAACCAACAACAACAACAACAACAACAGCAACAACAACAAGAACAACAACAACAGCAAAAGCAACTAGCAACACGCAGCCAAAAAACGACCACACAAACCACAACAAATACACACAACAACCAAACAACCAAATAAAAGGCAAAACAACCCAACGACACCCCACCAAACCACCCACTCAACCCACCACCCCCCACAAAACAACCATACAAATCCACACAACCCCCAACAACAAGAACAACAACAACAAACAACAACAAACAACAACAAACAACAACAAACAACAACAAACAACAAACAGCAAACAGCAACAACAACAACAACAACAATATCAAGAAACAACAGCAACAACAACAACAGCAACAGCAACAACAACAACAAAAAAGAGCAACAAGCAACAAACAACACACAACACACAACACACAACACAACAACAACAACAACAACAACACAAACAACAACAACAACAACAATCAAAACCCCACGATGACACAACCAACACACAACAACAAACAGCTAGCAACAGCAACAGAAGCCCCAGCACAACAGCAACAACAACAACAGCAACAGCAACAACAACAACAAAAAAGAGCAACAAGCAACAAACAACACACAACACACAACACACAACACAACAACAACAACAACAACAACACAAACAACAACAACAACAACAACAACAACGACAACGACAACGACAACGACAACGACAACGACAACGACAACGACAACGACAACGACAACGACAACGACAACGACGACAACAACAACAACATCAACAACAACAACAACAACAAAAAACAAACAACAACAACAACAACAAAACCATTAACAACAACAACAACAACACCAACAACAACAGCAACAGCAACAGCAACAGCAACAGCAACAAAAAACAACAAACAACACGCAACAGCAAACCCAAACAAAACAAACAAAACAAACAACCACAACCAAAACAACAAACACAACAACACACAAACAACAACAACAACAACAACAACAACAACAACAACAACAACAACAACAACAACAACAACAACAAGAACAACAATAACAACAACAACAACCACAACAACAACAACAACAACAACCACAACCAACAACAAACAACAACAACAACATCAACATCAACATCAACATCAGCACCAACACCAACAGCAACACCAGCAACAACAACAACAACAAACAACAGCAAATAACAACAAACAACAGCAAACAACAACAAACAACAACAAACAACAACAAACAACAACAAACAAACAACAACAAACAACAACAAACATTAACAAACAAACAACAACAAACAACAACAAACAACAACAGATAACAACAAACAACAACAACCAACCAACCCACCAACCAACAAACCAACAAACACACAAACACACAAACAAACAAAAACACAAACACACAAACACACAAACAATCAAAAACACAGACAGACAGACAGACAAACAAACAGACAGGCAAACCAACAAACGAACGAACGAACGAAGGAACGAACGAACGAACGAACGAACGAACGAACGAACGAACGAACGAACAAACAAACAAACAAACAACATCAAACAACAACAAACACCAACAAACAACAACAAACAACAACAGACCTACCAACCAACCGACCAACCAACCAACCAACCCACCCACCCACCAACCAACCAACCCACCAACCAACAAACAAACAAACAACCGAGACAGACACCGATGTCGAAAGAAATTTGCATTTTCCGTGGTGTCTTTGCATGTGTATTGCAAACCCAGCACGAAGGGAGGGAAGACACCACTTGTAACTACTACATACACAAGACAGCAGGCACCAAAACAACAACTGCAGAGATTGTATCGACACGAATCAACCAGATAAGACCAATCCACTGCGTGGACGGAAACGCGGATGTCTTGCAAGCAACTGTGGCGTTTGGGCCCCAATCAGTCCACAAGGGGATTGATCACTTTGGTTCCAGTTTGGTCATGGGGCCTAAGGCAAATTTATCTAAAATGATAGGGGCCAAAATTTACAATTTAGGGCGCCAAAGATTTTGGTCCATGTTCATTTCAATATCCCATATCGGAGTAGTTCCCTAAATTTCACGCTTGCCCAAAAATTGACCCCCCATTTTCTGAGGTGCTGTTTGGGCTTGGTGGTCTTTGGGTTGGAGGCACGAAAATGCCAGACATTTGACGGGAGTGACGTGTCAAGACTGAATAGCTGTTAAAAGAACGGGTTTGAAATTCCTCGCCTGCCAGGTGAGCGTCTCTAGATTTTATATATATGATTTTATCAGAGTTGCGTCTTTCCTCCTTCCTCCTCCTGTGTCAGAACAACGGGAAGTTGTTCACTTTGCAGTCATTTTCAATTTTGATTGGTTCTTGGGAAGTTTGGCAGAAACCACCACACTTGAGGTTAAGGTTTGGAAAATAGTTGTTCTGATCCTTTGCTTGTGTTGGTTTTTGGAGCCATTTGTGATTGTGCAGTTTGTGAGAGGTGAAGGGGCAATGGTGAGGATTCAGAACAGTGCAGGAAGTTGTTCACCTTGCAGCAGTTTTGAGTTCTGATTGTGCGAGGTTCTTGGAAGACGGGTTGCGGTAACCAACTTGGTTTCATAGATAGGTCACTGTTGGGGCACACTCTGGATAGAATGGTTTGCTTTTTTTGTGGCTGGTGGTTGCGGTGCAGCTTGGAAATTGCAACCTGTTTGCCCTGGTGGTGCAGATCGTTTCTTTGCCCGTTGTTTCCGCACGTTTCTGCTAGGTGGTGGGAATGCTTCACCGTCTGGACGAAGGCCGAGAGCTAGGCCATTCCCGCAGTGATGAGGGGGGTACATGGTAAGCCACGTAACATAAGATGTCGGTGTTGGATGAAGCACCTTTATTGTCAAATATGAGCAACCAATAAAACTAGTGGAAGATGAAAGTAGTAGGGATTGGACTTCGGATGGTCAAGTTTGCGTGATCACATTCATAACCGATAGAGGACCATCCACTTATATACCGATACCCTGTTTTTACACATAGGATTAAAGTACAAACCTTCACAACCAACAGGGGCCACCTATTTTGGCCATGTCCATTGCGATTGCGGTTTTTGAATTTTTATGACCCTTGACATGCGGTGAATGTTTTTGTTCATATCCCTGGAACGTGTATAACCAATCTTAAACTATATAATTTGGTCTGGTATCATGTTAGCAATATGAAACCCACAGTTGATCACACTGACTTCTCTAGCCAGGAAACCCGCAAGCGGCAAAGATCACCAAAGCAAAAAAGAGAGAAGGAGGCAGGAATGGAAGTTGAAAAACGCTGAAAGGGTATCGCTCTATACAAAGTCAATCATAATAAGAAAATAGCGACGTTGAACAATTGAATATATAGCCTTCCTTGCACTGTAATTTCCACAATGTAGTTATATACCCATCACAAAATTTTAATAAACTAAGCCAGACAGAGAGTTTGGTTGGAATCGGTTCAACTTCATCAACATTTTAGGCACGCTTTCTTTTTTTATTCCCGGGTGTGATCAGCATGTTGCCGGTCTCTTGCCCGCTAGGATCTTGGTTTCGCAGCAGAAGCGTCACGCGATGAGGAGATTTAGGAGGATCAGCAGGCAAGGTGTTGATGACAGGGATTTGCTGGTCAGTTTGTTCTATCAATCAATCCTTTTCATTCATTTTCTATTTCAGGGTTTTGGATTTTGTGTTTTCTTATGCATTTCGAGATCGCTCTCTTTTCACCAATGTTAAAATCCAGGCCGGTCCAAGGTAGGGACGTTTCATTGCTAATTGAGATGCTAAGTGTCAGCGGAAGCTAAAAGGTACCAACAAACAAACATCCCACACTATGGAAAGAAAATCGGCTTCAAATCAGATGTGGCTTGACCAAATAGGGTAACGTTCTTTGCTTCTGAGAATGTTGTCGTCCCCTGCCCGACTGTAGGCGGCGTCCATTCAAGAGCCGAAGGCCAGATAGTCATATTCTTGGATCTGGCAGACGCGTCTGAAATAATCAGCGTCAGGAGCTGTCCTCATCCCCGTGTGTGGGGGGTTGCGGTTGCACCCAAATTACATGTTTAGGGCCATGCTTATATGTTGGAAGGTTGTAAATCCGAGGGTTCCTGGGTAAGCGCGGCCTAGGTTCGATGGAGCCCATGTCTCTTGCTAGCGGTGCTTCTTTTGGGGATCCAGCACATGAATTTGAAATCTTGAACGCAATCCAATAGTCAGTGCCAACATGCGGAATCACCTCAGAGCTGCCCCTACCGGTTTTTGAGTAGGAGGACAATTCCCGTTCGTGCTGGCAATCTTTTCTTTTTCCTGACCTTGTGCACGAACATTTTGGTATTTTCAACACTGAAGGGGGCTGCCACATAAAAGCAAAAACATATTCCGCAATCCAGGGTTTGCAGCCAAAGAAAAGCATGGAGCACAGTAAAACTCACATTGTCGAACAGAACTTGGAGCAGGAACTCCTCTATCCCACTGCTGATGTTTTTGCCCGGTGTTATGTAAAATGAAATCTTCCGCGAAAGCAATGCCATATTTCCAGCATGCAAAGCAAAATAGAAATGTGGCAGTTTGATTGCTTCGGAGCAGAGGGCTTGTCATACCGGTGCACGCTCCATTCAGAGATGGTTCACACCCGAAATCTGTCTACTACTACAACTACTGCAACTACAACTGCAACTACAAGTACAAGTACAACTACTGTAACGACATTTAAATATGTGGAGGGCGGCCAGACCGCGAGGCCCTGGAGGTAATATGAAATACCAGTTCGTATATTTAAATGTAGTTGCAGTATGTTGAAATGAATTGGTTTCCGTATGTTTAAATGGCTGTGCGGGGCAAGGAAAACCTTCCCGGAGGTAGTCTAAAATACCGGTTCGTATATTTAAAAATCCGTATATTTAAATGTAGTTACCGTACAACTAACAACGACTACAATGACGCTGCTACGCTACCACTTACTACTGAAGCCTGTTTTTAAAGGTGTCTTTGTCGGAGCTTTGGTTTTGCCGGTATAGCAGTTGTATGTATTCAATTCAATTGGTGGGATCAATCATGTTGAATTTGACCACCCTAGAAGTCGTTTTTCCATTTGCTGACCCGCGTCGCTTCCTGTAGGCCGCGCTACAGGCGTCGCCGCCTCAGTTTCGGCTTTGAGATGGACAGACATAGAAACGAGATGTTTATGGGGATATTTGGGTCTTGGTACGACCATATCTTCACAATTTCTGGCAATGGTCAGAAGCCTAAAATGTTCATCCCCCGATTTACCTAACGCCTTTCTTTGCTGCTGGTTCGGTCAAAGGCATTCGCCGACAAGAAACCCGCGTGACGCTTGGCTTGGCAGGCAAGGGTTTCCCAGTGCACGTAGCCATCATAGAGCCAAACAGTGAATGCACAATCTTTCATCCATTCATTTGGCCAGGCAAAGCTGCTTTCCTTGTAGCTCGATTTCACGGCAATCTGCTCCGAGGCTGCTTCGCGGCTTGCTTCTTGCACTTTCCCCACAGAATTCAAATTAATGCATGTGTTTTCTTTAATATATCTATACGTATATATATATAAAGCATGTTGCTATATACACATTAAATGGCTTTGAAGAGAGGGGGAGGGAGAGAGAGAGAGAGAGAGAGACAGAGAAATAGATAGAGAGATAGTTCACAACAAAACCCATAAGGTGTGAGGGCGTCAGCCTGCAACTTTAAACTTTAGCTTGCATCTGGTTTCTTGCTCCACGGCAGCTCTGTTGCCCTCAAGCCTCGTTTTGCTTTGACACCCGACTTCGGTTTAGAGGCAGCCATGAAGGCAAATGTGGCATGTATGCTTTTCTGGGGCCTCTTGTTCCTCCAGCGCGTACCCTGTGCAAGCAGAGGCTGTCAACCCATGCCTTCCATGCCCTTGCTTAGCAGGGGTGTTCATGGCACTTGTTGTGTGCATAGTGCCTGTGAGAAAGGGGGAAGTGAAAGAAGCAGAAGCCCAGCCAGAGCTGGAGCATCTGGGGGAGTGGATCAATCCCAGGGCTGTGACTGGCCAGGGCCCACCTACTGAGCCTGGGATGACATTGTGGGACTTCAACCGAGCAGAAGTGGAAGAGCGTCACATGGGGAGAAAATTGGACTGCGAGTTTTTGCTGATGGAAATTCCCCTGACTGCATTCCACATTTTTAACTTCGCGTTTTTGGGAAGTTCGAGGCAGCTACAATGATGCCAAAGATTTCCCTGCCGGGCTTGAAATTGCCACCTCCCCTTGGATCCTTAGAATCCTAGGGCAGCTTTGGCGCACATGTTGAAGGCTTGCCTGTCAGATTGTGGGCCTACAGGGCCCCCAATCTTGGCCCCTCCAACCAGCAATGCTGGGTGCCAAAAAGTGTTAGCCAAAGCTGCTAGGACCATTTCAGGGCAACAGCTGGCAGATGCACTTGGGCAAGTGTTGCAGGGTCTGGATGCAAGCTGCTGATCATGAGGTACAGTATGGCATGAAACTTCCAAGTTAGGAAGTCTTCAGGCTGATGCTGGCAGCCAAAGATGCCATGGCTGAGGAGGTAGACCCATTGACTTTGCAAAGGATTTGGAGGTCCAGATCGCAGTGGGCACTGCGGGACTTAAACTGCGAGCCGACAACCGCGAGCTCCAGATCTCAGTGGGCACTGCCGGACCTCAACCAAACGCCAGATCCCAGTGGGAATGCCAGATAAAATGCCAGAAAGAATGTCAGAATATATGCCAGGTAGTTCACAGAAAAATGCCGGATAGAATGCCAGAGAAAATGTTAGAATAGATGCCAGAAAGGATGTCAAATACGATGTCACAATAGATGCCAGATATAATGCCAGAGTAGATTGTCAGATAAATTGCCAGAAAAGAATGTCAGAAAATATATGCCATATATATATATATTTCCAGATGAGCTCAGATCTATGACATAATAATGTCACGGTGGGGATTACTCGATGTGAAGTAATTTGAAAGATGTTTTTTTTTGTGGGGGACCCACCACTGCTTGTAACCATGAAGTGGTGAATTGTTTTGCAAAATAACCTTGCCTGCTGGGGATGTGTTCGCGCCCAACAAAAATTGGGCCCTGCAGCGTGCATGGCCAATTCGGGCCACGCAGTGGCAGATACATTTTATTTAGATTGTTCATTTTCGCTACCTCCCCGATATGAGATTTGTAGTTATTTAAGTGTCGAGAGCGCTTTTGCCAGTTTGTAAAGAAACACATTGCCCGCATGATGCAGAAGAAAATATTTTAATCACCGCTGGCAACCACAAACATGGCAACGTCTTTTCAGTTGTGTGCTACAGATTTCCAGTTTCAGCTGTATTTACTCAGGGGGTTGCGCGAATGCTTCGCTCCAAAAAATGCCTGCAACCCGGGCGTTTTAGATGAAGCTGATGAAATTTCGGTCCAGGCATTCTTTGAAGACAGATGAAGTTGCGACGTTGCGGGCCTTGTGGTTTTCTGTTCTCCACCCGGGAAGAAAAGATTTTTTCTGCATTTTTTGCGCCAAAGCTTGGTGTGATATTTGGTTGACCGAAAAGGGGCGACAATCCATGATTGACCGGCCTGGTCCCTTTCTTGACATGGTCCTACATGGGTCACTAAGCCTACCGGCCTACACAATTCTGAGGTTTTCAATTTCTGGGTAGTTGGCGCTTCATTGTCGGGGATCCTTGAATGCCGGCATACAGAATGAGGCTACAAGGGGGTTACTAATGGCCCCTCTGTTTTGGGAAGGCTATTATGATATCATCTAGCGCGTTTGTATTTGTTCAGAGAAAATTTGGAATGATGCGTGAGTTTGCCTGCTTACCAGAGCTGTGTCCAAATGTTTCCAGTTTAACCATGACAGGTGCACACTCCTGTCAAAGGTTCTGGTACCGTTTCTCCAAATCGTGTTGCAAAATCAAGTAAAATTCGACATGAATTTTGAGCACCATGTGAGGACAGCGTGCGTATTTGATCAGGTAATTTTTTGGGGGGATTTCTAGCCTATCTAATGGTTGTTCCCAAAGCCTTCTTTCCGTCGTTTGTGTTTCTTTTGTTTCCTGAGGTGTTTCTCGCTTTCAAGCATTGCGCTGTTGAAAGCCACTTTGGCACTTGCAATTCATTTCAGGCCTTGGTGATGTGTCGAAGTTGGCATGTTTTTTCAAAAACATGATCAACAAACCAGAGGCTGTTTAATTGGGGTAGTACCGTTTTAGCAGCGTTGGGGTGGGCCTCGTTTTTAAATAAGAGTTCATCAATCAGGGGTTGACATTCCTCAGCATGCTCAACATATGGGGGTCCCAGCACCAGTTTCTTTGATTTTGATTCGCCCAACTTTCTTTTGGCTGCATAGAATGTTTTCTGAAGCGTGAATTGTCCGAATCATTGTCCAGTTTATCGTATTTTATCAAGTCAGGTCAAACTGTTTGTGCCATTTATTGGACGCTTCCAATTTAGGCTAAGACATTCTAAGGCCTTTGTCCATTTGGATGCTGCTTTCATCAAGCTGGTGGGACAGGCACCTGGGTACAGGAGTCTTAGATGCTGCTTGGGGTTTCTCCGCTGGTTTGCATTTGGCCCCAAGAAGCCAAGAAGCTGCAAAACCTAGCTTGCTCCCATTATGCAGAGGGGTAACAAAGCAGTACATAGCATGTTGGCAGCCAGGCTAGCCAACTTATGACAGGGAAGTTGGGGTTTGGGTTCAATAGTTTGCTCAAGAGGCATACCTAACCCATCAAAACAATGATGGGAATTGTCCCCAAACTGTTGCTTAAGACATTTTCCACTGGATGGCATTGAAGAAACACCCTTGTTGCTTCGATGCATGTGGCAAGTTGTTGTTCTTTTGCAGGAGGGTTTTCAGCAGACCCCTTTTTGTCGCAAACTCAAAACCAATCAACGAAAGCCCTTCAAATCCTATTTGTTCAGTTTGAAAAAAGTTTACATCCGTGGAAGCCCCATTAGCAAAAACAATGACATGAAATTTCGTACATGTCCAAAAAATCTGCCATGAAAAACAGATATGCAGCAGTCACCAAAAAGATGTTAACAAATCTAAAACCGTACAACCTATCCTTTTGGTTCCTTTTGGTTGTTTTTGCTATAAACAAGAGCGCCCGTAATTCCCCATCACTTTCTCTCGAGTTTTTAATTTGACAGCATTTTAAAAACATAAAAATTCCAACATTTGTCATGGCTATCCTGTTCTTAGAGCATTTCGGAGCTATGGGTGTCCATATTATCCCAAAGAGATGGGTGGCCGTGCAGAGCACCGCAGGTCAAGCTGCCACTGGCAGCCTTGGTCTCCACCTTCCTGTTGAGAACAAGGTTGGGTGCTGACCGCTTTCCACGACTGTCGGGGCGTGATCCCATCCACATCCCATGGCCCCCTATGAATGCGCAAATTCCTACATCCATCATGGTTGATATGTGGGGTGTTCAATATGAACGGCGGAAGTGAAGATAGGAATGTGTTACCAGGACCCAGGCGTCCAACTTTTCTAATCTATTTGGGGTTTTCTATGGGACCGTCAACCAAAGGGGATTCAATGCAACTCCTTTCAGACCTTTCTGAGGCACGGGCAATATGTGAACGTCAAAAATAGGGATGCAACCAGCGAAGAATAGGAGAGAAAACCATGAACCGACGGGAATTTAAGGACTTTGGGTTGGTATAGCCACACAACTGCATTTTATTGGTGAAACTTTTTCTTAACCAGTTGCTTTAGGGTACCCTATTGTTTAGCTTGATCCAAAGGGGCTCCAGGGATGGTTTCTATAGAGGGTGGACGGGGCATGACGTAAACAGAAACTATGTCTAGGCGTAAGTAAAAACATATGTGAAACATAAACGAAACATATGTGAAACGTATATGAAACATATGTCAAACATAAGACAAAACATATGTGGAACGCAACGAAACATAAATGGAATATAATTGAAGCATAAGTGACACATAAAGCAAAACATGTGTGTGAAATTTGCAACATATGTGAAACATGAGTTGGCCGTCCCCCCTGTGTCAAGCAGTTGCCAATTTGAAATCCAAACCTGGTACAAACCTGCAGCCAATGTGAAACTGATGTCTCCCACATGTTTCACATATGTCTGACATACGTTTTGTTTGCGCAGCACTTGCGTCAGGCAAAAGTCTAAGATCTTATTCTGGGAAAATAAGATCTTAGGATTTTGACATACATAAAAAACACAAGCGAAACACAAACAAAACACAAACAAAACATAAACAAAACACAAATGTAGCATAAACTTGTTTATGTTTTTTTGTGTTCTGTTTATGTTTTGGTTTATTTTTTGTTTATGTTTGATTTGCTTTTTTGTCGATGATTTGCGTATGGCCTTATTTTTATTTTTTTTGTGCTTTTTTATCCTTGTTTGCACAAAAAAACATAAGAATAAGGCCTTACGCAAATAATTGACACAAAAAACACAAACAAAACATAAACCAAAACATAAACAGAACACAAAAAAACATAAACAAGTTTATGCTACATTTGTGTTTTGTTTATGTTTTGTTTGTGTTTCGCTTGTGTTTTTTTAATGTATGTCAAAATCCTAAGATCTTATTTTCCCAGAATAAGATCTTAGCCTTTTGCCTGACGCAAGTGCTGCGCAAACAAAGCGTATGTCAAACACAAGTGAAACACAGAGCAAACATTGTGTCACATAACTCCGCTCACCTCCAGAGAAGATGGAAACACGTGCGCGACAGTTGGGACACATGACTGCCAGAATGGTTTGTGGATTCATTTGTGTTTTGCTGATGAGTCGTTTTATGTTTTATTGTGGATTCACTTGCGTTCTGTTTATGATGAGTTTCCGATGTGTTTATGATTCACTTGTGTTTGCTTTTTTGTTGCGTTTACGTTGTTTTATGTTGGTTCTTTACGTCTTTGGTTTATGTAAGGGTCTTAGCCTCAGATCTGGTTCCTATAGACGAAGCCCTTTGGGTTTACCTAACCTATTGTCAAACAGACCCATTTATATAGATGATAACATGATGATACGGAGATTCAACCAGTCAAAATATGCCGAGTAAACGACCGTAAGATTGGGATATAACACGCATAGAATCTGCACGTGGGTTTGACACAATATTTGCTGCAGACACCGAGAATGGGGTTCCACGTGCTGAGACAACCCTGAGCGGCAAACAAATTTGAACATGGGTGCGAGTCAAAATCTGGATTCCAGAAAGCCATGGATTTTGTAATTAGCCTTTATCCATCGGTTTGGGGTATTGACATTTCAATGAAAATTACGTGTAGAATAAGCCAGCCAAAGAGCCATATAAGTTTCAATCAGGGGAGCTTGATATGCGCATATTTGGGGATTGGCCACGTTTGGGGCACCAAGGGACTTACAATTTTGGTTCTTTTAAATTAGTTTGCTGCATATATATATATATATATCCATGCACGTTTGATGGCTTGTAATTTCCGCAGCCATACCCACTTGGCCTCAACATCCTCAACTTTAGCAAACAGTTTTGGAAAGATTTGTCACTTGGAGGTATAGCTTGTCCGAGTGGTTCTCACTGCTGATCCTTTTCCTTGCCTGTGGCGCTTTCAAGGCGGGTTCCATGCCAATGAACACGTCGCAGCAATTGGGAGCACATAAGTTTGGGCGCCCCCCAAATATATGACACACCCAAAACACTGAGGGTAGTAAGCACATTGTTGTTGAAACTAGTTTATTTGGTCCGGTGGTTTTGTTTCTGTGGTCCTTATGACTCTGCTCCCCTTGTACCGTGCAAACTGTTGACTAAATCCACATGTTTCATGGGGGTTGCAGCGTTTGCAGCCAGTTGTATCACTAAGGCAATGTGATAAACCCAGCGGTAATCTACCAAGCGTCATCACCATTGGGGCGCTATTCTGAACCATTGCATGAACATGATTGAAAATGGGCAATATTTTAAAGAATCATATCGTATGTGTGGGTTATACACATTTTTTTGGTTTTGGTTACCTTTACGTTTTTTTAATTTTATGACGTTTCCTAAAATGGTGTGATCACCACAACTATGGGTGTCAATAGTAAAATTGTCTAATTTTGAATGATTTGGGGTTACCACCATTTCAGAAACCGCCTGATAGTAAGTGGTTCAACTGCCTTTTTGTCAAAACCATTTGCGGAGTAGCGCAAGCCCCCACAGCTCGCTCACCATCAATGACTCGATGACGTGTTAGGCAATGACGATAGGAGGGGGCGACGCAACGACCTCAGCAGTGACCCATGTGGCTACTTGTAGGTGAATCCAAGGCATCACAAGTGGATAAACAGCATATTTTACCCTGCGTTAGTTTTATCAAATTGACTATACTTATATGTGCTGGTTAGAAGCCACATACTAATTGGGATGCACATCGAAGTACAAGCCAAAGAAACCCTCAGGTACAAGAGGGTCTAGATGGTCTACTCAGGGTTCCAAAAAATAGAGGTCTGAAATGGTCACTTTTTCATTCTAGACCTTGGCAACCTCATCATTTTAGACCCCCTCCAGGGGGTATATGACTAAGGACTGGTGACACCACCCTAGACCTTTGAAAAAGGGCCTGCTAAAATGCTGTTAGAACCTCCCTCGCCTTTTCATATCATACTTGAACTTCACTTTCATTTGGCCTCTCATGTTTGGTCTGATTCCCAAGCAAGATATCCATAGATATTCATATCCTCAACTGTTTTCAGAAACCACATTGAACTCAATGAATCGTTTGGACCCCAGAAAAGATTCAACACAAAATGTTCATCTGATGGAACTCCGTGGATCTGAAATTGATTTCCCTGGCTCTTATTGTACCCTTTCCGACCCGTCAGGTTTGAAGGAAAAAATATCTGGAGTAAGTTTTTGAACTGCTTTCATACGAAGTCCCATATACATGAATCTTACAATGGCAAACCTTTTGACATCTTTTGACATGTTTCCCAAGCCTCCTCGGCTGCAACAGATGGGCGATCAAAATGAGGCATGCTGGAAATGATTGGAAACGTCGCATAGCCAACCCCACTTGACACGGGGCCGTACAACCCCCAAGACACAGAAGCTTTGGGACTGTGTCTGGCTTCAAAAAATGCCATGGCTGCCATGCGTGAAAATTTTTAGATTGTGGCTGAACGGCAGACCCACGTTACAAAGGTCTAAAGTCTAGAGTGGATTTCTTTGATCCGACCTTGCGGGTTCCCACCGGCACTTGCTAGAGAACATCATTGCAGACACTCTTGGACTCTTCGACCAACAAACATCAGGAAATGAAGAAAATAGAGAATAACAAGCGACCAAGTTGATGGTTCTCGTTCCAAATCTGCAATGATTGACTGTGGTTCCAGGCCATTCTCCGTCTTTGCCGCTTTCTTGGGTTGGCCGTTGGCCTGCGGGAATGAATGCCGCAACCAGAAGCGTTGCAAAGGGAAACATGTATGAACGTCTACGAATATGTGCAGACAGTGTCTGAACAAAAGATCCAAGTTGAAAAGGTCTAGAATGGAGTTCTCTGATCCTACCATTCTTGTTCCAACCAACATTTCGCAGGGAACATCTGTGCAGACCCTCGCACATGCCCTAACATACCGCCTTGGACTCTTCGACCAGCTAACATTAGTACAAGTGGCAGGCATCCACCAGCAAATTCCCAGGCCTTCATACACCAAACTTTCCACCTCAGTGTCATCAAACTGAACGAGGCAAAAACTATTGAACGATATATTGTGAGCTTATTGTGTGGCATGGCCCTGTCCAGGGGGTCTAAAATGGTCGTCCCACATCCCCAGCCACCATGTGAGAGAGACAAGGGTATAGTAATTTTGCTATAGGCCCGCGCAAGACAGCAAAACCGTCAACCATCGTCAACCCACCAGCTCACCGGCAGCAGCATCTTTGTCAGCGAATGCCATTGTCAGCATGTGCGTCCTGATACTTGAAACATCTGGAACATGTTTTTCATGCCACAGCAAGCTGGATCTGCATGGGTGCAAAGGCCACTGCTGGAAAGGTATAGATATTCAGCGGGCGATGATCTTGCGCCATCATTCCCTAGACATGTGACCTTCTCACCCTCTGTGCCTTTCGAACCCAGCCTTCGTCGTCAGTGGCTTCGGACCTGACCACCGCTGCGCACACCCAAACAAGCAGCATGAATTGCAGCCCCAACAGTGCAGAGCGCACCTAAGAGCCCTGGCAACAGGCACAAAATGAGAAGGGGTACCTCTCTTGAATCCATGGCAAAGCTTTTAACGAACGGCTGGGAAATAAAGCCGTTGACGGCCGTTGAGTCAAACAAGCTACAAAGAGAACACGGCACGATCAACCGTTTACAAAAATCCTGTGACAACCTGTTGAAATTTTGTAAAGCAGAGCGCTACAGCACAGAATGCGTTCTTGTCACAGTTTGTGGCTTCTGTTGACTATGGGGGTGACCATACAGGTGGCTGTCCCAGGCAGGAAGTGGCTGACACACTTCATACCTTGTGGCTGGTGCAGAGAAAAGAAGGCTTGGAAACCCCAGATGTCCAAAATGAAGTTCCCGGTCCCCAATATTTCCAGCAGTTCTAACATGGATTTTTTAGCCACTGGTATCGCTGTGGACTTTGTGGGTCTAACATCTTTCCGGGTTCTGCTGTTTACACATAAGGTTTATCATTTCAGACCCACCACAAAAGGTCCCTGGCTCGCACTTGAGGTTTTACTAAGTACGAGTCAAAGTTTATCAAAGGAAGTTGGGAAGCAATACTTCCGAGGTACGGACAAATAGAATTCTGAGTCTTGAAATGATGAAGGGTGCTGCGCGATTGACACTTGACCTTGAAGGGTGGTGTGCGATTGAGACTTGACCTTGAAGGGTGGTGCGCGATTGAGAAAGGGTGGTGCGCGATTGACACTTGACCTTGAAGGGTGGTGTGAAGGGTGGTGTGCGATTGAGACTTGACCTTGAAGGGTGGTGCGCGATTGAGACTTGATCTTGAAGGGTGGTGTGCGATTGAGACTTGACCTTGAAGGGTGGTGCGCGATTGAGAGTTGACCTTGAAGGGTGGTGTGAGATTTCACATGACCCTGATGAAGGGTCGTTGCAGATCGGATTGAGACTTGACCTTGAAGGGTGCTGCGCGATTGAGACTTGATCTTGAAGGGTGGTGTGCGATTGAGACTTGACCTTGAAGGGTGGTGCGCGATTGAGAGTTGACCTTGAAGGGTGGTGTGAGACTTCACATGACCTTGATGAAGGGTGCTTGCAGATCGGATTGAGACTTGACCTTGAAGGGTGGTGTGCGATTGAGACTTGACCTTGATGAAGGGTGGTTGCAGATCGCATTGTAATGGGTGCATGAATGTTGCGTGGTCTATGTTTTGGGGAGGAAGCCGGAGCACGAAACCTTGTGTTTTTCCGTGTAAAGTGGCTTCAGCCGGCGATGAAAGGTACCTCGTGTGTGCGGCGGTTGCGGTTTGGATCGTTTCGAGTTCAATCGGTTCCTCCTATGTGTTTGCAACGAGTGGTTGTTCCTGTGTGCGTAGTTCTATGCGTTTCTTGACGCTGTGGTGGCAGATCGCATTGGAATGGCTGCATGAATGTTGCATGGGCTATGTTGTGGGGAGGAAGCCGGAGCACGAAACCTTGTGTTTTTCCGTGTAAAGTGGCTGCAGCCGACGATGAAAGGTACCTCGTCTGTGCGACGGGTGCGGCTGCGGTCGTTTTGTGCGCGAATTGTTCCTCCTATGTGTTTTGCAACGAGTGGTTGTGTCTGTGTGCGTAGTTCTATGCGGTTCTTGAATCTCTGGTTGCAGATTGCATTGGAATGGCTGCTTCATTGTCGTCATTTGATGTTGCCACGTGCGTAGATAGGTGCGGGTTTGCCACGGGATGTTGCGAAACGCATTGTAATGGCTGCATGCATGTTGCATGGGCTCTGTTTTGGGGAGGAAGCCGGAGCGCCAAACCTTGCGTTTTTCCGTGTAAAGTGGCTGCAGGCGACGATGAAAGGTACCTCGTGTGTGCGACGGGTGCGGCTGCGGTCGTTTTGTGCGCGAATTGTTCCTCCTATCCCAATAGATCAGGTTAGGTTATTTTCTGCCTAAAAGGTAATTCCTTATTTCCTACCTAATTTGATACTTTTTAAGGTTGCAGAATAACCTTTCTTAAGGTTATTTACTTTTTTTCTTAAGGTTATTTACTTTTTTTCTTAAGGTTATTTACTTTTTTTCTTAAGGTTATTTAATTATTTGAAGGGTTTTGTTAAAGGTATTTTCTCCTTTTTGTTTGAAAAAATGTCTTAAAAATGTGTGTTTCCCAAGATTTTTGTTATATTTTTGCATGTAGGAAGTAGGATTACTTTGTGTCAAGACTTTGTGCAGATAGGATTACTGTTAGTTTTTTGTGGAAAGTTGTCACACTGGCCCAAGCTGGCTTCAAGACTTGCTTGGAAGTTGGAAGACATGACACCACATGGCAGAGTTTGCACATGTCATGGCTGCCTATTTCAATGTAGTCACACATGGACATTGGTCAGGCAAATCATGTTTGACACACAGGAAATGGCAAACATACACAAACTTTTACAACTTACCTTCCTTTTTGCTGCCATGACTGGCAAAAGCAGACTTGGACCTGACCCTTCGATTTCAATCAATGACCTTCAAAGGAAAATCAATGAAGTGATGCAAAGGCAGGGCTGTCGTGACTTGAACAAGCTCTTGCACAGCAGGCATGCTGTGAGTTGGAAAACAAGTCCAGATCCAGAATGGCTTGGCACTGATGAGTTGGTGGATATATGCTCCACTCTTTTCTCTTTGCATACAAATGGTGTACTGCAAAGCACCAAAATGAGAAAAGCTTTACTTGCCTTGCAAGCAGAATCTGGTCGCATCAACTTCACCAAACTCCATGATACAGATTTTGCAGATGGGATGGATGAGAAAATTCGAATTGCTTGCCAGCAGTATCGAGAGTTGAAGAGAGACCCCAAAAAATACCTCAGATGCATTAAGAAAGCTTCTGTGAAAGAGAAGAACAATATAGACAATGTGCTGTCCTTTTTGCAATTACATGAGGATGATACAGTGCAAATTGGAAAAGACCAAGGGCAGGAAGAACTTGGAGAAATTGAAACAGACCAAAAGCAGGAAGAACCTAGAAAGGATGAGGATAGCACCTTGCCTTCACCCTCCAAAGTTTTCAAAAGGGTTCTGTCCAGAGAGGCATCAGACCCAGCTTCGCCAAGCTTT